TTTGCCGACTTGTTTTCTTTTATTTCGTTTTTTGCTTAATTATCGATTTAACAATTAGACTGATAAATCGTTAAATTATGCAAAGCCGAGCGACCAGTGTATATTCTATAGAAGTGTATGAATTTGTTGCTCCCGGGATTATAGAAACCTTAAAATAAAGAGTTCTGGACATTGGTTCTGAGAAAAACAGCCACCAATTACCAGAAATGTCTCCATGCAAATGTACGGCAAATCTGTAAATTAATAACTTTACTTAAGTTAACAACGACTTTCTTTATAAAAAGCACACAGTTAGTAATTTGCACAAAAGATCTAACTTGTTGAGAAGTCGTTTTCTACGTTCATGTTCTATATTAATGTTAAATAAATCATGCCCTACTTATAAAATAATTAAGACCTAATTTTACGAGGAGCGATAAAATTCTTTTTTCTACTCCCGTCTGTAAAATACCTAATTACGCACCGATCTAGCGTGCGGGAAGCGTCGCTTTACTACGTCAGTTTCGTTTCCCGCGAATCCGAGGCACTTCGGACATTTCCGGAATTTTACCGCACGGGTTTGGGAGCAATCGGATGTTTTCGGAGATATTTCCTACACTTTGAATTTTGACGTTTGTCACTTCTGACAGTCATGTCAGTTAATGTATTCGTGTTTTGCGAAAATGTACCCAAAAACTAACGGTCTTAGAAAAAGGATAGTATGTTGGTGAACTTTTTAAGTCATTCGTTTATTAAACGCTCGCTCCGCTCGTACCCATTAAACACGTGACTCAAAGGTCCATTCCCACACTTATTGCACAATATACTGTTAAAGCTGTACTATCACAATTTGGCTCGTAAAACTTCAAGCAGTTTTTTTTTTGTATGTGTCTTCAAAATAAAGTTCATACTGACTAAAAAAACTCTTGTAGTACATATCTTTTTATGCTAATCGGTGGTACTTTTTTAGTGCTGTAATAACTAGCATTATCATAAACTATTACGTTTTTTGAAAAGAGAGAGTTTTTTACACAATTTTCAAAAAAATCGCTTGTTATGTCCTGAAGCTTATATAGTATATTTAATATTTTTTGCTGAAAGAGGCAAAGAGTTTGGCAACACAACTTCCCTGTGAATCGATTCTACATTATCATCTCTAAATATTTTCATTATGCCTTTGCCACATGGTTCCTTCGTTCCATGCCCTCTAACATTTTTAACATTCCTTGGCACAAATTTTGCATTAAAAAAATATACTACTATCGGATTTTTTATTTTGTCCGATACCAAAGATACAAATATATGACGCTTTTTCTTTTGTTCTTCAACATAACAAAAAATGGTTTATTGTTCGGTTTATTGAGGGTAGAAGTCATGACCATTTATCGTGTGCTGGACTATACAGTATTTAGGAATTTGGAAGAATTCAAGAAAGGTGTACAGGGTGACCCGTCTAAGAGGGGCAAGGTGTATGCCTCGAAACATACGCAGGTTACAAAAGAAATTAAATACAAAAGTTGGTTATATTATCGTCACTTTTTTATATAAGGTACTATTGTATTTTTGGATAGTCCTTTCAAAGACAAATTCATGAGTATGGGTGTGTGATGCACCGTTTCGAACGTTTCGCTTTTGAAACTTCTATTATTTTACCAAAATAATGCTTTTCTTTACGCAATGATCAAATTTAAAATATTTTCTTAAAATGATACTTTTCCCAATTTTCTCAAATGAGACACCCTATATATTATTGGACTTTCGAATAGCCACTGTAATAGCAATTTCTATTCTATAATATAGTCTCTGACTTACCGTTTTGGCTTAATTGGAAGATGAAATAAAGAACTGGATATAAGATTTAAATTATTAAGATATGAAACTGGGAATAAGCTCCTTATCAACTTATTCACAACCGTTTTAGAGAATTATTAAGAAGTCATAAACAGACGCTTTGCACAATGTTGCCAAATTTTGCAGATTACTTATTTCTACGTTTAAATATCTACGAGAAATGAATGCAAAAAATTAACACTAACTACTAATCCATATTACTTACGAGTAAAATTAATGATATTAGTTTTTCAATATGTCCGAATACAAGAAGAATAATAAAAATATAAGAATAATAAGAATAAGTAGTATATGCTATTTGTAAATGTTTCTATATGGCATTTTGGCAAATTCTGATCTGATTCTGATCGCTAATAAGTTCGAAACGGTGCATCACAGACCCAAACTCATATATATCGTTGAATTTGTCTTTGAAAGGACAATTCAAAAATGCAATAAAATGTAGGTGAATTAACTTTGTTTTATCACCATATAGATATAAAAAAGTAACGATTACAAAAATAAAAAATAGAGATCATCTTAATAGAAACAACTTTTGTAATTAAACAGGCCGCCATGTACAGATCATAGAAATATAATTAGTAGATATCAGTGGGTAAAATCAAGTTATTGTATTTTCAGGCACCCCTCGTATCTCTATGAGATAATTTATCAAAAATGTGAAACTGTCGCTTATATAACATTTCCTTTCTATTCCGCCTCCAGAATTGGTATACAGAGCCAGTAGAGATTTTCATAGTCATAAAGCTGCTTCGGAATTTTTAATATCCTGTATAAAAAAATACCAGCACATCATTTTTTCCATCATTTTCATAAACTGCGTCATCAAACGAAAATACCAAAAGAACGGAAACAACCTGCGTAAAGTCGATCTAAAAATAACTACTTTTGTTTTTGTTTGTTGCCATAAACGTAATTTACTAATAGTCTATGGTCACAACTAGTAGATTGCACATTCGATTTTCTAAAATTGGCATTTATTCGCTTATTTCGAAGAAAATGTGCACAGATATAAATAAATATCACGCCAATAAAAAATAGAGAAAGAAACAATATCTTTATTGAGCACCATTAATGAAAAAAAAATTGTATATTCGATTACAGAGTGATCCAAAAAATGTCGCGCTAAAACATCAATATAATTTCCATAAAAACAGAGTTAGATCTTTTAATAAAAACCCCACACATGAGTAATATCTAACAAAAACAACAATTAATCTAAAGTGTTGTGGGAATGCGAAAATATACTTTGTGGAAGAAAAAGGCAAAAGGTTAAAATAAATAAAATTGAGAGAGATGATGATGAAATCTAATGTTCACTATAGTAGAATTGGCAGGAAATATGCCATCTAGAACAATTCCTCCATCAATCGATCGATCGTGTTTGTACGAGACGAATATTGCCGAAGAAATCCCCCAGATAATATAAGGAGTGAAATCAGGCGACTGATCAAATATCAGCAGTATTTAAATATTTAATTAGTACTTGTTTCCGTGATCAGTACTTTCCTGCCTGTCTCAAGATTGGTATATTCAATCTTATATACAAAAGAGGAGACAAAACTAAAATTCTTAACTATCGTCCCATCACGCTATTATCAGGATTTTCAAAAATAATTGAAAAAATAATAAAAATGCAATTGAACAGTGAACTTTCCAAACAAAAGTAATATAGTATCAAATCGTCAGTGTTTACGATATATTAGATTCGAAACAGCCTAGTATATCCGTACTTTTGGTTCTCTTCAAAGCAATGGATATAGTTTCTCACTATAGACTTTGGGATAAAATGAAATATTGTTGGTTTCGAAGATGCATTTACCATCTAATAAAAAGCTATCTCGCTAAGAAAATTCAGTACGTTGATGTAGAAGGGTCTATCAGCAGTGCGGGGATGGTTACCTGTGGTATACCGCAGGGCGCTGTCCTTGGGCCGCTGTTATTCTCTATTCATACAAATGATTTAATGACAAAAATAATAAATTTTGCAGACGACACTGCAATAGTCTATGAGGCAAATACCTGGAACAATTTCAAAGAATGCGTAGAGAGCAATTCATTTTGAATTTTGATAAAATTCGATACTTACCTTAATTTTTCAAAGGAACTCCCACAAGCTATTGTAATACTACTAATACTAATACAAAACTTCTGGATTCCTCCTGCATCGGTTGTTGTTGAATCGAAGTTACTGACATTTCGCCAATCATCTTGTTGACTTCTTCAGAGCTTAACTAAAACTGTCAGTTTTTTGAAAAAGTCAACAGGATGATTGGCGAAACGTCAGCAAGTTCGACTCAACAACAAGCGATGCAGGAGGAATTTCGATATTTATGATGAAATAATCGAAATTGAAATAATTATTGACCGTCATCTCAAATGCGACTTACCAATACAAAATGACGTTAAAAATATCAGGGCTACTTTGCCGCGTTTTAGATACCTGAGAGACTTGCTAACCCTGTCACAACATAAAAGTCTATTTGCACTTGTCCAGTCACACTTACGGAATTCTTGCTTGGGCTGGAATTGTCGAATGTCATTTAAGCAACCGTAGAGATAAAATAATATTGCGGGAGATCAGACTACTAGACATGCTACAGCTTTACTGAGGGATCTATACAAAAACAGATTTTATGAAAGTCAGAGGCACGCAACTACTAGACTAGTTGCCATGCTTCCGGATTATATTTTTGTTATAAATACATTTAAAAAATTGAAGATAGTTGTTGAGAGCTGGATACTCGGTAGGGGCAGAAAAACTTTTAAAGGTCTGACCAACTTAAAATATTTATGATTACTATGCGCTTCTGTTTAACGTGCGTATCTGTTAATCTTGAGTACATCTCAATCTTTATTTGCTTCAGATATTTAAACCGTTTAAATTATGGTGTATTTTGATGATTTTTTTTTACTTTTTATGCTATTTAAATTTTAGGCGCAAACATACTGATTTTGTATAAACCGGATGTCTTTCATGAAAATGATTTTTAAATGTTTATTTGTGTTGGTTTGTATTTAACGTATATAAATAGACATTATTATTATTAGTGCTTAATTTAAAGAAAACTGAGTAAGCTCCGAAAACTTTTTGCAATGCATATGAAAAATATGCACAAACTGCATTTCAAAGGAGACGAATGCCATTTAACACATTTTTTTGTTTACAGCTTCAAGTTTTCGACGCAAACAAGGACGGCCGTTTGCAGCTTTCCGAAATGGCAAAGTAGGTGAACGTAAAATTTATATTGCGGACTTAAGGTAACTTAAGTGCGCCTCCTTTACTTTCTTACACCTCCGTGACTACGTTATTTACATTTCGCTGCGACGAATTCCCACCTCTCATGAATTCCTATTTTATTTTGGTCGTTCGGCGTCGTAAAGAACGCAATTTGGAATGGACTTAAGGCGGTTTCAACAGTTTAATTTCAAATATGAAACAATCAAAGCTTTTTGTAATAGAGATGTACAAATTACCAAGAAGAAAATGTTGATCTCTAAATAGAAAACAAGAAAAAAATCTTTTAGAAAGAAATATTTGCAAAATTAAGCTAGACGAGACTATCTTAACACGTGGATAATGGCGTTAGGGGAAGATGAATAAAAAATGATTTAATATGAAATTTAATAACTATTTTTAATAAAATTAAAACCACACATTTATTTATTACAAAAAATTCTAACTCAGTCATATCATTCAGTCTATTCTGTGTTTGTAATTTGCTGCCTTTTTGCCATGAAGGAATCTAAATTAGTTTGCATTTTCCTTTTGCGTTGTGTTAGAAATCGTTGATCAGTGGATAAAGCATCTATAACACCCCCTCTTGCTCTATCATATCATTTGTAACATTTTCAACAAATTGTTTCATACTGTGGTCAAACTACTTTTAACAAACGTCATCGAAAGTTCTTTTTACTCTCCTTCGAAATCGATATTATCAATATTTCTATTTTCTTTTTGCTCAGTTAACTTGAACTCATCATTAGAGACTAGCTGCTTGAACTATGTCTTCGACGTCTTTCACATTTACCTGTTTGTTGCGCCAATTCCACTATCGCCAGAGTGTTCCATGTCTTCGCTCTTACATCTGACCAAATGTTCTTCCATACTCCTTTCAAAGATCTTTCTGTTCCAAGAAAAGTTTATGTTGTCTACAACATCCACGATATTGAAGTTTTTCCAAAATTCTCTTATTGATTGCTTCTCTTCTCCGTCTCTTTTTCCAAGCATCTGCCGGAAGTAATAAGTCTTAAAATTGGAGATAAGGCCTTGGTCCATTGATTGGATCAAGGCAGTTGTCAGGCGGCAAACAACCACTTGGAATGTATGTTGTTAAATCTGATAAATTTGTTGTCAGGCTTGGAACATTATCAGTAAATAGTAGTGCTCTTTGTCCGAGTTTATTAATATCGCAATATCGTCCAACGTACGGACACAAATGTTCAGTGAACCAGATCTGATTTTTTCGTTAGACTCCCAAATATGACTTTTATCGCTCTTGGGATTTTGAAGAAGTAAACTAGTAGCGGTTTTTTTTTGCAGCTTTAAATTCTAGTGCTCATTTCTTTTCACTGGATAAAAATGTCCGTTCTTGCATTGTCTTCCAAAACAGACCTGTTTCATCAACTTTAAAAACCAGTTCTGGAGGATAGTTTCCTTATTCAAAGTTTTTGCACTTGCTGCTTCTCCTCCAATTTTTATGTTATGAAGATTATTTCGACGTTTGAATCTGTTAAACAATCTTCGACTAGCAACGAAAGTTTCACTGTATCACTTGCTTCAGCCTGAATTCTCCAGGCTTTTTTAATTATTATTGATTCCCTTACTGGCATATTGCTTTCAATTTCGTCTTCAATTCTTTTAAAGACAGTCCTTTTTCCATTTCCTCTACTATACAATTTCTATAACGAGTAATTCTAGTTGCAGAGCTTGCCGTTTCTTTATTCTTAAAAATTATCCTTATTGTTGAAATGATCTAATTCAATGGAGCATTAATTTGAGATTGACGTTCACGAGACTCTAGTCTCCAAATCCCTCGCATTTTAGTTTCCAGTGAAATGCCTTCTCTGGTTGCTTTAATTCTTGTTTTTCATTATCACTCATGATAAATACTAAAGATCATAATATTTGTAACTGTATTAATTGTTATGGTATTATATAAATTTGTACTTACAATAATGTCAAGAAATTATGTCTTGTTGTATTTAAGAACCCCTTAAAAAAACAATTAATTGCGATCAGTATGATCGTTACGGATAGCTACAACGTACTTTAAAACACCTAAAGCTTTCGTTGTACGTTAGTTTTGGTTAATAAATAGTAATTAATGAAACATTCGCTAACCATTTTTGGCTGGTTCAACTAAAAATTAATATTATCCGATACAGCGGAAATGCAAAAAATGCGGAGGGGTAAAGTATCGGTGAATGATGGAAAAGTGTGAAGAATGAAAATGAAAATATGATACGTTTAGCTGGCACGAGACCTTTTCCATGATGAAAAAGCCGGATGTGACATGGAGGAGGATGATCCAGATATAACTAGAGATGAGGTTGGGCGCACCATCATTTTACAGCATTACAGTAGAACCGTTGGTCTGTACAAGGTTCATGCTGAAATATTAAAAGTAACAGCTAAAGATGATAGGGCTGAACCGATTCTCTTAACCACACTTTGCCACACCATATACAAAACGGAAAAAATACGATCCGATTGGTTGAAGACAACATTCCAACCTATACAATAGAAGGCTAATAAATAATTTTTCAAAGAAACTTCCACAAGCTACTTTTATACTTTTTATAAAACTTTTGGATTCCTCCTGCGTCGGTTTTTGTTGAGTCGAACTAGCTAATGTTTCGCCAATCATCCTGTTGGCTTCTTCAGAGTTTGAGTGCAACTGGCTAGCATTTTATTCTGTACCTGCTTTTATATTAGCTGAGGTGGGCGGAGGTAAATAAGAGGTACAAACACTGTCTCGGATGACTGATTCGCATATTGGTGACAGGTAGATACCCAAGTCGCGGTTCAGATTGTGCGGTTGTTTATAGATTTCTATAGATTCTCGGATTTTTCGTTGGTAGAAGAATTGATTACATGCGAAAATTTTAGTTTTATGGAATAAAATTTTATGACCGGTTTCGTGATTGTGTTCGGCAACTGCTGAGTAGCACGTAATCAATTCTTCTACCAACGAAAAATCCGAGAGTCTATAGAAATCTATGAACAACTGAACAATCTTAACCGCGACTCAGGTCGGTGTTTATGCCCCTGATTTAGCTCCGCCCCCCTCAAACAATATAAAAGCAGGTACAGAGTAAAATGCTAGCCAGTTTCAATCAAGCTCTGAAGAAGCCAACAGGATGATGGGCGAAACGTTAGCTAGTTCGACTTAACAAAAACCGACCCTGGAGGAATCTAGAAGTTTTATAAAAAGTATTAAGGCTAATAAGACATTTCTCGGGGTAATTCGCAATAGAATTTATGATATTCAATTTGGCTTTGGAAATGGTGTTGGTGTGCGTGTTTTATCGATTTTCTTAAAGTTTTTGACAATGTTGTCTACCTCAAACTAATAGAAATCAACATTGCTCAGAATACATACCGAATAAATCAAACAAGAGAGGCATCAGTCAAGGTTGCATACCTTTGTTAAATATAGACTCCGAAGAAATAATTACACCCACGAATTGAAATAAAATCCAAGATTGAGCAGGCTCGACGAAAAGTTACAAGCATTGCAAAACTGTTAAACAGATCTAACTTTAACTCACAGCTTAAGGTATGAATGATTTCCTGTTGTGCTATATGATTGAATATCTTTGACCCAAAGACTATCAAAGGCCGAAGTTCTCAACAATGTAAATCAGAGTAGTGAGCTGCTGTTTTCAATATTATAAAATGGAAAGTTTCATATTTGGGACATGTCATGAGAGGCGGTAGGTTCAAGTTGTTAAAATTAATTATCGTAGGCAAGAGACCGGCCGGAAGATGACAAAATTCATGACTGAAAGACCTTTGCATACGGTTTGGTTGCGCACCTGCCTACATTTTCAGAGTCATTTTTATCGCCGACCTCCAAAGGGAGCCAATGTGAAGAGAAGAAGGTGATAGAGTGTACTCGCTCTAAATGGAAATAGTTCCAGTAATGCAGCAATATTGATCTTGTGTTGTTTTTGTAGTAATGGGCATTCTTTCATTTGTTTTACAAGTTAATACTAATGGCAGATAGGTCGAATAAGACATTGTTTCATATTTTTGGAGGTATATAAATTAATATATTACTAGTTCCTTTATTACACAGCCCAAAAACGGCAAACAATTTTCAAAGAAACTTCTGCAGACTGAAACAGTTGCAGTCAAGGAGGAATCCAGAAGTTTTGTAAAAAGTATAACGGCAAACATATGCAGAAAATTTATTAAGAAATTCTTTACGAATTTCCGAATTCTGCGTCAAATTTTACACATAATTCATATAGCATACTCTATATCCTGTATCATTGATTTGCCATGTTTCGTATCTAATTGTACATTTTAAATCATCTAAATTTGATGGTTTCTCCTTATAAACTTTTGATTTTAACTAACCACAGACGAAAAAATCCAGTGGTGTAAAATGTGGATATCCTGCAAAACTGTTAAAGTAGGAATGAAGTCATTTTTAAAAATTGTAAATATCGGGCTACAGTAAAATTTTGATTGAAGAAATAAGGATCAATACCCAGAATTTTGTTTATTTACTGTACCATTTAAACAAAACGTGAAAAGACGATGAAGTAATGGATTCGAGTTGCACGTTTTCATCATAATTTCCTAAAAATGTCGCCCGCGGTCCGTGTATGAATAATACTTTTCTTCTTTTGATGCACTTAAAGCTGTTAGTTCGCATCATTATTTACTTTTTAGACCAGGTATTCTCCCTCAATTTCTTCTCCCTGTGGATCTTGTATTGGGTCATTTTAGATATTTCGCGTTAAACAAATTAATACTTCTTCTTAAGTTCCATACCCAATGAAAATTAAAATTTATTACAATTTAGACGCGTCATCTTCACTTTCTTTACTGAGAGAAATATAATTGTCACAACTTAAGAAAGTTACTGGTACTTTTACATGAATTATGCGTGAAATTTGACACAGAATTCGAAAATGGATTTAATAAAATTGTATTCTATTTAAAAACAAAAAGGAACTTGATATCAACATATACTTTTTGACATACCCTGTACATTTCCTGTTCAACTATGACGTTTGCCAGAATTTTTCTGGAAATCCAGTACCTGATTTTAAAATGTATTTGTTCATGGAGTTGACATGGTTGAATAATATCAAAATTATTGTCATGTTTTATTCAAAGTGTCGATCACAACGTGCATAAATAAGTAGAAATACGAATTAATTGAGCGTATTATCTAGAGATAAAAAATAAATAGATGTTTGGCAACTTTAAAACGAAAATCGAAGCCAAAATTTGGGAAACGTTAGTTTTCTACGTTTTTACCGCAAGCGAGCAATTTTCGCGACATATTGACACTTCGTTCCGAAATCACTAAATAAAATTCTCGACTTTCCGAAATTCCCATCTACCGTTACAATACCGTACAAATCGATAACTAATAATACGTAAAGCCCAATTCGTATTGTGATGGTCGAAATTAAATTCTGTACAAAATTGCACGACGCTGTTGCTTGGAAATGCTATAAAATTCAAGGGATGGCCCGTCCCATAAAAACGTTGGAGTATATAGAGTGGAATTCTTTATTACTCTTCCATAACGCATAATAATGAACGGATAGTAATAATTATGAGAAACTAGAGCGTTCAAACCATCATAGTATATTATCTAATAAGTTTGATGAACGCTATTTTAATCACGAGGTTCGTTTGGCAGCCTTCATTAAACAGGGGACTGAAGAAGTTTTTCTATGGCCATTAGTTTTGTAGTAGATTTTTGCAAAACAATACGAATACATTCACTGGCATGAGCGTCAAAATCTACCGAAATCATCCTATCGCTGTGACTAAAGCACCGTCCGAGGTGGCACGCGAATGTGGGTAATAATAATAGTAATAAAAATCAACTCAATTTCACATCATATTACAAATACATTACATATAAATAATATGCCAAACACAAAGGAAATCGCCGTTAATAAAGGAAATTTTCAATTAGAGACATTGTATTAATTTGACTGTATTTAAAGCTTACAGAAAAAAAATCAATGAGTAAGTATATATAAAAAGGTATATATAAAAAGGTGCGTTCAGTATATTGAAGAAGTCGGCGCCCAATTTGAAGAATTTAATTAAAATATTTCAATATAACTTATGTTATATTTTGTATTCTAATATTTACTGTTGTAACGAACACGCATAGTAGGCCCACCTGGACGTACCATTGTAGGCCCTGACCGCTGTGTCAGTACTGACGCGAGTGTCAGGCGGCAACGAGTTGATACAGAGATCTTACCGCGTGTAACCGTTTAAATTCTGTTTTCATCCCAACAAACTGTTCCTACCCACTTTTATAGTAATAAATACCGCTTGCTTGAGTGCGGGTTGTTACTCTAAGTAAGCGAGTCTAACGCTGTGTTTTGTTTATTAGGATAATTTTGTTTTAAAAATAACCAAAAATAATAAAATTATATAATAAATATATATAAACTATATTTCCGCCTTTTCTCATCACAGATAAGAACAAATCAATATGGTTAATTTTTGGGGGCAATTTTTCAGACTGTAGCCAACTATGATTGCTATATAAAACAAGAGAGTTGTATTCATTTATAAAAAAAAGGAAAACGGTATGAAAAATCTGAGTACGCCACCGCATTCACCTTAAAACAATGCCCCAATAGTGTTTTGGTTGGTGAATTTTTCATAAATAAAAATGTTATGGGCAATTTCCAAAAGGGTCGAAAATTGAACAACGCCCTATATCACAGTTGGTAGTGAAGATATCGGCCATGCGGTTTTAACCATTAAATGATTTTCAAAAATCGAACTCTTAACATATTAGTTGATTTGGCTATATCCAGTTTAGAAATCGGGTTTTCCTGTTAAAACGCTCCAATTACGTCCACGCTTTACAGTTAAAATGCTTTTAGTTTTGAACACCCGTTTACAACTCTCTTTAAATTGCATTTCCTGAAGGTACTAGGAGTCCTCTTTTGAACCACGAAAATATTGTCTAGTTGACCATTACAAACTAACCTAAAGATAATTAGTATAGTTTGAAACGACTTTAATTCCATAACAAATTTAATTTATTTTGCAAATAATCAAATTGTCCAGACCAATCAAGGACCTCGTCAACTTGTAAACCTATTAATTTAGTGCTCTTTACAATATTCATATTTTCTTTACCCATCCTTATGCTTAGTGGTATTTGAGAGAATTTAGTTCTAAATACAATTAGTAATTAATAAATATAAAAGATAATTATTTCTGCATCTCCCTTTCTATAGAGCGGTTAACAGCTGTTTTGAGGTGGTTTGAAAAAATGCCATTTTTAAAGGATTCAATAATCAACATCAACATCAACATCAACATCAACAACAATTTACTAACATATGGAATATAAGTTTTTATTATACTGGCTGGAATCTGGTATTTTATTGAAAAAGACCTTCTTTTCTCGGTTCTTTAATCAATCAGGCACAACGTTCAATATATATTTATTGAAATGATTTTAAATTTCATTTGTATAGTAATTTATTCCAATGTCACCGTTGAAACTGTTTCTACCAAAAATCTCATTGCATATTGACCACATGCATTTGGTTTTATTGCAAGAAAGCTGAAACAGAATATCAAGTTTTCATTTTTGCATTTTTTTAATCTCATCGTTATCTTTATATGATTTTACGCCACTACCGTTTTTGTAGGAAAGCATCCATTTAAACTAGGTTTAGAACAAATTCATAAAATAGTTCAAATATTGAACTGAGGTGGTTTTACTTGATGAAAATCCATTTATCAAAATTAATAAGAATTAAAAATTCAGATTTTCACGGTGTTGTCGAAACCATTGTCATGTAAAAATATATAATTTCGTGAAAATCTAAACTTTTAGTTCTTATTTATTTTTTTAAATAGTTCAAATCTTGATTGGCACCATCCGTCATAACTACCTACGTCCTCCCACTTTTGATCTTTTAGGCAGTTCATAAAGGTTTCTATATTTTCTTCTGAGAAAATTATTTAAAAATGACGTTTAAAATTCTCTAAGGTTAATTGATTTTTCGGGCAGTGTGATCCGAAATAAAGCATCAAATACGTGTTTCTCTCTTCACGTTGTCAATACAGCTTGCTGTATGTAGATGAATGATAAGGGAAAGAAAAGGCAACGGAGCTTTTGATTTGATTGATTTGATTTTGATATCCCTTGATCAATCCATCATTAGAAATGTTAGGGTGAGAAATACAAAAATAAATTTCGAATAAACTGCTTTCCCACTTCTGAAAATTCTTAGAAATTGCTAGATTACTAATTCATTTTCTTCTAGATTGCTTCCCGTTAAGGAAAATTTCCTTTGCCGACAAGTCTTCAAGGTGAGTGATTTTCAGCAATAGTTCCACCATTATACTCTCTTTAGGCAACTGTGACTGAGTAGTTTTCCGATCCTGTCGCCACTGTCACACTCGTATCACAATTTTGAAAATCAGTTAACGGCAAAAAAAAATTATCCAAATAGTTAATCATTGAAACCGAATTTTTGAATTTTTTTCTCCGTTCGAAATAATTAATTTCAATTTATTTTTAGCATTGAGAAATATTTGTATTCAGTATTTTTAATATTCAATTTTAAACACAAAATATTTTCTCGCAATAAAAACTCTAAAAAGTTTAAACCTATTACACTACTTCTGTCTGTGGCCTATGCACATTATATCGCACTTAGTTTAAAAAGAGTAACATTTAAATAACTCATTTAAGCGGCCTAAACTGTGGTCTGATGCTGGATCGTTATCTGCGACCTTTGCCCTGATTCCATTTCCATTCCATTCCATTTCCATAGCAAAAAACTTTTTTTTAATGGAAAATATCAAATGAAAAACTCTGAACCCTGAAACAGGAGCAGATATCCATATGCATATTTTTACACTACCCTGTATGAATTCCTTCAAGACTCCGATCATATTTTACAATAAAATTAAACTAATTTAAAAAGCTTTTCCGTGTTCAATAAAAGTTTATAGAGATGTAATTTAGAAACGGGATTCTGTATGTCCCATCCCTATGTCCAACCGTTTTTGAAATATTTGACATTGAAAAAAAAATGTGCCAAAACTAACCGATTTCGAAAATAGTCCACATTCACATTCTCAAAAAAAAAGTCCAAGCTACTCTAATTATGACCTTGCGGCATTGAACAACCAACATGGCCGCTGACAGATCGACAATAAGTTTGGATGGAGTATTTTATCAAAATAAGCTTAGATCTCGTTCAATTTTCTGGGAAAACCAGTTAAGAGGCTCAATTTTTTTTCAAGGTTAAATTTCAAAAACGGTTTGATATAGGTATATGATAGAAGTATAAATATTTTAAAAAGAATTACACATCTCGCTTGCCTTAACCCAAAAATAAGTCCTGTATATACATAGTTCATATAAAATGAATTAATTTCTTTTTAATATTTCTAATATCGACTTTTATTTGTCGATATTGAATTTTCAGTCAGTAATACTCTTTCAATACCTCGCCTACCACTGCTTTTTGCTCTTTTTTGAAAATTCCTTTATTTATTTTATAAAATTCCGCAATTCAAGCTTGAACAAGGCTGAAGCCTCACTAATAAATAAAATTGCTTATTCCTGTTTTTTTTTTTAAGTTTTAAGCAGTAACGCCTTTACAAACCTGTTAAAAATTTCAGATCAAATCGGTTCTCATTTTTTCAAATTTCATAAACTCGATTTTGCACGTCTCTGGTTTTGGTAATTTTCATTACAATTTATTCCCTAACGCAGTTTAGACGGGATCTGTTATTGTTTAGTTCTACATTTAAAATAAAAACGAAACTTCACAACATGGCCATCGTCGTGGTCAATATATCAGCGACGTGCAAAAAAAGATTTAGGAAATTCCAAAAAATGAGAAACACTTTCATTTGATATTTTTAACTGCTTTCTGAGGGCTGCTGTTTGAAAAATAATAAAACATGTTAATTCTCAATTAAAACTCCGTTTTACATTTTTTTAGCCACATTAAATAATCATATTTTGTTAGCCTAAATAAGTGCCCCGCTTCAGAAACTCCCTTTTGCACGCCGCTGACCTGATGCAGGGTGATTCATAAATATGTGGGAAACCTACCTGAAATCTTTTTAAAAGGGACACCCTGTAGATTATTCCAGTAATAGATACTCCATTTTATACTCAATGTAGGGTTGTTGTGCCAACAATTATTGAACTGAGGTGGCTTTTACTTGATGAAAATCCATTTATGGAAATAAATAAGAACTAAACGTTCAGATTTTCACGAAATTATATATTTTCACATGACAATTGTTTCGACAACAACGTGTCTTTATCAAATGTCATCATGTCATCATTTGATAAAGACACGATGTTGTCGAAACAATTGTCATGTGAAAATATATAATTTCGTGAAAATCTGAACTTCGAGTTCCCATTTATTTTGATGCCAACAATTTTATAAGTGGTACACTCATTTGTCGTATACTTGCCTTGAAGTTTATTCTAATCGTTTATACAGGGTGAGTCAAAATTAAAAATATTAATTTTGGATGAAAAACTTAAATGGAACTCCCTGTATATTATACAACCATTAATTAGTCTAAATAAAGGTCTTTCAATTCAATTAAGCATTTTCTATACCTAACTGTAACCTAACGTGTATATTTGTATATTTGAAAATAAAAAAGAGTTTCTTTTACTGTCATCTATAACTTTTATATTAAAATTTTTATCTAAAACAAATAATAAACGTGATATATTACTGTGACACTCTATTTGGACGCGCTGTATTGTCAAAATTATATTCTATGCTGGTATGTGAGCAGGGCAATTCAAATTCAAGATACTTCCCAACTTATTTGAGTTCCTTCTTTGTTTCTTTTTTTAAATTATTATTTAAAATGCTCCATTGTTTTTTTTACACTTATTTACACAAGATCCAACACTTTATGAACGTTTGTACCAGAAGTGTTATGGAAATCAGGCTATGGAATGGGACAAGAAAAGCCCGGGACCGCACACTTTTTGAACGAGCACAAAGCATTGAAGTTGTCAGACCACGGTTTACGAATATTTCGACCGAACTAACCCGACAAAAACTAAATCCTAATTCTAAACAGTCTCTGAAATTTGCTGCACGGCTTTATCTGTCTGTCTTTGTGGCAATTCTATTAGGAAGGGATTGAAGTAAGTAACCCCCATCTTATTTTCTGACTGTTGCTTCGTGTCTCTCGCTGTACGACGGAATGCCTAATCGTTAAGCTTAGAAATTAGTAAGTAGGGGTAAAAAATAGTGTTTAGAAGAATTACTGCGTATTCGGGGAAATGCTGATATAATTCGTTGTCGATTTTGATCGCCCAACCTTGACCTCTGTTTTATTATAATATACGTACTCATAATAGTATAAAGTGTTTCCAAGATAAGGATGTCCATCATGGGGATATTGAAAAGTATAAGTGATAAAAACATGGTTAAATTAGAAGAAAGTTACAAAAATTAAATTTTAATAATGTGCCGTTCAAAAAACTAAAAAAATCGCCCAAAAAAACGACATTTGCCTATTTCGTTTTTTATTCCTTTCTCATTTATTTAAAGAGAGATAAAAAAATGCAAGCGCTATCTCGTTGCTACTTTTTGAGCTCTACAAGATAGCCTGGAGACATCTTAAGTACGACATTTCGCTTCTGCAACTTTGTTTTCTTATTGCGAATACAACGGCACGATATGATTATACCTTGTTTAAATTACAAAAAAATGGTTGATATAAAATTTTCGATGTTTTGGTTATTTTTGCTTTACTTACGAGAGGGTACCCATAAAAACCGGAATTGAATTGCCGCTCGCAGAGTTTGTATAGTACACTTTTGTGCCGCTAGGTTGTGGACAGTACAACTTATTGCGAGTTCAACGCCACCTTCGTTTTAAATTTAACTTGTTTTGTTCACTTGCAGTGCCATTTTTTGTTAACGCTGTTTTTTTTGTTACTTTGTTTTTTTCGATGGCAAGTTTTAAAGAACAACGTGCAGCTGTGAAATTTTGTTTTCTGCTCGGTAAAAGTGCTGCTGAAACTGTTTCAATGTTAAAAACAGCTTATAAAGACGATGCGATGGGAAAAACTCAAATGTACCAGTGGTCAATTGATGACCAACTTGGTTCTGGACGTCCATCAACTGCTCGAATCGACGAAAATATTGAAAAGATTCGAGAGTTTGTGCTCACAGACCGTCGACAGACAGTTGAACAATTATCAAAGATTAGTGGGTTGTCTTGGAGCACGGTTCAGCGAATTTTAACCGAAGATTTGGGAATGAAAAGAGTTGCTGCCAAGTTTGTTCCTCGTGTTCTGTCTGACATGCAAAAAGGACATCGAGTTGAAACATGTCGTGCTTTGAATCAACAGCTTAAAACGGATCCAGATTTTCTTTCAAAGATCATTACTGGTGACGAGTCATGGTGCTATGGTTACGATCCAGAAACGAAGCAACAGTCCAGCCAGTGGAAGAAGTCACTGTCTCCCCGTCCAAAAAAATGTCGTCAGGTCAAATCAAACATCAAAACGATGCTAATTTGCTTTTTCGACATCAACGGCGTAGTTCATGCAGAGTTCGTTCCACCAAGTGAGACCGTTGATCAAGCTTTTTATCTGGAAGTTTTAAGAAGATTGCGGAACAGTTTTCGACAAAAAAGACCCGATTTGTGGCGGACAGGGGACTGGTTCTTTCACCACGATAATGCATCTGCACACACAGCCATTAGTGTTAAGCAGTTTTTGACTAAAAATGGCATGATTCCTCTGCCTCATGCACCTTACTCGCCTGATCTCGCTTCGTGTGACTTCTTCTTATTTCCACGTATGAAAAGGGACATGAAAGGACAGCGATTAGACAACATCGAAGAGGTCAAGAAAAAAACGAGGGATGTGCTGTCGGCTATAGCCAAAGATGAATATAAAAAATGTTTCGAATAGTGGAAGCACCGGATAAGGTCGTTCTGTGATTTTCAAAACAATATATAGTTGATTCCGGTTTTTTTTGGGTACCCCCTCGTATGTCTTCTATCTCTTGAAATAAAACCATAAAAAAATAAAATCAGCAAATTTCGTTTTTTTTGGCGTATGAAGTGATGGGAAATATTTAGTTTTCTCATGGAAACTTTTTTCTAGTCTAACCATCTACGTAACCATAACATCAATAGGGCAATGATCATTTTGTGTACAGGATGGTCCAATTAAGATGCTCCTGTACTTTATTTTAATAAGTTCTACACTGAGAAAAAAAAATGTTTGACCCCAAATATATATTTTATTTATAGTATTTTTATGTACACAGGGTGTTCTGTTGTACCTATTAATATTCCCCATAACCCATTTTCGTGATTGGAGTAGTTTTTGAGAAAACTGAATTTTTCTTTTTTTTTGCGGCAAAACAGGTCTTTGGAACAATGTGTTTTTACACACTTGAAATCTAAAATTGGGAATTTATATTGTGGATCTATTGCGAAAATGTAATATACATCGTGCTCACAATTGACCTTAAAAAACATTTTTTCTAATGTGCTGTCCCACGTTTCTCTGCGTCTTCGTCTTTTCCGTTTTGCCTGAATTTTACTCTGCCAAACTCTTTTAACTGCCCAATCTCTGTAAATGACCCCACCAGCCAAGTTGTTTCTTTCCTATGAGTTCTTCTATGGATTCCACCTTTAACTCTTCTCTTATAAGTGCATTCCTAATTTAGTTTCCGTAGAAATTTCGTTTGTATTTATGAGCCCCTTATTCATACTTATACCTTATACCTTATTTGCCTTTTCTATTCTATTATTTAATTCTTTATTCTGTCCTTCTCTTCCTTCGAACATAATTCTTAAAGCTACTAACTCGTTACTTTCGAAAATCGATGAAATCGATTTCTTCGAAAGTATCTACGCTTGTATAAAAATTTAATGTCTCGGTAACGGTAGGTCCTAAGAGGTTTGGTACAGCAATGATCACCGTCGAAAAAAAATTTTTTTTGTCTGTCCGTTCTCCGTTGTCAGTTCTCCGTTCTCCGTTCTCGTTTTTTGGTATTTCCTGAATAACTTTCTAACCGTTGGAGCCACAAAATTGAAATTTGCCTCCTTGTTAACCCTCCACGAGATACATAAGCTTGTGACCACCGTGTATAATAATAATATATATTGTATTTTCGCCATAGATAAGTCAAAGCATTAAATATTAACGGCTTCCATAGATTAATAATATAAATTCCCACACAAGACCGCATTTTCCCAAAAAAAAAGAAATGGAAAAGTTCATTTTTTCTCAAAAACTATTCAGAATTTCGTACGCTATGTAGTGACAAATAATACTCAAAATCAAGCGAACAAAGCATTCCATTAAAAAAAATAAAGTTGGTTACTGTCCTGACACAACGGTACACATAAAAATACTAAAACTACTACTAAAAACAAAATATATGCTTCGGCTTACACAGTTTTTGTATTTATCTTTTTTCTTCAGTGTCGTACTTATTGAGACAAGGTGTAGGATCCTCTTAAATGGACCACCCTGAACAGGTCGATAATAATGCAAAGTACTGTATCTCGCCATACGCTAAAACTAATACTAAAGAAAATTATATATATATATATATATATATATATATATATATATATATATATATATATATATATATATATATATATATATATATATATATATATATATATATATATATATATATATGATGACACTATATTCAACAAGCGAACGGATGATATCCCGGAATATAGTGTCATCATATATATATATATATATATATATATATATATATATATATATATATATATATATATATATATATATATATATATATATATATATATATATATATATATATATATATATATATATATATATATATATATATATATATATATATATATATATATATATATATATATATATATATATATATATATATATATATATATATATATATATATATATATATATATATGATGACACTATATTCCGGGATATCATCCGTTCGCTTGTTGAACTCCGACTGGAATCCTGCAGACGTTTCGCCAAAATCTCACTTGGCATCTTCAATGCTCGCGCTCCGAAAACACTGCAGGATTCCAGCCGGAGTTCAACAAGCGAACGGATGATATCCCAGAATATAGTGTAATCACATTTTTCCATCCATGAATCAATACGTGAAAATATGTGTGTATATATATATATATATATATATATATATATATATATATATATATATATATATAAGTCGTAAATCGCCCTCTATAGCTAAGTTTTATTCGAGTAATTTTCATTGAAGACTTTGACGTGTTTATTAAAATAAAGTTGGGAGGTGACCAAATCTTTTTTTCATTAAATAACACAGCTGATTAAACGACCAAGCGAATTTAAAGTTAGAAAAACCATTTATTGCTCTATCAAACCAATCTTACCTAACCGAAAAATTGGATAATTCACTAAAAATTATATGTAATAATATGACTTTTTTCATAAAAATATAGCTAAATAATATTTAAATGGGCTAGTGAAAAACGTACATTGATACACCTTAATACCAGTCTAAAAAATCAATGAAATGGGTGTACAAGTTTAAAAATCATATAATTTTCGACTCTTAAAAAAGAATTCGACAAATTTAAAATAAAGACATAGTAGATGGATAAAGGGACTTTCAGCCGAATCTAACCTCACTTTTTGGCTTCCCGGCCACGGGCCCCCCGTCCACGGGCCCCCGTCCCCGGGCCACTCGGCCAATGGGACTCCGGGGCAATGGGGCTTCGCCCCCGGGCCATGGGCCACTCGGCCATAGGCTTTGGGTCTTCTTCTTTTTGGGTCCGGTTGGCACCACGGACAACGGTTTGGTTAGGTTGGCACCACGGACGACGGTTTGGTTAGGTTAAGACGAGTGGCCTATGGGCGAGCGGCCTATGGACGAACGGCCTATGGGCGAGTGGCCTTGGACCAATGGGTGAGCGGCCAATGGGCGGACGGGCCATGGGCGAACAGCCAGGACGCAAAAAAAAAGAAGACCCAAGCCCTATGGCCGAGTGGCCCATGGCCCGGGGGCGAAGCCCCATCGCCCCGGGGCCCCATTGGCCGAGTGGCCCGGGGGCGGGGGGCCCGTGGCCGGGAAGCTAAAAAGTGAGGTTAGATTCGGCTGAAAGTCCCTTTATCCATCTACTAGACATGTAGGTTATAATTCCCTTTCTATTCATTGCAACACATCTTGCATTTTACAAAGAATTCATGTTTGCTACTCAACACATAAAGTTTCAAATCTAAATACTGTCGGACTTAATAGTAGCGGAAAAGAAACTCACCTAGTAGGGCATGGTTGCCACGTAGAGCAAATAATAACTTAACATACATATAATGGGCAAGAGACATAACACTTTGCATCCTTATCTGGCCACCGTATACATTAAGTGTTTATGTTTAGCTAATTGTGCTTATGTTCATTCGGTATCAGTCGCATTAGCATTACAAACTTACGTGCCCTCATGTACAGCTAATTTCATAAAATTCTAAATTCCATTTTATATTTTGAGCAGTATACACATCATCAGGCTGTCATATCACATTATGACAAAGCAACGCCTGCCAATACAGGATTATACTCCAAACAGTTTGAGCTAATTAATACGCTTTTTTTTATTTGAGTGTTTTTTCCTTGTGAATGGTTCAGTTTAATTCCTTCGTTAACTGTTTTACTCAAAGAATAAGAATTTACAGGAAAGATGTATCCATCTCTTACAATAAAATGTATTATTAAATCCATTTTTATTACTAAAAACTTTTGCGTTAATCAGCCTTTACTGTTTGTTTGATCAAGAAATTATGGTAAACAATAAGAGACATCCTCTTCGGTAAACATATAGGTATTAAAGTATTCCGTATTATCTATCGTTCGTTGTTCTCCTAAACCAAACAGATTCAACTATTATTAATGTAAAAAATATATTTTTTTACTTTTAAATAAATAACTGTAGCAAATGTTGATCCACTGCTGCTAATGATCAACCATCTTCTAACTTGGTCACAATTCTTGCTTTTAACTCTCTGCTCGTCTCTAGAGTCATTTTAAGCTTCCTTTTTATCTAACTTGTTTGTGACAACGCTGAAAATTTGTTTTTATATAACAGTGACAGTATGAGAAATATGAAAACAATGAATTTTGCGAAAACGACATTGTGGCCTATAATACACTGTTCAAAACTTTGAAAAAAAGTGCTTTAAGAGTCGTATCAGTTTTTGTTATGAAACCTTCCGTACCTTGTGTACCTTAACCCTGTATATGAATGTACACTACATGTTGTAAGCCCGGAAAGATGGAACGAATATGTAATCAAAATTATCATTAAATGCACTAATTGTCTGGATAGCTTTTCTACCTATTTGGCTTAGTTTGCTAAATCAGTGTGATATTACTCAACAACAAAAAATCACGACTATTGTCAATTAACGTTTTAAAATTTGTAAATATACCATATCTCTCGGCAAATTTTTGAAATCTTATTACTTCTATAGGAGGTTCATTAAAAAATATCTCCGTATTTTTACTTTTGACAATAACGAAAAATTACTGCTATTTAAATTTTTTATTTATACTTTTCCACATATCTATAGCGAAATTAAAATTTGACATTTCATGTTTGCAATTTTGATGACACTATTCTAAACAATCGTCTTTTAGTATTAACTAAATTTCACTAATTCAATAACTTACCCAGACACAAAGCGTATCACTGATTTTAAAAGCAGCCTGTAAATAGATTCGAACTGCATCGAACCACAAAATTAATTAGAGGTACGCTGTTCTGATGCGGGCGACAAAATCGAGTCACGAAACAAATTTCAATAGAAATCAAGTGCCATTTTTCAAGTCAAAAATTGAATCATAAATTTTCCCGTACGCAATCGTTTTTTATCGAAGTTTTTATACGACGCGAGAGTTTCTAATTGCCGCGTTGAATTCAGGGAGCCACCAAGCTAACCAAGGACGACATTGAAAGGGTTTTCGCACTTTACGACAGGGTAAGCCGGAACGAGATTCAAACAGGCATCGCAACTTAATTTTTTGTTTTTAATTGCTTCGCAGGACAACAACGGCACCATCGAAAACGAAGAACTCCGAGGGTTCCTGAAGGACTTGCTGGAACTCGTAAAAAAGGTAATAACAAAATCACACAGTTCGGTTTGTTAATTGCAAAAATTTCAGAATGAACTATTTTTTTTTAAGTTATATTTCGATTTTCTTGAAACATTATCCTTTCTTGGATTCTTGGATTCGTTTCTGAAGGTATTAACTTATTGTACTAAAGGATAATGTTAGAAGAATATCTATTTCTTATTTTGTCGACGTTTCGGACAAGTTCTTTTTAAAAAAGCCATAAAAACTGACGAAAAAGTTCCTTTAAAAATAAAAATCATAATAATTGTACCTATTTTTAACTTGGACACCTGGGTTTGAAGAAACCTGTTATAAGTCAAACCCTTTACACGTTTTAATTTAAATAATATAAGCTAATTTACAAGTCACTAATGCTAAGTAGACAAGATATAGCCCAACGCACCAACATGTTCTGAACAGCACACGAGCGCCATCTATAGGCCTAACATCATATGAAAGAAATCGGCCTCTACCACGTGACCAAAGCAGTCTTTCTTCTTATCGCGCTGTCTCCTTACGAAGGTTGGCGATCCATATAGCTAAACGAACTTTGGAAACTGCTGTTCTGAAAAGATCATTTGACGAACAACGGCAAGGATCAAGGGTCCAACGCTCACATCCATATAAAAGGACACAGGCCCTTACCATTCTCATTCTGAGTTCCAGATTAAGTCTAGTTTTATGGAAGAATCTATTCGTATTTATGTATCTCATGCGAGCCTGTGCATTCTGGAAATTACCTCTTTACTTGGATCCCCCTTTTCATTTACGTTGGTACCCAAATATTTAAATGTGGATACCCGTTCTATGACATTTTCTCCAACTTTGAGATATTCGCAAGTGGCAGTTTCCTTTTTTGTTATTAACATCCATTTAGTCTTCCTTACATTCAGTGTCAATCCAGACTCTCTACTATAATATACGACTCTATCTATTGGGTTTTGTAGATCTTGCCTGTTATTGTCTATTAGACTAGTATCGTCCGCGTATCCGAAATTGGTTATGTGGTTCCCATTGGCGACTATGCCTTCAATGGGTTCGCGTAAGGCTTCCCTAAATATGGCGTCTGAGTATAGGATGAACAAGAGTGGCGAGAGAATGCATCCTTGTCTCACACCCGACTTATTTTTACTGCCTCTGATCTTTCTTGTCCAATTTTTATTTCTGCTATTTGGTTCCAGTATAAACCTTTGATTATGGTAAGGCCTCTTTAATCTATGTTAGTTGCGTTCAGGATTTCCATTAATTTATTATCCATATTATTATCCCATAGCGAGCTCTTTTTGTTTGGAATATATTAACGAAAACTAAATCTATTAGGGAATAATTGATTCATTTGATCACAGTATATCATCCTGAATTCCCTTTGCGCCGATTGTTTTTAAATCAAGCTTGCTGGCGTTTCATCAATCATTCTGTTGGCTTCTTCACAGCTTAACTGAACCTGGCTCGCGTTCTGCGTGTACCTATATTGCTCAAATAGAAAGTCGCGGTTAAGATTGTTTGGTTGCTTATAGATTTCTATAGATTCTCGGATTTTTTGTTGACAGAGAATTGATTACCTTATCTCCGGTTTCGTGATTATGTTCGGCAACTGCAGATGAGTTTATTCCAGCCTAGTTGATATTTTTTGCCCGGTTTCTCCAATGTATTCTTTGTCGTATGTGCATGGAATGCTGTAAACTCCTGACATCTCAAACCATATATCTATAAGATAATATAGTGACCCTACTATGGTAAAAAGTGATACGCCGCAGGTGGCTATAACATCTTTTGCGCCTGCGCCACGCCCCAACTAACTGAGTTGCCACATTTCCGTAATTTTTCTGAAAAAAATGACTTATTTTCATAAGAATCAGTCTCCGAAATCCGAATATAATTGGCAACGCCGAACTAGGAACTGCTATTGCCAGAGACTACTAATAGTTATGATTCCCTCCATACCTTTTTCGTGTTTTTGCGAAAAACTTACTGTGTTTGTGGTCAAAACTGTAAGGAAAAGAATGTGCCTATATACGGGTAAGTGGTGCCTTATGTACAAGTTAATTTAAAAGATTTAAAAGTGGTTTCTGTGGTCACATTTCGTGAATTCGACTTTATTTACATTTACATACAATAGAAGTTAAACCAATGAGTTTATAAAAACACACTGTGGCTCCGATTTACGGGCACAAATTCTAGAAAAATTAGCCGGTATCGTGTCTATAGCACTTAAAGAACCAAAACACTAAAATACTTACAGAATTATACTAAGGACGCCGATCCGTGTACTCTAATTCAGCATAATATTATCGCTAATTTTTTAACAACACTTTCTACACCTTAATTCCATGTTTGCCTGAAAACTTAATGGGATTTCGACATATTTTGAGAAATTACTGCATCCAAACATTGACGACCTGCCAGCGGCCATGTTCGTTGTTGGAGGCCGCAAGGCCTTATGGGTTGAACGTCAGAAAATGCAGTTAGAGCTGCCATTGATTAAAAACGAAATTTCAAATCTCGCGCACGCGCACATTGACCAGACCTTCTCAAAATTTTGTTACACAGTTGCCTCACGAGTTCCTGTACTATTAGCTTAGGCAGGGCCTCTATATGTCTAGTAGCTATATGCCTTAAACGAAAATTTGTCTTTGACAGCTGTTGAGGGGTTTTAGAGAAGGAGTAAATCTGGTTTTGACAGGACAACAGTGGCCAGTGTAGAGTTGCTTTCGGGCTCATTGTCTTTGGAACTTTGTGGAAGCAACCTCACACTTGCCACTGTTGCTCTTCCTTACATTTGCCTCTGGAAGTTTCTGTGAAGAATTGACAGTCGTGGAAATTTTTTATTATTCACTTTTTTAACATGTTTATCTGCATCAGGTATATATTTTATTATTTGCACCTGTAGTCAGTGTAGTTTTGACTATTTTCCAGAAACTCTATCATACATATGAATTTTTTTTAATGTTTACTGGACATGAATTTGTATTATCGAAGTTATGAAGGCACCACGTATCTGCTGCGTCAGTAGCTCCTCATAAGTTGAAATTCTTCTGGTTCTGAGGACATATCTTGAAACAATTGCATTGCAGAAGCGAATCATAAAACAAATATTATTTAAACTTATTGTGGGTTCATTGTTAAATCTAATTCTAGTGGCTATGAGCCACTACAAAATCTTAATTTTTATCAGCGGTTAAGGAGGAATTTTGATTAAAAAAGTCCCAAACATACTTTGTCTATAGTTGTTTTGGCGATAAAAATTTTTAATCATTTGCCTACACATAGTGCTGGTGACTTTAAATACAGGGAAAAACCAATTTAGTTTGTCGTTCCTTTTATAGCTTCAATGACTTTTTTTTACTGAGATAACATATTGTTGAAATCGCTTTTTATATTTGTATAATATTGTTTTAATGTCTAATGTTTGTAATATATTGTATATATTTTTCATATTTTACGATACCTGAAATCAAGTATTTCATCACTGCTATGGTTTTCAGTAGTAGATCATTTAACGAAAATGTTCTTATTGTTTTTCATACCAACATTTTTACTGGACCTATCGTCCTACACAATTTAATCCGGGATTAAATCATGTAGATAGTCGATAGAAATAAATTTTACACCAACTAGAGCGAAACTTGGGAGAAAAAAAACGGGGTATTGTCCTTGATCGACCCGTTTGATTTATTTCCACGGAAATACCGACCTCTCTAAATACCCCTACCCTTACATAAATTATTCAGGGCAAGAAGAAAGGGGAACTTTTTTCCATTCCAATGCATAATTGATATAAAAACACTTTTCAAATATTTAGAAGACTTAGTTTATAATGCCACGAAATGGTAAAATTTTATGCCAGCGCTAAACAAAAACAATCAAAAGTTAGTTTGGGTTAGTTTTGGGAAGTTTTGGTTAGTTATTAATATAGTTTTAATAATAAAAGTTTTAATAATAATATAGTTTTTTTATGTGTCTTTCAGAATATATTCATCAAAATTGTTTATTTTTTTTGTTTATATTTGTTGTGCATCTTTATAAACTTTTGCAAGACGCCGCAAAGATATCTAGCTATAATCAGATATCTAGATCTATAATCAGCAATCACAGCCAATAGTTTTGGCTTTTTTTCAATTGGAAACAGAACAAGCTAAAAATGCAACACAACCTCGCCGTACAACAACCATAAATATTAAGAAATAAATAACGAGCAAAGAATCCTTTACCTCGAGAATGTCTCGAAAGGAGAATGAATTAAAAAGAACTTCAGATTACTTAAAACACAAAATAAGAGATATGTGCAAAAAATTAATACAGACGTAAAAGACGAATATTTTAATTTTTCAATCAGCTCGCCAAGAAAGTATAAGTATTAGTTTTGAAATGTCCACAGAATCTAAAAAACCTAGTGGTCGATATATTGTGGTTCATTTTAGATCAAAAGAAGGTTTTAAACAAAAACGGAGATTATCGTGACAATGTGAGCAGGCAAACTTATGGAAATTGTTTGAAAAACCAGCTGGTATCAATTTTATGATAATAATAATAATAATCTTTATTTTTCAAATGGATAAATACACAAAATAAAATAAAATGACGCATAATCCAACGCTACAAACAATACTCTACAAATAAACAAGGAAGGGAAAGGTCACATCCCTTTAATTTTTTTTCAAATGCACATAAATTATCACACACTTACACTTGGGATTCTATTTTGCATAAGGAATTCGTTTTTAGTTCTTTCACACACACACACACACACACAACATATTTCAAACACATTTAGGCTATACAATGTCAAAATATTAAAATTTTTAAAATAATTTTTACCAGAAGTATATTTGGAAATACCGGCCATACATCTTATACCCTTTTTCTGAACCAAGAAGACTTAGTCGCATCAGTCCACTCCCAAAAAATAATACCCTACCTAATTTCCTCTCAATATAAGCGTAATGGATAAATAGATAGATAGATTTATTTAGCCATTCTTTACATAAAAAGTCTTTGCAACAAATGGCGCGTCAGTAGTACAGAAGAAAAAAGAAAGATTTACCCTGACAACTTGTGGTTGTGGATAAATAAATCGCATAAACAGAGTCTTAATATAGAAAAATAGAAAAATTCCATTCGTGAAAGCAATATAAAAGTACAATACATAAATTATAAAGTGTAAAAACGATGGAAACTAAAATTTAACAGAAAACGTAAATATGGATAGGTAGATAATAAAACATATGTTAATCTAAAATTCGTGTTTGGCCGAAAGGGTGTTGTATATTATAAAAGGTATTAAAAACGCCCTTTGAACCAGAACGATAAACACTTATAACCACTGTATCGATCGTAGGGAACACAATACCACAGAATTCGGCAGGCAAATCTACACAATATTTATTAAGATCTAATGCTTCACACTTAATATTATTTTTTACATATATTGCACAGCCACTTTTGGTGGTGCTTTTCCTGCAGTAGTAACTAGTAACTAGTAAATAAACACTTAATATTTGTAATTCTGTTAAAATGTCCTTCAGGTTATGTAATAAATAGATAGATAGTCTTAAAATTCATGTTTTTATTTAGGAATATTCCAAGAAACTTTACATATTATACTGACCTAGTGAAATGAGGTATAAGTTATTATCATTAAACCAACGTTGCATTTGTCTTCCAAACATGATCCACACCTACCCGTCATAGATGTAAAGTCATCAGCAAACTTTTTAAACGATGTCTTCTCATCTGCAAAGTCCCTAAACCGTCAATATACAAGAGTAAAAGTACTGGTCCTAATACAGAGCTTTGCGGGACGCCCATTGTGGTCGTGGACGGTTTCGACTATTTTTCACTCCATACACAATCTGCTTTATACATTAGGATGGCATATTGTTTCCTATTGACTTCTTAGAGAGGGCCATCAAGGATGAAATATGGGGCACTGCCGAAATAGTTGTAATAGTAAAAAAAATTCTACTAAGACTTCCTCCATACTATTGTCATTTTAATGCTATTGGAATGACAAGGTATTGGTGTAAGAGGAAATACGACCAATATATTGCTAGTCTCAAGGGGACACCATCGGAAGTTTTGGTTAGTATCTGCAGAGCACCGGAACAATTATGATAACTCCAGAGAAAGGGTACTCCAAGAAGCTTGAAAGACGATATAAATATGTGTTGCTTGAAACATTGCGTCACTTGTAATTTAGTTCTGATTTCGAAGACAGTGAAGGACAGTGGTTTTTAATTTTTGCTTAACGTTAGTTATATGCAGTATTGTCTGTGACTTGACAAAAACTGGTATGCAATCTTTTTTTCATTGTATCGAAGAGTTGTTGATCTGTCAAGTCAGCTGTTCAAAGGACTTCTTTGTTACTTCATCAATCCAGGGTATTTTGAACATTCTAAGTAGGGTATACATTTCGAAAGCTTCGACGCACAGCAGCACTGACCAGATATAATATTTCACAATCAGATATTAAACTTAATGGTTAGTAAAGAAATGTTTAAGTTTTCGGGTAGGTTACTCGTGCCTATTCAATTCTGGATTTTAATTCGTGGTGTGGATTCCATCGTTCATTGACCGTACTTCGTAGATATTTCAATTGACTAACTCTCTCGATATTGGTTTCATTTGTGAACATCTGAGCGTTTTTAATATTGTCCCTACTACTCGCCAAAAACTTGGGTTTATTAATGGTAATTTTTAAACCCAAACTTCTGCTTGCTTCAGTAATCTAATTCAGTAGGATCTGGAGATTATTATGGCATTGTTATCTGCATATCGAATGTTGTTGATGGGAATTCCGTTCACTTTAATGCCAATTGGACAATTCCAGGTTGCCTCCATAAATGCTGTTGCTGTATATAAGTTTTGAACAGCATTCGAGCCAAGATGCATCCTTGTCTGACGCCTTTTTTCATTTCAAACTCCAGCGTTGTTTCTGAGTTACTTAGTCAAATTTCAGCCTTTTGGTTCCAGTGCATTACATTGCATTAGTAAAGCCTTGTGGCCTTATTTGTAAGAAAATTTTAGTTTTTAAAGTTATAAAATCCTTTTGGACCCAGTCTCGTGGCGCTTTCGAACTTGTCCAAAGCTGCCAGCAGTTTTCGATAAGTCACAGAGCTGTCCATAAGGAAAATGCCAATTTTGTCTACATTACTTTTAGATTTGCTGTTATTGCTAAAATGTAAATATCATAAAAAATAACAGTTTTTTAGTCTTTAACACGCCAAGCGTGTTAAAGACTAAAAAAAAATCGCTGAGACAATTTTCTGCGTTGCAGGATTACGATGCGCAGGATTTGCAGGAATTCGAGGAGACGATACTGCGCGGCGTCGACTACAATCAGGACGGCAAAATCAACAAGAAGGAACTGACGATGATCCTGCTTGCAATCGCCAAGCACAATCAGGAAGAGGAACCCGCACCGTAATCGGACACTTGTTGAAATGAAATAAAAAAAAATCTAATCGCACTCGTTTAAAGTTGCCAATTTATCAACGTTAATATAGCACAAATTTTAATGACTACGTGGAAAGCGTTTAACGGTAATTTTTGGAGTTTATTATTACAAAAAATGAAGGGGAAATTATGGAACTTCGGTTTTACCATTCAAAAGAAACAAATTCATATCACAACATAATAGTTGAATAGTTATTTCGGATGATAAACTATATTTATAAAATAATTTGCAAGTTCAGGGTTGCCAGATCTACCGAATGGCAACATTGGAATTGGAATTGGAATCTCAAATAGAACACCCAGTATATTCGTACATTTTTGGATTCTTCTTAAAATTCTTGATATTTTTCATTTAGCACCTTCTGTATGAAATTTCAACAGTTGGTGGACGTTATCCAAATTTGACAGCCCACAAAATCTACACGGCTAAAATTAAAAAAAAAACGGCTTACACATTGCTTGGTTTTTTCTACGCTTATGACATCATTTAAAAATTTGACAGATTTAATAGCATATGAAAAACTAATATGAAAATGTGGTCTAATTTGGGAACTGTCACTTTTCAATATCTCGAAAAGAGTTGAAATTAAGAATATCCAATCCAAAAATGTACTAATATAATAGGTGTTCTATTTGAATTTCCTTTTGGTTTTGCGATAGCTGTACTAGCTAAAATTTTTTTAAAATATAGTTTAAAACCTGTTATGGCCAGTTTCCTTTTTTAGTTCTGCAGAGCTTTTGATAGGCCACTCAACATGAGTCACCCTGTATAGAAAAACACAGAAAACAGCAAAGTTGTTGGCAATGTAGTTTCATTTTTTTTAATTATTTAATTATTCCAATTTCGCTGTTTTTACAGCAAATGAATTGGAATTGGAAGTTAAATCAAATTATTTTAAAAAAAGGTCAATCAGAGTTCTCATCTTTGTAACCAACAATTAATATTTTCAACAAACAATAAAGAATAGCGTTAAACATTAAAAAAGAAAACACACTGATTGAAAATCTCAAATATTTTTGGGATATCCATCTTATTGATTGAAAATTATATGTTTGGTAAACATCTCTATTAATGCATTTAAATATTTGTTTGGAGGTTTATATAAGTTTCCGGAATTCTTCCTGTTCTTTGACATTTAATTTTAAGCAGTTTGATAGAATTGCAGAATATATTTTTTTATATACTGAAACGATGTTCCAAAAGAAATTATTTGCATTTAAAATATTCAAATGAACAATTTCAGAATTTCCTCAATACTATTGTTAAAACTACGCTGCTATATGAAATAGGTGATAAATTGTGGAAATTTTACAGCTAGCAAAAATAACGAATACTCCAAGAATGACATAAACGAAAAATTTTTAATATATTAATGTTAGTATCTATAGGTACTTGAACACCAAACTCGAATAACAAAAAATCCTAGATTAATGTTGATGTTTCCATCGTACCATGTTCCTTGTAAGATGATCATTAAACGTAATTCAAAGGTAGATGATAATTTTTAAGGAAGCATAATTGATTGTTTGGGCAAATATCTGCGGCAGTGTTTTGATATGTTCTCGTTGCCTGGACTTTGATTATTTTGGTATGAAATGTAGCAAATTGATAACCAACATTTTGCTGCTCAAAATGTCAATCCATATCTGCAAAATGGCACATTTTTTTGGAAGATTTTTAAATTATTTACTTTTTTTATACAATTTTGTTCATCGAACTCGAAACTGCAAAATACAGGGTGCACAACGCTTTCGTCGGATATAAAAGTTTGACTTACTGCTTTTACATTTTGATGGCAAGTAAGTTTCTTTTCACTTGTAGCGGTCATGCTACCTTTTCCCTATTTTAATTTGACTCATTCAGATCGCATTATTATTTAATATTGTATTGAAAAAATGTTTTTAATTAATAGGGTTGTGTTCTAATTGACTTTTCAGTACCTAATTTCTGATTATTTCTTTTTTCGGAACCCACCTGCGAAATATTCTAGAAAATATACAGAAAAATATCGGCCGGCTTATAAAATATACAAATCCCAAAGACTCGCGCCAATTAGCGTCCGCATAAGTCGCGAAAAATTAAAGTTCTCGCTGCTAATTTGAATTTAAAACAGTTTCCGTGTAGATGCACACCTTAAATGACAAAATCCGAACCTTCTTCCCGTGATTACGTTATGAATATTTCAGCGTTTTAATTTTGATGAAGGCGAAAAGAAAAATTTTAAGTGAAACGTTTCCAAAAAATTCGGCGAGAAAACAAAAGTAATTAGTTTTCAAAAAATTATTTCACTTTGGAAAATGAGGTGTCGGGTGTGATAAGGGGACGCTCGAAGACGGTTCCCGCGTTCACGGGCGCCCTTTTGATTAACTCTAATTGTCGGAATTATTCCGGGAACGTTTGTTGCGAGAAATTGGATATTTTAGACAGTTAAATTGGGCTTCGTGCGTCTTTATCCGATTTTAAGACGACATAACAGTAGAATCTCGATTATCCGGGCCAGCCGGGACCGAGCCTTCGCCGGATAATCGAAAACACGTATAATCCAAGGACCCTTTTTTATTATGTATTTTTTAAAATTTATTTAGATATATACATGTGTCGAACAAAGAGAACAAACATAATACAAGATACAACATACATGTAACAAAAAATAAAATATACTGTATACAAAATGTATACAATAAATTATGTTTGCAAAAATCACTTAAAAAAGTCACTGATTTTTGTTTTTGGGCTTCGTAACTTCTATACTTTATAATTTCTTTCATTTTTCTAGGCTGAAGTACACGAATGTCATCAATTAAAGGCGGTTCTTCAAAATATTGAATAAGTACGTTTACTGCATCCCTTGCTTCTTGATGACACGCAATAATTATTCTCATCACTATCACTACTTTTTTCAGAACTTTCTTCAGAAGTCTTGTTAATTATGTCATCGTCATTTGTGATCTGATACCCTTCCTCGTGATCACATTCTATACACTCATGTATTTTTTTATTGTCTATTTCTTCCAAACCATATATTTGCAAGGCTATAGATGCTATGTTTTCGATCGATAGCTCACCTTCATTTAACTGATTATTATCTCCAATAACGTCTTCATTCTCTGTATCTTATTTTATCAAATGATTTTTTAATGTTGCTTGCCTTCACTCCATTCCAAGCACGAGCTACAGCATATATTGCCTCTTTCAAATTCAGACGTTTCCAAAATTCCACAATGTCACGTTCTTCCAAAAGTTGAAGCATAAGATCTTTAAGATCAGTAACAAACAGTACAGCCTTTGGGGGAAGATTATTTTCTTTTTGATAAGTGATCTTGAGCTTTATTTCTTAATTCCTGCAAGAACACGACTCATGAACCTTATTTTGTATTGCGAAACACGGAGTTTCGAAAACATCGTCGGAGTTCTCTTCACAATCAGAAACTTCTCCAATTAGCTTCAGTCAATGCGTCACTGATTGCCTTATCATTCGATACCCACGTTTCGATGTTTTCATTCGATAAGCTTTGGTCAAGTTTTATACCTAACTCCCTAATATCTTCCAGATCATTTTGAATCTCCTTGGATTCTGAATTCCGAATTTGGCTTACTAAGCGTGAGGAATGTCGTCTCATCGTCATCATCAACATTTGGAAGCAAAAATTACTCCAAGATTTCGTAATTAAGTCAGTACCCACATTTTGCCAAGCCAAAACAACGTCCTTCAGTGTTATATCCTTCGAGGCTTGCGGAATATCAGAATCAGTCGCACTTGCTAAGGTTTCGCCAATCATACTGTTGGCTTCTTCAGAGCTTGACTGAAACTGGCTCGCATTTTACTCTGTACCTGTTTATATATTGGTTGAAATGAGCGGAGCTAAATGTGGGGCATAAACATTTAGCTCCACCCGCCTCAAACAATATATAAGCAGGTAAAAAGTAAAATGCGAGCCAGTTTCAGTCAAGCTCTGAAAAAGCCAACAGGATGATTAGCGAAACCTAACCTAAAAACTAACTAATCATTCAGGAATGTTAACATTTCGGCACTGGGTTTCATACTTTTATCTAGACCCAACAATTTTAATTTATCGTATCCAAAGGCATAAAAGGCATAAAAGTGATTCGTTCTTTGCTAACTTTTCGCAAGTTATCCTCCTGAATGTGCTAACGTTTTTGTTTAGAAGAACTCTCATAAAAGCCAACTTTCATCAGCATTATATACTTGATGGGGAGTCAGGTATTTTTTCTTTCATCATACCACAAACGGCAAGACTGCATTGTGGTCGCTTGAAAGTGATTCTCCACAAACTGTTAACTGGCCATCCTAAATTTGCTTTGAATTGTGTCAAAAATGAATCGCAAAATTTGATATACTGCCGGGCTCTATGAAGTTAAATAAAATTGTTTAAAAATCTTTACAAAGAGAAAAATCTGATATTTTATAACAATCAACCAGGAGGACCGACGTCATTTTTCTTTATAGCAGTTACTGTAGCTTTTCCATACTTACTTCCCATACCATGCTTCGAAGTAATGCTTGAAAAACTCATTTCGGCATCAATATCTTTTACAACTTGGACTTTAAATCTAGTGTTACGTGCTTTATCTTCCACATATTAGTCTTTTAAATTATCTAATAGTGTAAAATCAGTTTTGACACTACACAATACCCTAGATTCGTATAACTATGCACGTATGTCCTCAGTTTTTTCATGTTTTGATTATCAAGTTTGCACTGTATTTTGGGAATTTTCTAGCTCTTTACCAAAAAATATGTTAATAAGCGCTTTATCATATGGTGGAATAACATAAAAAAATATATCCAAAAAATTTACGTCACAAAAATATTGTGGACATTGGCGTTATTAATTTCCAAAAAATAAATAAAGGTCTACCTACTACTACTACATTAACATTATAAAACCATGTATCTATATCCTTTAGCATTACTTTTTATATATCCAATTTCTAAATAATTAGTTAGTAAAATGTTTAGTGTGGTTAATTTATTACAATAAACATAAACTATACAGTGCATATAAGTGTACAACCATTTTGAAATATTTTCAACGGCCTGTCACCACCGGTTCAGCCGGAAGTTGCTATCAACTTGTTTATATAAAATATTATTACATTTTCAGATTCTGTGAGAATTTCGAAACATATTTCATGTATAACATCGTATAGCTATCAGTTTTTGAAATATTTTACCTTGAAAGAACACTGCAACAACTTAAGAAGCCCTGTATACTAGATCCAAGTAGATATCAAAATTAAATTTGAAATTCAGTTATCTTTAAATCCAAACAAGTTTTATAAAAATCGTTTGTTTACATTTCATACCGTTTCTCTATAATCGATTGCATCGTATCCATTATGCTTCGCAAATGTACGAATTTTTGACTACCTACGTCCATTGTTAGAAATTTGTGTCTTTCTCAATGTGCTTTATGTATAAATTAATTATAAATGTATATTTCCAGATGTATATCGTTGTTTGCTTGGCTATTAATATCTCTAACGATAGTTTAATTTTTTATACTTCTACTATAAAACATCTCTTTTATAAGATGATTTGACAAATGTTTAAAACAATCTTTCAAACTGATGTGCTAACATACACATGCCACATATCCTAAAATGCACTTCTGTTAGAACGTCTAGTTATAAATCTAAAATGAACACGCTTAATGAAAACTTAATTCTATTCGGTGTAGGAAGCACATTACACGAGTTTGTCTTCGCATGTAGGAATTTCTATCTTATAAAATCTGTCTATCAGAAGCCAAAAAATGTTAGAGTCTTACTATTAACCGTACTTTGACTATCGTGCAATTCTTTTTAACTTTATATTGACGTGAATTAGACGAGGCCCAGTAGAAGATAAACTTCTCGTTAAAACTGGCTTGCTCTTTCTTGTGCAATCAAATCACTGGGTAACTGTCAACTCTAATTATATTAATTTTAAGTTTAAGCAGTATTAAATTACATATAAGTAAAAAATCCTTTTTTGTATTTAAGATAAATATATTGTCGAATACCACGTGTTGTTTTAATATCCCTGGTTAATTTATGCAAATAAAATTTCACAAGCAACTTTAATTGCCTACCTTGCGCGCAAATTTTTCCAAATTCTATCCGTATAGACGTCTATTTATGTCCTACTAATATATTAGCCCACAAAAGAAAGAGTTCTATAGCATACTATTTGTTGAAAATAATCAATTGGCTCTCCGGCAAGAGATGGCGCCCGCTGTTCGATTTAAGTAGTGACAATTTCTATGGTTGAACATGCCAAACTACTGATCTATGACTGATCCGAAGGTTATGTGAATAAATAAAACCTATAAGTGGATATTTTATCAGGAGTTCGAGAATTAGAAAATGCCGCTGGTGCGATTAAAGGCGAAACCGAAAATCAACCCTCGACGTGACGGCGCTTCGGAAAATCGAAACGTAACTATTAAATTAGAGAATAAAACAGAACCGCAAAATGAAAATAGGCAAGATACATCAGCCCTTCAGCCGGAAAATTTAGGAAAAGTTGTTAAAAATGAAGGCGGTGCTGTTAAACAAATCCAAATTATATCAAATACTGTCATAAAGGATGCCCATGGGGCTGTGGGTGAACTAAACCAATCCAATCAAATATCTACAAAGCAGAGCTCAGAGCCTAGTGGGGCGATATCTCAAGTTAAGGATGGAAATAATATCGCGGAAAAATTGCAGAAAGACGAAGCGGAACTAATTGTAGGCAAGACACAAGTGGGCACGGCAAACTTGGGAGTTGGCAATGTTTCAATAGAGTATCCTCCTCCGCCTCCGAGTCCTAGTAAGATCAATAGGGATAGGATAAAAGCCGTTCCAAGATTTAGTGAATTGGATGAATCTAGGCAACATGGAAGGATAAGAAATGTTTCTATTTGCTCCGTGGCATCTACTACAGATGGGTCAGAAAATATTTCGTCAAAAGATATAACGCCCATGATTCAGAAGAAAGTTAACCGCACAGAACAGTCAAGGTAAATTTTTACAATTAATTTCATCAACTATTGTTTGTTTTTTACAGGAAGTTAGCAGAAGCTAAAAAAGAATTTCAGAAACGTTTTGGAGCAGGCAATCCAGACAAACAAAAGTTAAGAATGATTGATTTAATTTTCTTCAATCCCAGTACCAACCCTATGAAGCAAACAGAAAAAGAATTAGATAAGAATAAACCTAATGAAAAAATAAACAGTGAGGAAAAAGATGGGGATGATGCAAGCCAACAAACTGAAGAAGACCCTGCAGTTCCTGATGAAGATAATAGCATGCCTGTGCCTCAAATAAAAATAGGTCCCTCCGGTGAAATTATCTTAGACGAACAAAGCCTTCTGATCGAAAATGAGGAGATTAAAAAGCAAAAGGAGCATATGCAACATTCGGCATTGGTTGATGGAGATTTTCCCTCTGGTTACGGTATATATAAAAGGGCGGAACGGTCCAAGGACTGGAGTCAAAGAGAGACGTTGAGTTTCTACAAGGCACTTAATGTCATAGGGACAGATTTTACTCTAATGGCGGAACTGTTTCCCAAAAGAACGAGACGAGAATTGAAAATGAAATTTAAGAAAGAGGAGAAATTAAATAGGCATTTAATAGATAAGGCGGTCACACAGCCCTGCAGTTATAACTACTCAGAATTGCAATTGGAATTTGGGATTTTACAAAAGGAGGAAGAAGAGCTTAAGAAGATTAAGGAGGAAGAAGCGAAAGCTAGGCTAGATAAGAGAAGTGAAATGAAACAAAATAAAAAATGTTTTAGGTGCAAAGAAGAACATCCCTATAATAAATGTGCCATCAAATATAAACAATTTCTCCCTGATCCTCCTGTAAGGGATGAATCATCACAAGACAGCTTAGATTTACGAGAACAACCAAAACCTAGAAAGACTTATAAGCGTAGACGTGTGGCAAAAGTGCCTAAACAGTCTTACAATTCTGAGGAAGATTCAGTGGAGGAAGAATCTGATGAAAGTCGGGTTTCAGATAGTGATGATTCAAAAGGAAAGAAAAAAATCAAACTCGAACATGGTGATGTAAGTGTGAGTGAAAATGCGGGAAGTGAGTCGGAGGATGAAACAATAGCACCCATATTGCTACCAACCAGGTCGGGAAGGATCCCTAAAAGTACCCAGAAGTTTGAGCATGAGCACTTGGTAGTGATCTCGACTAACGCCCAGAGGAGAAGGTCACCTAGCGTAGATTCAATAAAATCTGATAAAGCTGTTCCAGGTTCGGTGATGATTGTTACAGAAGATGCTCCCGATGGAAACTCCGTGTTTAAATCGTTTATGGTGACTCCCGATGGTGGTCTGACTTCTTTGGAATTGGAATCCGCTGTGATCTCGAGGGTTATTGACTACAAAAAATCGGTGGAAGAAGAATCCTCTGGTGCAATAGAAGAGTGTAACCTAACAATTCCCGCCGATGGTGACGTGACAAGTTTAAGAAGTCTGCCTGCGTGATAATTGATTAGTCACATCTGAAACAAAATTGTTTGCAAACTTTACATATGTATGTTAATCGGGTGATAAGTAAAGAAATAATTGTGTTATTGCTTTTTTTTTACAATGTACAAGGCCCAAGTTAACAAGTTTTCATAGATTCGGTAATAGATATTTTAGTATGTAAATTGCAAAAATAATTTCAGCCACTAAGGTCAAGTTTACTTATAACACCACTCGATTTGAAGAAAAAAGGAATCCTTAGCGGAATCTGCCAGTTCAAAACAATAAATTCACAGAACAGATTGACATGGTCCTTTCCTTTTATATAGAAACTATAATAAAGTTTTGTATATTGTCATGCGAACACCACTCTACAGTAGACAGAATGAATGAATGTAGAACGTGCTGGAATTTCTTACCTTTTAAATTTGAGGTTAGGGTAATCGGAACAACAGAACATACACTCGGGCGTAAAGTCAAAGTTTCCAGCATGTATAATTCTGTAAACTTTCGTAAATAAACAACGTAACTATTAGATAATATAAGACAGGACATCCTTCTAAATTTAACACACTAATCAGCACTTTCTACCATTTTCTTTCTAAACAGCGATGTAAACACACTTTACTCATTTTTCCAGAACATTTAACAAGATCTGGGCATATTTTGAGAAAGTCCTGCTCAAAACCTATCCAATTCATGAACTGTCAGCGGCCATGTTGGTTGTGATCGCGCAGGCGCATATTGAACAATCCTTCCAAAAGTTCTCGTATTATCTGCATAGGCATTCAGGCGCAATTTAGATAAATTTCTGTTTGACGAATTGAAACACAAAGCAGCACATGAATGGAAGTAACTAACCAAAATTTGATTAGGCAAAAATTTATAATTTTAATTTTAAACGACTCGTTTTAAACAGATGCAAAAAAGGTGCTATTGTTTTCGTAATAAACAATTTACCTAGATAATTTAAAATTTAGAAAAGGAAAAAATTGCACTTTTTTGTACTTTCCATTTTTGCACTTCCCATATCAAGGATTAAGTGTTGAACAATAATTCACGTTATGACGATTGACCGCGAACAAAAGCTTCATCGGAAAACATTATTTTAGACAAAAAATCTTAATCTTAATAACTGATTTATTTATAACAGTGCAGAAGTTTATCCTTTGTTCAAAATCACAGTTTAGAAGTTCTTAGTGTAGTTATAGATGGAAGGGGTGGTATTTGTGTTTCCTAGTGGTGCGATTAACGGAAGATTGGGAGGTATGACGTAAGCTTGACGGCTACTTACCCGAGGATTAACTTGAACTTGAAATAAAATTTTCAATTCTTTCCATTTTTCATATTCAACTAGCACCAAGCCGTTCCATTAAACACTGAAGAAATTGTCTATTTGGTATACGTCTTTTTTCCGCATCAACTAGCATATAAGTCGGGTCAATTAATTAAGATTTAGGAAAATTCCTACTTCCTAGGTTTTCGAAAGATTTTTCAGAGAAAATGATAATATATATGGTGAGCCATTGAAAAAAGTCGAGATTTTTCCATTTAAAATGATCAAAATATATTCGTTTATTTTGTGGCATCTAATTAAAATTCTTTTTACGTAATATTTGAATAAAGCTAGTGTCAAATATCAGTGACCTACCATCAAAAATAACCGCGCTGTCGTAAGTGTGAAACTAGCATTTTCTTAGAAAAATTATAATATTGGAAAAGCTATTAGGAATCGGTATGGAGTATCATTAACGATAAAGTTGACGATTTTCTTGAAAACAAAATTTAAATATAGTGTGCTCCATTTAAAAAAGCCTATGATTTATTCTTTCTTGAGCTACCCTGTATACTTCCAAAATAATATGATTTTGTGCATCTTAACAATATTTACAACTTTCCTGTTTACCATTTTCTCATAAATTTTGAAACCAATGAGCAATGAACTTGACTGTATCGTTGACTCACCCTGTACAAAAAAAATTTTGCTGTACACCGCTCCTGTTAGCATTTTTTTAATTCTGCATGTTCAAAAACCTACACATATTGAATTTTATCCTTCTAGCTTTGGTAGTTTTATTTATTTATTTATTGACAATTTAGGTTGCATACAGTACAAAATACCAAAAAAAGTACATGATGCAAAGTGACATAATAATATAAAGACTATTACAAGTTTACATTTTAATTAGGGTGTTCTATGTCGTATTATGTTCTAGAAAATATTTTCTCACCATGCATTTAATAGGAGTAACAAAAATATCGACATCAAGAAAGCAGTTACGAAAATTAAATATATTGGGTTGTTCGGAAAGTCATTTCGTTTTTTTTGGGGAACATGAAAGACAGTTTTCGTATAATGAATAAATATTTTATTAAATTATATGTTGGCCATTCTGGTCCAACACCTTTTGGCATCTTTCTGGCAGTAACATAATTCCCCTCTCATAAAAATTTTGGTCCTTGCTGGCAAAAAACTGGTTCAGGTGGTTTTTGACATCTTCATTTGAGGTAAAGGTTTTGCCATCCAAAAAATTTTGCAGGGACCGGAACAAATAGTAGTCGGAAAGCGCCAGATCTGGAGAATATGGTGGATGTTGCAGTACGTCCCATTCAAGCGGTAAAAGTTTTTGGCGAGTGACCAAACTTGTGTGAGGTCTCGCATTATCCTGGTGGAACACTACACCCTTCCTGTTGATTAATTCGGGCCTTTTCTCTTTAAGTGAATCATTCAATTTGTCCAGTTGATGACAATAGACTTCTGAATTAATCGTTGTATTGTCCGGCAAAAGCTCAAAAAAAACGATTCCTTTGACATCCCACCAAACGGAGAGCATCACCTTTTTTTGGTGAATGTTGGCTTTTGACACGCTTTGAGCCGGTTCATCTTTTCCGCTTCATGACCTCTTGCGTTTAACATTATTGTATACAACCCATTTTTCGTCCCCAGTAATAATCCGCTTCAAAAATGGATCATTTTCTTGACGTTTGAGGAGCGAATCACACACGTCAACGCGACGACACAAATTTCGCTCCGTAAGGACATGGGGCACCCACACATCGAGCTTCGAGGTTAAGCCCATGCCTTTCAAATGGCCATAAACAGTCGAATTCGACAAATTTAATCTCTCACCGATCTCTCGTGTGGTTATTCGCCGATTTGCATCAACTAATGCCTTTATCGCATCTTTGTCAGCTTCGACCGGCCTTCCAGACCGTAGTGCATCTTCGACATCAAAATTGCCGGATCGAAATTTTGCAAACCAGTTCTGGCACTGGCGTACTGTTAACACGCCTTCTCCATATACATCCGTCAATTTTTTTCTCGCTTGGACAGCATTTTTACCTTTTCTGAAGTAAAAAAGTAAAATATGACGAAAATGCTGCTTATTGCTCTCCATATTTAAAAGGGCACCAACCAAAAACTACTGCGTAGAATTAATAGAACTTTTTCACACACAAGTCTTGCAATATCAGCTCTCAAGACATATAATGGTTATGCGGCTTAAGTGTGAAGTTGGTTTCGAAAAAACGTAATTAAGTCCTCTGACGGGAAAAAACGAAATGACTTTCCGAACAACCTTATATTTTGTAATCTAGTGATCGGAGAGTTCTGTTGGTTCGGTAGTGGTCGACATCAAATAGAGCCCTGTCTCTTGCGTTCTGCCCTGGTATTCGTAGGTTAATCTTTGAGGAGAGTCAACTAGTAACAAGTAGTCAACAAGTAACAGGTCTGTTTGCCTTCTTTCGTTTTGGGGAGTTAGAATTAGAATTTTGATCTAATGTGGTTGTAGTTGTGGTTTTCAACGTTGGTGTTAGTTTTATTTAAAAATCTGTTTTGTACTCGTTCCAAACGCGTATTGTGGATGTTGTAATTAGGATTCCAAATGACTGAAGTGAACGAAAGTTTACTATGAACAAACGCATAGTACAGTGCAAGAAGAGATTTGGGGATTTTAAAATCTATTGAGTCTATAGGTAATTTTATTCGATTCGATCATTGCTCTGCCTATATGAGTTTTAAAAGTCCACTTTTCGTCCAGCGTTCAGTTTTGGAGATATTTAAGCGTTCGATTAAAAAAATAGGCGATATAATCTGACTGGTTCACATGTGAATGTTCTTAAATAATAATATTCTAATAATACAGCTAAATGGAGCCAATTTGAATTAATTGGGTGTTTCGTAATAACAGGCTTGAATATGCGCTAAGGATATCGACCCAACCCTTAGCAATTAGAACAGCGCGCTTAAATGTTGAATTGCCAAATGGGTTTTATCGTTTTAGTAGCTGCAAACTATCGAAGAGATTAAAAAATGACATCTCCCACGGTAACTATCGGTTTTGTCAAACTTACGCGTATCCATGCGAAGACTTACTTTGAATTTCAGGAGCACGACCTTACCCAAGTATACCGTATGGAAAAACGACTTATGTTATTGGCGGGATTTTATCCCAAGCCAAAAGACAGTAACCAGTTCGTCTATTACTTATCGTGCGCCGTGGTTTTCTCTATCGAGGTCTATTTTGAACTGTCCATGACGTTGTACGTTGTGAACGAAATGGACGATGTAATGAAAATAGCCGAAACGTTGCTATTTTTGATGACTCAAACCGCGTTCCTCGCTAAACTTATAAATTTCGCTTATAACAAAGACAAACTCTCCGTTCTGGAAGCAATATTAAAGACGGAACTGTTCCAAGAAATGACTAGGACTGATTTTCAAAAGTTCCAGGCAAACGTGAGCAAATCCAGGAAGATTTTGTTGTTTTATTGCTCGAACGCCGCGGCTTCTGTGTCTGGATATGTACTAATTCCTTTTTTTGAAGGTCGATCTACGCACAGGTATGGCTATGTTACTATATCATCTTATATGTAAACATTTTCCAGCTGCTTCTATGAATATCTTTTATTTAGAAACTGATAAGCTGTTACTCTCTTCACTATTTTTTTTCTTAGTTTGAAGGGACCATATCGCTATCAAAACCTTACCTGCTTATAAAATTTTCGTAAATCTAGTTTTGCTTTAGTTCGAGAAAGAATTCATCATGACCGTAAAGAAATAGACCAGAGCAATAAGACTTTTCTTCCTCTAGATCTTGAAATTGCTTCCATCTCTTCCCCATCCAAGTTCGACTCCCTGTTCAACATGAACAAGTTGAAAATCTTCGTTTATCTTCTACCCAAAATCACATTCAAGAAGTCGAAAAACTAACGTCAACAAAATTGAAACCATCACACGATTTGCCAGCGCAAAAACTCTTTAAAAAATCGAAACTGCGCTGAATCTAATATTCCAAAGTCTGAATCCATTCCTCTAAAATAAAAATTATATATAAAAAATATCTAGGTTCTATATTAAAACTCTTTACAGGGAAAACTAATAGTTTCCTACATAATTGTTTTCATTTCATTGAACAACTGAAAACCATTACATTAGATGCAAAGCTATATATCCGCGATGACTGGTCATAATGGAAAACCCATAGCTGTTCCCGACGTTTGTTGAAAACTTTGGTCATCATAAAAAATAAGTTCTAGAAAAGCATTTTGCATTTAAGATGAGAAGGTTTGGTTCCAGATTCTAGGATTTTTTATATATCTGAAATAATGTTGAGAGTTTTAGGAATAGTCACTTTAATAAAGAGCGGTTCTACGTTGAAACGGACCTGAATATATTATGGATCAAATGTAATGGTTTTTATTTGTTCAATGAAATGACAGGAAAGGGTAGCCTGGGTGTCCCTAGAGACGATGAATTTTAGAGTCATGAGGGGTGACATACTTTTCACGGATTCTGATAGAGCCTTAATAACAGATTTCCATAGATGACGTAGGATCTTTTTTAAGTTCACAATAGGATCCGTCCGTAAGAATATCTTCAATCTTTTTCTGATCTTCACTTTACCAACATGACACATTCTAGTTTTGGAATATTAAATTTAGGAGGTTTTGATCTTTTAAAAGAATATTTGCGGTTTCAAATCGAATTTCATTAGCTGCTTGAGATGGCAGATTGTTTAGGATAAACTCGATATTTGAAATGATTTCCTGTTTTGGGATAATACGTGGGACAAGGATGAAGTTGGAACCTTTTGCGAGGGCTGATTTTTCCGCTTCAGAAAGTTGGTGCGATGATACATTTACATTTGCCAGTTAAGAAGATTCTGGGTAGAATATAAATGAAGATTTTCAGTTTTGAAGTGAATTCTTTTTAAAAGTAAAGCCATACTAGATTTACAAAGAATCTTATAAACGGATTAGGTTTGGACATGATAGGGCAGTTTAAGAAAAGTAGGCATAACGTTATGGTCTCTCCAATGGAACAGAAAGTCAGTGTACAGAGTAATCTTACCAATCGATGTCCTCTCCATAAAGTTTATATTTCAATTTTAATGAAAATGGAAAGTCCGTCACCTGTCAAGAGTTGTCTATCCAATATCTGGACACCTTGTATATTAATCCTAATTAAATTCAATTCAGCACGAATTGCCGTTTTAGGTTGGCAGTTCCCAGCTTTAACCCGTGGGACGTTAAAGAGTACTATTACTCTACGCATTTCTTTCAAGTTTTGTGCCTCACCATAGGCGCCACATTGAACTCCATTGTCGACACTATGTTCGCTTCGTTGTGCACCATTTTCTACGGCGAACTTAGAATACTTAAACGATGTTTTAGGAATTTGGATTACAGCTTGCCTCCAGGAATTGTGAGACGGCAGTTGAAAAGGAACGCGTTGTTCCATTTGGAAATATTGAAGTGATTACCTATATTCAATCAATTTCTTAAATTAATCAATCATTTTAGAGTTGCAAATCTCACAGAGCGATTTTTCACATACGGAATTTTGGTTCAGTTCCTGAGTAGCATTTTCGTTATCTGCTTTACTGGGTTTCAAATGATGTTGGTAGGTATTTTATCACCAACAATAAGAGCTGATGATGATTGCTTTCCTATAATTTTAAACATAACCTGAACTGTCTCCGAGGAATTTTTAAACAACTTTGTGTTTATTACAGATCCCGACTCTGAGTTCTGACTTTTTTCATTTCGTGGTATACCTAGCGTGCATGTTATCACAAGTCGCCATTTTCTGTTGCTACGGCCATTTTGTGACGAACGAAGTAAAACGAGTGATAAATTCTAAAGTTGTCAGCTGAGTTAACGCTATTGTAGAGTTCTGACATCGGGGAAGCGATCTATTTGTCCAACTGGTACATGTCTGACCTGTCCGTCAGAAAAGATCTACTAATAGTGATGGAAAACACGAAAAAACCAATTTTACTGACGGCCGGTAAATTTTTACCTCTCGTGATGAGCACCTTAACTGCGGCATGTTATAAACTTGCGACATGGAAAACTTGTCATTAAAATCGCTGTTGCAGATTTTGAGGTCTTCGTATTCATTCCTAGCAGTGTTGCAACAAATGGAATAGGGTTCCGGAGAGAAATCACCACCCTTGCTTTAGTGCTCTATATTTATTTGCTTTGAACAGTAACATAGAAGCGCCAGTGGCAGCGTAACGCTTTATATTTATAGGTACGGTCGAAACAAACGTGAATCGCGGTTTAAATCGTAGAAGAATCACCCGTCCAGCTCTAACAATCTCATTATGGTAGCATATGCCAGTTTTGGTATCGTAAAAAACTAGCAATTAGCAACCAAACCAAAAATGGCATACGTATGTTTTTTATTTTTAGTTTGAATTGGTTTTTAAGTTAATAACATAGGGGAAAGTCAGATAAGTTTACGAATCTAAAATTTCAATTTTAACGTGTGGTGCTGCCATCCCACTGAGAGTAGACGAATTAGGTTTATGACATGTTACGGAATTCTAGACGCCAGTTATATTATGCGCTTGCGTTTGTTTTCCAAAGTGTTAGAATAATGTCGTTGTGTCATATCAGATTTTCCATTACTTTTTCAAGGTAGGAAATTATTAAATTATGTTGATTTTCTAGTTATAGCTTTTGTTTATTGCATACGAGTATAATTTTCGTTCGACACTTTGTTTTCGACGACTAAATTATTATTTTATTATTAAATAATGTATTAGTTTATGACAGCTGTTTAGGCAACACAGTGTCTTTATCAATTTATCAGATAAAGGCACGGCGTTGAAGAAACAGCTGTCATTAACAAATAAATAACTGTGAAAATCTGAATATTTTTTGTTCTAATTTAGTTGTGTTAAATGGATTTTCATCAAGTAAAAGTCACTTCAGTTTAATAATTTTTGAACTTTAACAGTTTTCTTTTGTAAAATGCCATTGACATACACCAGGAAGACTAGTAGACCATTTGGGTACTGAGACAAACTTAACAGCTACCTTAATTGCTATTGGCGAAGGACAGTCTTGCTATAGTGTTGCTTCACGATTCGAAATTCCTGAAGCTACCTTTGCAAAAAAGAGACGCCAAGGGTAGAACCTACCACGACAAGGCGGAAGATACCGATATACTATTAGTGAGACCCAAAGTGAGGATACATTTGCTAAACAGCATTTGGACTTACAAAAACTGAAGTTGGAGGACTTGCTTTTAATTATGCAGAGCAGAAAAACATGCTTCACAGATTCAACGAAAATGTAAGAATCGGAGCAAGGATTGGATACAATCTTTTTTACTCCTGAAGCTACCACAGTGGGTTTCAAAAAAGTCGCGGTCCAAAATTCTACAACCTATAATTTTAATGCAAGCAAAATTAATAATGCAGATGAGAGCGGACTCATCTGTGTCCAGGAAATTGTTTGCTCCGCAGCACTGGGGAATTTTGTCCTCGAGCTCAACAGAACTAGAGCCATTTGTGAAATATTGAAGTCATTTTCAACAGAATACTACCACTACTACAGAACGACCAGTTGCCCCACATTTCGCTGGATTGAATAAATTTTTGTCTAGAAAACGAAATCGTCATGGTGGTAGTCCCACCTTACACTAATCACAGGCTCGAGCCTTTAAACGTATCCTTTTTTGGACTTCTAAAACCATTGTTTTAACCCTAGTGAAGCCATGACTGGCAATTATATATTTTGCAATAAGTGCGGTAAACAGTATTTGAGCCACTAGTTTACTTGGCACGAGCGCAGCGAGTGTTTAATTAACAAGTGACTTAAAACCTCAACGTACGCTGCTATGTATGGTGTATAATTGAGCATTTTTGGAGAAGGGAGTATAAAAAACAATTGCCGGTTTTTTACTGAAGCGTATTGAAAGACCGCAATGGTTGGAAATGATGTACAGGGATTCAAAAGATGCGGAATTGAACCGTTTAGTCCTTACATTTTTGGCGAAGATTAAACCGCAAAAGAAGCATCAAAAACAAACTTCTTCAATATATACTTCAATAAATAACAAAGCCCACTGTTAATTCACAGCGCCAATATTCGTCGGAAGTTTCTCTGCTTGGAGAATCTGCGGAAAATTAGTATTCTCCACTCCAAGGCCAAAAGCTGCCGACTGGAAATAATAAACAGAGGCAGGATCGTAGCTTTATGGTAATAAAAATAATCGTCACCAGCTAAGCACGCCCCGAGGTGTCGAGAATTGGTGTGGGATTAAAAAAACCATAAGAAAATCCTGAGTTCAATGTTAATAAAAATGATAAAACTGAAGATGCCGTTGTTCAAAATACTGCCTTTCCCAAAATTTGGCCTAAAAATCAGAAAGAAAGAAAAGTGGTCGCAAGTTTAATTACCAGTAATCCAGTAAAAAATCAGCTAGATGAAAACTTTGAGGTTGAGAACTAGAAAGGAGAGATGAAAATGCGATAAGGAATAGGAAGAAGAACTATGCCCAGGTTGCAATGAACTCTTTGAGGATCCTCCCGTAGAGGTTTGCATTCAGTGTTCGAGATGTTTTAGTTTTTTCTGCCGTACATTATGGTTCAATGTTTATTCGATATTTAGGCTTACATATACACCAACGTATACTGAAAAAAAAATCACCTAGTTTAAAAAATAATATTTTCATTAACATCGCTTACCCGACTTTCCCCAAGTTAAATCAAAAAATCATTTTTAATCAACTCATTTTTTACCGGTTCAACCAATAGTTATTCTGGTAGTAAATGTAATGAGTTAAAAGTTAAAAAGTAAAAAAATAAAACAAAAATTACCAAAATTAGTTTGAAAAAATATTTAGGATAATAATGTCTCAATATTTTTACCATTTGAATCTAGAGCCGAACAAGCGATAATTCCAGATTGTACCAAGCTAATATTATGAATTAAAATTTCCTGCAGCAGCACTTTTTCATTTTTTTTCCTCCGGAATCTGCAAGGGCGTCGGAACCTTGTGACCGCACTTGTTGCAGATGTTGTTGACGTCCAAACAGTTGTTGATCGTCAGATTCGTTTGGTGATCAACTGACTTTGATCGTGTGTGACGCGACTGTGGAATGTTAAGACAGTCGTCTGTCGACGACTGATACTCGCTATCGTATTCTGAAACAATTTGAAACCATTCAAAAATCATCTTTAAGCCATTAGATTTAGCGTCGGGACACCCCAAAGGTTTCCAAATAGAAAAAATTACCTGGAGGACTGCTGGTTGGATCATCCAATTCGATAGAATCTTCAAGTAACGGCATCTTGTTATCGGGTGTCTTTGCAGAACTAGTTGGAGTAGTCTCGATGCCGTGAAAGAGGTCGAGCCTTGAATCCAGAGAAAACTGCTTTCCCGACATCAAAATGCCCTTGATTCTCCTTCGCATGGCTAGAAAAACGGCGAATCATATCACCGTTGATCGTCGGCAATTTGCAAAGTTACCTGGGCTGTCTTGGGCACCTTTTCTTAGAGTTACGGTTTTCGAGAACTGCTCCAAAACGTCGCCTTGGTCGTAAATAGCCGCAAAAGAAGCGTTAACTATCTTCGGAGACATGGGAACGTTAGATAACAGCAAACTTGACCCAAAATTCTCGTTCTGGCGGGTTTCTGAGAAAGACGCAAATACATGTATAATACGACCAAAAATCTAGTGCACTTATTGCTTTAAAATTTGAAATTATTAAGTATAACAGATGTTTATTCTGCATTAAGTAAGTCTTGCCTGAGATGGACCGTTACAAATATTTGTAGAAACTTGAAATTTGCATTTCAAATGTAACTAGACCGTTTTACATTTGATTAAGCATAGATGCTGCTGGGTATTTTTGAATAAGTAGAAGCGTTTATTTTAATCTATATTGCAATATGATATTCGACTGTGATCCTTCCAGTAAGTACGTATTTATGTACCTCATTCGCGAGCTTTGACCCTGCGAGGCTGTTTTCATTTGATAGTTCAAAGAGTACAGGTAAGTACCTGTACTTTATTTATCTTACAGGTAAGTTTGAAAATAATCATTTTTCCTTGTGTGCCTCTCGATTATTTTTGCGTCTTCTACATAGTTCTTCGATTTGTAAACAACGATTCAACAAGAATTCAGATAAATATTTATTTTGACCTTATAATTAAACATTCTTTAAAGGTTCTGGTTTCTTAACACTTTAAAATATGGAGACCTTAGAATGAAGCAGATATTCCCCTGTTAGAAGAAGACATGGAAAACAACGCAGAATTTTAAGACGAAGTGGAGGTGGTAGTCGAACCTAATGACAATTTAGAAGACGAACTACCTCAGCAAATAAAAAAACGGATCCATTTGTCAAGTGTGTATTAGAAGTGCCGTGCACATGGAAAACCCATAATAATTCTACATGCTAGGTCCAAAAATGGTTGGGCAGAAGATGCCTTATTTTTGTCTGCCAAAAACGTCAAAGATTCAAATGTGGATTACCATGATATCATGACAGTGGAAATATTTGAAGACTGGTTTGAAAATAATTTTTTGGCAAAACTATCTTCAAATACATCTGTTGGATAATGCCTCCATTCAGCCCAAATTAGAAAATTTCTAAATACATCTTTAAATAAAGAAGAATTTAAAGAATTTCTGTACAAAAATGTTTAAAGTTACAGTAGCGATAGTGATGATTTTTTAAGTGACTTTATTATTATTATATTTAATATTTTGTATATTAATAATGATACCATGTAGAAATGTACTGAAATAGAACGTAATAAATTGTTACTTTGTACTAATTTTTTATGTACATATTTCAAGAATTGCTCGGCGAAAAAGATTGAAAAAATACTTATATCCCGTTTCTTAGTGTGGGTAGATAAATTCCTAGGACGATCCTGGAATGGTTACGGGTAAGGGTCTGCTCGGCAGGGTGTTTATTAGGGGCTGCGGTTTGGGAGTAATGCACATTATTCAAAGTTAATTACAGGGTCGGTTTTAAAAGCACTATATTTTTGGTCGAAGTATAATTACATAAGTGAGCAAAACTCACCTCCTAATGGGACTTTGGTCCTCTTGGTCTTGCTGTCTTGAAGAATGTCATTCGTAACGAAAACTATCTCCTTCCAATCCTTTACTATATCTTCAAGAGTTGTCCTCGGTGACGTAACGGTAAAACGTATCACGTATTTTCCCTTTAAGCTAGCCGGCACGCAGTGGATGTTACCTCTCGAGTTCAATCTTTTGCACAAGGTTTCGGTGATGACGTTATCCCCCTTAAGTCTAAAAACTACCAGGCCCAGATGCCTTTTGGACGGAATTTCAAATCGGGTGTCGTTCTTAACGAATTGTTCGAATTTTTCCGCCAAGTGTACACCCTATGAGACCAACGAATCGTATTGTGCGTTCAGAAACTAAAATATACTTGCCTTTCTAATGTGTTCTTGGAGTCCCGTGATGCCGTAGTTTCGGATGACGAACCACAACTTCAACGAGCGAAATCTTTTGCTCAAAGGAATTTGCCAATGCTATAATGAAAAGGATAAAATACGGAGTCTCCTGAAGGCTAGTTGCCAAAATGGTGGGTTCGTGCAGGTACCCTTTGTGACGACTTAAATATGACTTATTTTGTTTATACAGTGTGTTGCATTTAAGACGATGAAACCCCTTTTGGCTATCTAAATAAATAGAGATTTGAAGTATCGCACAGTCATTCAGGTTGATGGTTCACCGTTTTAAACATATTCAACTGAAACCAGATTAAACTTTCTTTATTTAGTAATCACGTAGTAGCAGATAAGTTGCTGCAGTGTTTAACAGGATACATCCGCAACGTGCTTTCATAACACATTGTAAAGCGGCAGCTATAAATGCTCTTTTCAATGAAACTGACAAACAAAGTAATGAAAAAACTAAAAACACGAAATACGAAAACTTTTTCCGATATTTCTAACGCGGAGCAGAATATTGACCCCATTTTCGTGGATTCACAGTAGGCCGCGTTTAAAATTTGTATTTCTGTTGAGTATCTTGAAAATGTGACCCCTATCTGTATGACTGTACCAAAATGCAAAGCTGTATTTATTTGCATTTACATTACATATCTAATACATTATCATGCAAAAAAGGCATTTTCAAATTTGACCTAACCGCCCTCACTTAAAAATCTAACTTGGATATGGTCATTCGAGAAGAAATGACAAAGTTTTTATTTATTTTCGGAAATCTACCCATCCATTTTGACGACTACCTTTTGAGAACACCTCAAGGGAATAAGTAGGGATTTAATCTTACCATATAATCAATTGCGAGACCTAGATAAATATACATTTTCGTGAATAAATCACATTTGCTTACGGTGAAGTGCAGATATCGTTAAGGACACTTTAAAAACCTACTAATAACGATAGCTGTATATAATCAAGTTGAAATACTATATATTTCAAATATATATACTTCAAATTATAGAGGGTGTATCTTTCCAAAATATTTTTAAATATGCAGTGTTGCCGCTTCTATATAAACGTGGCAACATTTTGATTACTTTAAACTGCACCCCATGTATATCATTACATTTTTAGATTCTACGACAGAAATAAAGTAGATTTTGCTAAGGTTTATCGATACTTTTCTTTTGCCGTTTGCCGAATAAAAACCAATTGGCACCCTTGAAGAAATTTTAATCTTCAAGAGCCCAGTCATTCATTCCTGGCATACCATTTTAAAATGGAACATAAGGGGTGTTTTAAAAGTAAGAATTGGTCAAGGAGTAGCATGCTCCGTATAGTCCTTTTAATTTCGATTTCTTGAAACAAAATAGCGATTTTCGAACATTGATTTAATACACGGCTTACCTTGAAATTATAACCTAATATGTCAGCAACAATATGGTTTTCGCGGAGGTCGGTCAACAAAAACCGAATTAAATCAGCAAATTTGCAATGCTTTAAACATTAAAGAGGACATTTTTGTTAGTATTTTGAAATATCGCGACCTTTTGACTCAGTATTTAACAAAGGCGTTAGAGAAAGCATCTTAACTGGATCAGGTCCTACGTAACTGATAGAAAATGAAAATGAAAAAATCTTGCCTGTTGCCAGGACTATTTAACTTGCATGGGGATAGTCTTCTCTGTATGATGGTCTAATGTGTCATTCGCTGACGATTCCAGTGTAGTAATAACGAGAAAATTAAAACAAGTCAGAAAGACAAACTGAGAATCATCCATAAAATTAATGTCAATTGGGTGTCTAGCCAGCGGTATTACATTAAATATCAAGAAATCCGTGGCAATGGAATTTGCCGCCAAAAATGGAATAACGAATTCCAGCATTCTATTAAAAACTAATTAAAAATGCTTAAAAACGTTTATTTATTACTATTAACGACTATTAACTATCTGGCAGAAAATAAAGCTCACATTGTTTCCTAATAAAAAATATAGGAGTCTCAGTCGCCATAGATATTTTGAAATTAATATATTTTATTCTTGTACAATCTACTAATACTATCTACTACTATCTACTGCAGTCAAATGTCTATTAAAGGACACATCTTATCAGCGGACACCTTCCTTGTACGGCCCATTTTACGAGGTTAGCGCCAAAATTTCCCTGCCTGACATAGAAACAGCTCCAATATCACGATAAAACTTTGTCTTCTGTTAAATATATATCTTAGTAGGCTGCGAAAAAAAAATTTGAAGTCTTGCGTCAAATAATTTTTTATTGACAGCATTTTAAACAAGACGTGTCCGAACAAATGTCGCAAATAACGCAAATTGAGCATAGAGGAGCCAAAGAAGGGTTAGCACCTAAAATTATTAAAGAAAGGCTGGATGCTGTGTACGGCCAAAGTTCTCCTTTGTATTCTGTAGTGAAAGAATGTGTAATACATTTTCGAATGGGGCAGGAGTCCCTTGACAACGGCAAATACTGTTGCGATTGTGGTAGAGGTGGTATTGAGTGATCGACGTTTGAAGGTCGAGGAAATCTCAGAAATTACTAAGCTTTCTGATACAAGTGTTCGTCGAATCCTGCATGATGTATGATGGGTTTCTAAAAACCTTTTGACCTGTGATAGAAACTATTGTGACGGGAGATGAAACTATGGTTCTCTATTATGACCCTCTATCGAAAAAAGAATCAATGGAGTGGCGACGTAAGGCTGAAGCACCTCCAACAAAATTCAGAGTCTGCCAGTCAACAAACAAGGTGATGGCCACGATCTTTTGGGATTGTGAAGGAATTCTTTTGATAGGTTTTAAAGAAACTTATGCCACTGTCAATGGTAAATATTACGTAATATTATTACATAAATTGAGAGAAGACATACGTGTAAAACGTCGAGGAAAACAGCAGAGGCGTGCGTCTTTTGCACGATAATGCACCTGTCCATAGTGCTGGTGTTGCACAAGCTGCCATTTTAGAGTGTGGCTTTCAACACATAGAGCATCCTCCCTATAGCCTAGCGACTATTATTTGTTTGGATATTTGAAAAAGGACTTACGTGGACGACAGTTTAACGACGAAATTGAATTAAAAGAGGCTGTTTTAGCTCATTTTGCAGACAAGCCAAAATGATATATTTTTAAAGGGTTTGATTAAGTTGACTGTTACCTGATGATAGTCCATTATATACGTAATTTAATAAAAACAAACACTTGCTTTAAGATTACCACACACATGTTTATTGCTTTGACAATTGTTTCGATACACTGTACCCTCTTCAGAAAGAATTTCTAAACCCTGTGATAGTTAGTTTAGAGATTCTTTCTGAAGAAGGTACAGTGTACCGAAACAATTGTCAAATCAATAAACATGTGTGTGGTAATCTTAAAGCAAGTGTTTGTTTTTATTAAATTACGTATTTTTAATGGGATTGAGTTGTTAATAAAGAGATGTAATAAGTGTATGGAAGTTAAGGGGGATTATGTTGAAAAATAATAAAAAATTGTTACTCTACTTGGTTTCTTTTATATTCAGGCCGGTAAATTTTGGCGCAACCCTCGTAGTCTCTTAAACGGTAATTCTCTTTTGCGGACACGGACAGTGTTTTGTAATATTTTTATAATAACAATTCTTTCTGTATTCGGCGCTTGTAGCAATTTGTATCATATGCTGTAGGGGAAGTATTAAGATAATAAAATTAATCACAAAATGTGGTGATTCCCCGAATCATCCGTTGCGTTGTCGGTTTCTTTTGTGTTGTTCTCGCTTCAGTTCTTCAAGACAGTTTCTCACGTTGCAGTTAAAGTTTTTGAAGTATATAATGAAGAGAAGTTGAGAGTGCGGAAATTGTGAGAGCGTTCAGAGATTAAAAAGAAAAGTTAGGGGACCGAATTTACTTTTTTTCTTGTGCAGAATCTAAAAATCAAATGATATACAGGGATGCCATTTAAACCTAAGCAACATGCTGCCACGTTTATATAGAATCGGCAATACTGTATACTAATACTATACTATATAATTTGAAAATATTTTAGGACGATACAGCACATCTTCTCTGACATCATCCTGCATAATTTAAAGTAAATGTGTTGACCAGTTCGCCAGATACTTCCAAAAAAATAAAAACAGCCCTTTTTTATTTTTACGATCCTTCTAGCATTCTACCTATTAAAATCAAATTAAAAAGATTTACCTGAATATTCGTGGGTTAAATATAAAGGGTTTACGTTGAAAGCTCCGTGAAGTGCGCTGCTGTTTTTCACCCTTAAAAATAGAGAAGGTTACTTCGACCCATTGATACTTATAATGAAAACACGAATACAAGGATGGAACCTCCAAGAATGACCCATCATAGTTTTTAACATTTTAATTAACATGATTTAAGGGTTCCCAATCGAATCTTTTCCATACCTAATATTCCCAAATAATAACCAAATCTCAACAGAGATAAGGTTACTTTTGATTCGGTAAGCGAGAATAAACGTGGTGATCGTTTTCTCTAAAATAATTGAAAAGTTGATTAAAAAAAAGAATTGTGAAAAAATAGTTAAGGTTTCATATAAATTCCAATGTAGTCAGTAGGTCAGAATAGATAAATTTTGTAGCGAAACGTTAGAAAACAATAATCGACTTCCATATTGGGACCGGATCGTTGCCTTATTCCATTTATATCGTTAGATGGAATTTGTCAACCTTAATGCTCAATATTACAAATACACTGAGAAAATGAGATAGACTTCTCACATAGCTGTCCTCCAATAAACTAAAGATAAGTTTAAAAATCTTAAATAAAAAAAACAGTAAGCAATATTAATAAAAAAAATTAACAACCTTAATTTAGATAAAAGTAACATTCATAAAGTAAATCTGATTGGTTATGGTATTTCAAAAAGCAATTCCACATAAATAAAATATGGCGACTCATAAAAAGTAGAAAATTTTTGTAAATAAAACTTATAAATCTTAAAGCGATGTATAGGGTGTTTTTTTTCGATGTATAGAACTTTAAGTTGGCATTACTGTTCAAGATGGCGACCGATTTAACAGTTATCAAAGTGATTTTGGTTTGGTTTGGCAATTCATCACGAATAGACTTACGCCTGAACAACGCTTGCAAATAGTGCAATTTTATTTCGAAAATAACGGTTCTGTGCGGAATACGTATCGCGCGCTACGTCCATTTTATCGTCGACAAAATCGTCCATCAGAGCAGTTAATTCGATTAACCATTTTTGGCACCACGTTTACTCTTATTGATAACTCGCATCCCCAGAGACGCCGTACGGTGCGTACAGAAGAAGGTATTGCTGCTATAGAGCGTAGCATTGAGCAAGACCCGAATGAGTCAATCCGCCATCGAGCACAGGAATTGGATCTGTGTCCATCCACTTGATGGAAGATTTTGGGGAAGGATCTTGGTTTACGTGCTTACAAAATCCAACTCGTGCAAGAATTGAAGTCAAACGATCATCAAGTAAGGGGTCCAAAACGAGATTGCCGTTGTTCCCGATTTTCATAAGCGAATTTTGTTTAGCGATGAAGCGCACTTCTGGGTGAATGGCTACGTCAACAAACAAAACTGCCGCATTTGGAGCGAAGCTAATCTTCAAGTGTATGTCGAAACACCGTTACATCCAGAAAAACTGACTGTTTGGTGCGCTTTATGGGCTGGTGCAATCATTGATCCGTACTTCTTCAAAAACGATGATGGCCAGAACGTTACTGTCAATGGTGATCGGTATAGAGCTTTGATTACTAACTCTTTCATTCCTAAATTGAATAACCATGATGTCCACGAGACGTGGTTTCAACAAGACGGGGCAACATGTCATACAGCTCCGGCCACAATCGATTTATTGAAAGACACGTTTGGTGACCGTCTAATTTCACGTTTTGGACCTGTGAATTGGCCTCCAGGATCTTGTGATTTAACACCGCTAGACTACTTTCTGTGTAAAGTCATTGGTCTATGCGGATAAGCTACAAACCCTTGACCATTTGGAAGACAACATGTTGGAAAAAGTCATCGAAAATTGGACGTCCAGATTGGACTACATCCGCGCCAGTCGTGGCGGTCATATGCCAGAACTAATAGTTAAGATGTAATGCCACAAGATTAACTTTCGGATAAATAAAATTCATGTCAATCGAATAATCCATCGTTGTTTTATTGCAACTTAAAGTTCTATACATCGAAAAAAAAACAATCCTTAGGTTTCTAATGTATGTAGTTTGTTATTTTTGTATTGGAATAAACCCAAAATTTAATATGCACAATGTTTTACATTTTATTCTGCTTGAATTTGTTTTTTGTTTTGCTCTCTACTGAGTATTTTTGGATTTATGGCCATTTTTTTTGTCTAAAATGCCCTGTGTTTATTACTAAATACTTTTTGATGTATACATATTTTTACGAACAAAATGGTGGAAAATTTTCGATTCTTCTGAAAATATCACAAGAGATTAACAACAAAATCAATATAACCTAAACGTGAAAAATCAACGAATTAAGTACAATTCCTTCAAATAATAGCATTCGTTACAATACTTAATAAAATTGAAAGAGCGTTAATAGGAGTCATTAATGGCATTAATTCGTTAATGTCAATGTTAATTCATCAATATTATAAATGTAATTAATGCATGTGCGGGGTGTTTCATTTGTTTTTTTCACACAATTATTATTAATATTTTTCATTTTGACTCACCCTTTATAAATTATTGGACCTAACTTCAAGACAAGACAGATAGAGCAAATGACTGTACTACTTCATAAAATTGGCACATGGCGTTTTTGACGAAAACACCCAGTGTAGACCATAACAACATTACATTGGGTGATTGACTATAAAACAGAATATCTATTAAAGCCATAATATACTGAGTGTTCCTTTTAAAAATGTATAGGTTTGTTTTACCACATATTTATGAATCGCCCTGTATATTTGGGAAAAAAGTAAAATCGATCCTTTTAGTCTCATCTACAACTTTTGTAATTAACATTTTTCTCTAAAACAAATAATAAACGGGATATATTACTTTGCCATACTATTTGTACACCCTGTGTATAAAATTCTGATTTTTTAAATCACTTACGATACATCGATATCAATAATCACAGCACAAGAGTCCAAAGAAATATCAAACCCGGATCGGTTTAAATAATCTTATTCAGCTAGCATCGAAATGTTTCAAGAGTTTAACTGCAAATTATTAATTAATTTTAGTTAATTAATTAAATGAATTATTATATTTCTTAAAAACAACTATTGCAACAAAATTATTATAACGTAGCACTAATCACAGTCTAGTAATTTAAGCCTCGAACTGTCGACATCACTGATTTCACTCAAAAAACAAATGGTAATATTTGGTTACTTTTATTTGCTAAAAAAACCACATAAACTTACCACATCGCAGTACAGTCGAAATGTACCATAAGCCATTTAGATGGGTTGAAAGCGATGGAGTTTGCCTTATCGATACCCTTCAGCCACACTCTGAACTCAGGACATATGAATGCAGATCCGGCATACGCGGCATCTACATGACACCAGACCAGTTCGTTGTAGCACACCTCGCTTATCTCCTCCAAATTGTCGAACGCGCAAGAACCTGTGGTACCCAAAGTAGCGCATACCTGGGATTCAAAATAGTTACATGGATTTCATTTGCTAAGCTCGGCCTCGACCTGTCGGCATAAACTTATCCAAGGGCCTACCGAACAACATTGCCGTCATTTTTTTTTTTGTATATACAGAATGAGTCAACGATAGAGTTAAGTTATTGTCTCATAAAATACTTGTTTCCACAATTGCACAAAATTAACGATTAGTTTTAAAGATAGATCGCTCGTATTTGATATTAGCGTTATTCGAAAAAGATATGTAACGGAATTTCAGACAGTCTCGATTCTCTTAAATGGCAAACTAGATATACCTATACAATTTTCTTTTTAAATCTTACAAGGACCTACAACGTTTATTAAGTATATTATATACGCAAAAGGAAAAAGCGGAACAACCCAGAATGGTGGACAAAACAAGTGGAGAATGTAATTAAAGAGAAGAAGAAGGCATATCACCACTGGCTAAACACCAAAAGGGTTGAAGATAGAGAGATATATGCAGAACTAAATAAAGAAGCAAAAAGACTAGTTGAAAGAAGCGAAAATGAGCGCTGGGAAAAGACATGCGAAGAAGTAGGTAGATTCATGGGCGGCACAAGAGTATCGGAAGCATGGAAAATAATGAAGAATCTAAGGAAAAGTACAAAGGAGACCAGTAAATTAAACGTAATTGGGGTAGAAACATGGAGAAAGTATTATAAAACGCTACTAACTGAAAATAGGCCAGAATTCCAAATGGACGGTATAGACATAAATATAGACGATCATGTACATAAAATCACAATAACAGAAATTAAAAGAGTCCTAAGGAATCGAAAAACAAAAAAGCCGCTGGACCCGGAGACATGCCCATAGAGCTAATAAAGAATGCACCAGATATATTACTAAAACTATTAGAAGAACTATTCAATAAATGTTTACACGGAGATCAAATACCCGAGGACTGGAATTTAGGATATATTGGCTCTATATATAAAAAAGGAGATAAAAAGTTGTGTCATAATTACAGAGGCATAACGGTTATTAGGTCAATGGGGAGGTTGTACGGTCGAATACTCAAAAGAAGAATAGAAGACAACTTCCAAGAAATAGAAGAACAAAGCGGTTTTCGAACGGGAAGATCCTGTATAGATAATATATTTGTCTTGCGACAAGTAATGGAAAAATCGTAGAGCCCACGACTTAACTACCCATTTAGTATTTATAGATCTTGAAAAAGCATATGACACGGTACCCTTAAAGAAAATGTTTGAAGTATTAATGACAACCGGACTCAACAATGTATATGTGAGAGCCATCTGGAACCTAATTAAAGATGCAACGAGTGTAATCAAGACAGGAGTACATATATCGAACGTGAACAAAGGATTATTCAAAATATATATTCAGGAAGCCCTAAGAGAGTGGAGGGAAAAAATAGCAAGTATGGGGGTAAATATAGATGACAAATATTTGACGAGCTTTTTTTTTGCAGAGGATCAAGTGATTATAGCTTGCGATGCAGACGACGCGGATTACATGCTAAGAAAACTGAAAGAACACTATGAGAATTGGGGACTGAATATGAATATGCAGAAGACTGAATATATGTAAGTAGGGGGAAAACACGAAGATGAAGATCCTGAACTATATATTAGAAAAATAAAAAGAGCTACAAATTATTAGTACTTGGGAAGCCTCATAACGGAAGAAGGTAATTCAAAACCAGACATTCAAAATAGAGTTCAGCAGGGAAGAAGAGCAACTCAAGCGCTTGATTCCTTGTTGTGGTCCAACGGTATTAAAATAGGTACGAAAATTAGAATATATGAAGCAATTGTGGAACCCATCTTAACGTACGGCGCAGAATGCTGACAAATGACGAAGAACGAAGAAAGTTATCGACACAGTAGAAATGGAAGAACAGGGAGAATACATACCAGCACTGACCGAATAGAAACTAGACAACTTATATGGTATGGGTACGTACAGAGAAAAAGAGCACTAAAATATACCCCCAGAAACAGAGGAAAAAAAGAAAGACCTCTGACCTCATGGAACGATGGTATAAGAAATATAAAGAAGATGAGTGGAGGAATAAAGCTAAATGGCGGTCAAAATGTGGGATGCGGCAGTATATATATATATATATATATATATATATATATATATATATATATATATATATATATATATATATATACGTATACGTATATGTATTAATATTAATAAAAATGTTGAAGAATTATGAAACAAATTCAAAACAAAATTTGAAAATGTTTATTTAATTGGTCACGTTTTTTGAGCCACCCTCCATACTTTAAAATAATGTTAAATCGTGCATACCAATAATCTTCCAACTTTTGTATTTATCATTTTCTCATAACTTTTGAAACCAAAGAGATAATGAACTTCAGTTTTTTCATTGGTTCACCCTGAAGTGAATAATAATAATGGTAATAATAATAATCTTTATTTCCATTAGTCCAAATATTGTACAAGGCGGTCCGTTTATACAGGAACTACAAGAGATTTAACAGAAAGTCAATATTCAAAAGTTGCTTTTTTCATTTAAAAATTCACTGATAATAAGTAGCACCATCTTGTTGCCAAATTAAGTTCTTATGTTCTATTTCAAGAATTTTATTCCAAATGAGAAGCTCAGTATTACTTCTTTATAAATCTAAAAATCTCACGGCTGTCAAATTTTCTTCATTCATTCATTCATTTCTTCTTTCTCATTTATTTGTCCTAAATTCACAATGTTTATTTCCAGAACTCCAGTAATGCATATTTTTTTCGATTATGTATTGTTACTGATGTAATAAATTAAAATTATTAAATGAAATAATATTTATTGATTTATTTATTATCTAATAAAGAATAATATTTAACGGCATCTGAAATAACCAGTAATTTCATTAAAAAATATATTAGAAACGCTTTTACAATTAAGTCAGAAAGCGTAGAAATTTAATTAATTGCGTTAATATTGCTTGAGAATTGATAAAAATCGTGAATACATTCGAAACGGTACATCATAGGCCAATGTTCACATATATCGTTGGATTCGTCTTTTAATGCAAAAATATACACGGTGCTTGATTTAAACAAAGTCGAGAGAAGTGACATTTTGCGAAACATCGCAACACCGCGTACTGTATAAAAAAATTTAAATTTTGAATATTGTCTCAGAAAAAGTACTGTTTTCGAAAATATGGTGCTTTAAATACCGACATATAAATATTTGTCGTTTATAATATCGTTGGATTCGTCTTTTAATGCAAAAATATACACGATGCTTGCTTTGAACAAAATTGAGAGAAGTGACATTTTGCGAAACGTCGCAACACCGCGTACTGTATAAAAAATTTTCAATTTTGAATATTGTCTCAGAAAAAGTACTTTTTTCGAAAATATGGTGCTTTAAATACCGACATATATAGTTGGATTCATCTTTTAAAGGGGTACTGAAAAATGTAATAAAATATAGAGTGTCCCAGTTAAAAAAATGTAACTTTATTTGACCACCATGTAATTGATTGCCAACTGAAACAATACGAAAAAATTAAAGATCATTTTACTAGAAACAACTTTTGTATTCATTTTTCTTTTTCTTCTTGAGTTATGGGCCCCCCTTAAACCGGTCACCTTGTACAATTTTATGGATCGACTATACATGCGCCCTCGCACTCTGATCTTCGCAACTAAAAATGTTCTTATATTCTATATAGTTCGCTATAACAAGCGCCAGTCCCGCAGAAAGGATTATTTATCGTATCTAAGAAAAAGTTTCCCCAGAAATAACTAATTAGTAGAATCTTCTTAAACTGATTGGAGTCCGGGGGCTTAAATCCCTTGTTTGCAATTAATTCGGTCAGTTGTTTTTCAAAATTGCTCCGCTTGATTTATTCTTCGGCGAAGAATATCAGCGGTATTTACAGTTCCCAGCAGTCTCGAGCAATTAGAAAGAGTACGGCGGGAAAATGAACTTTAAAAGTTGCGAAATCCATATTATGTATTGCCTGCAAAATGGCTACGTAATTTATAACAATTTAATACTAATGGAGAAATATTTCGAGAAGAAATAATCAAGAAAACGGGACAATTCGACTTTCTACTTCCATCGTTCTCTTTTATCAATGTTATGGTTGGTTTATTTGCATAGACAATACATTGCATAGGAAAAAGAAGAAAAAAGAAAAGGCAATTAATCTTTTACTTTGAAAAACGTTGAAGATTTATCTTCATGTTTGAAAAGTTATTATAATGTTCAGAGAACAGAAAATCACTTTAGATTTGCAAATATTTTATAGAAAAATTATCACAATTTGTATGTTTCAGTCAGAAACAAAGACGTTACATTTTAAACGATTTTAATTGAATTGAGTTGATTGAATTGTAATTTTATCAGACCCAGAGTTTGGGTATTCAGCATTCACAGCGTGTTTTCCAGTCAAGGTTTTTGTGTCACTGCATAAGATTAGAAATTTTATATTGTCGTCAAATATGTCCTGTTATGGTCCAATTGAATTTCTAATTTATTTACACTCTCAATATTTTGAAAAAAAGACGAAGTGTATAGGATTTTCCCGTATAGTTTTGCACCGTATCTAAAGGAAAAAAAATGAAAATGCCAATCGTTGACGCGTTAATATTTTTTTAATTGGACGCCCCGTATAATATTTTATATTCTTAATGGAATTTTGTTTATTTTAAATATGATATTTAATCCGTTAGTTTTGGAAATATAATTGTTCAAAATTTGTTTAAGTCTTAAAACTTAGCGAGCCATGATAAACATAATCATAACGAATCAACGAACGATGACATTTGACATTGGGTCAAAATGGCATCCTAAAAAAAGATGCAGGTTAAAGGAGTTAACATTGTTGCAACATGTATATAACTTATGATTATTTATCTTAATCAAACTTGTTTTCATTTACCTATTTTATGAGCAAAATTTTATTTTGGTTATGTTTATAAAATATATGTATACGTCATGATACAGTAAAATTAGAATTGTTCAATATGTTAAAAACATATAATAATAAATAATAGAGGGAAGAGAAAAAGCAAACGACTCGCTAGACAATAATAAATGCTGTAAAATCATTAACATTTGTAATATATTCATTTCCTTCCAAATTGTCAAGAAAACCCTATGTGCTTAGTTGCAAGTGGTAAATATAATTTTTACCTTTTCAAGAAGCGATGAAAACAAAACTCTCTATTATACTTTTGTCAGGAAAGATTATGTTCGTATGTTTGGTAATGTCTCCAAAAAATAAAATCTGTTATTATTATGCTATTAATGTCAAAATGTCAGTCAACAATTTCCTTTATGATAGCAACTGTATTGGATAGGAAGATATTAATCATTAAACAATCCTTAAGAAAAAATGGGGTATGGGTATCTATCTACATACTCTCAAAGGTCAGATATACATTTATCATAACTTTTAAATACAAATCAACCTTGTTAACGTCTTCTCTTGATATATTTGGTTATTGACCAACTTTTATAGTGTAGTGTTATTTTATATATATATATATATATATATATATATATATATATATATATATATATATATATATATATATATATATATATATATATATATATATATATATATATATATATATATATATATATATATATATATATATATATATATATATATATATTGAATTAATACAATTAATATATCAATCTTTCTTGTTCTGTATCTTTCTTGTTAGCATTTATTATAGAGGGTGAATCGAAAAGATTTAAATTTGATAAGAATTTCAATGATCACTTTTTAACTTTTAATTCAGGTACAATGTTGCAGAATGTTGCAGAAACCAAATAAGTAAAATTTAGCGGGTAGGGGGGTGGGGAGACGGTCACAGAACATCTTTATCAGTTAATATGAAGTATACAATTAGTCAGCCCAAATTAAAAAAAAAAATAGAAATATATTATTTTTAAAATAATGTTCAACGTCCTGTATTTTTGAAAATGAAAAATAGCATAGTAATAAATTAAATAAAAAGTTTTCATACAAACAATCAGTCATTGACGAGTTGATCTATTCATTCTACTCACCCTGTATGATATCAAATAACTAACTAAGAAATTAAGTTTCACTTTTCAAGATTTTTGATCACGTTATAATTTTCTGGGCTCTAAAATATTGTGACCTATTTTTTCGATTCTTAAACTTAAAAATTGTGAAGAAACAATTTGAGTCAATGGCAAAAGAAATGAAAGATTTGAATACGATTTTATTCACTCCTACGAGCGTACCAAAAAATGTTCACTCACCCAAAACGGGATTAATCCATTTTCCCTGTCCTTTTTTATCGTCTTTAACAAATTCGCGCCAGTCATCGAATAATTTTCGTCACTTTCCACGTATCTCAAGGTAACCAGACCAATCAGCGCGGCCTTTTCAACGCTCGAGTGGGCTTGGTCGGAACAATAGGCGACAAGTTTTCCATTAATTTCGTGTTTACTGGCCCCCGGGTACAAACTTTCATACATTTTTATGGCCACGTATCTGCCGGCTAGCAAACTTATTAGCGTGCATTCACTGGCAGTAGTCTGGAAATAAAAATCGGTCATATCAGAATTTTTTTAAACGGTAAATTTCACGTTCATTCGAATATTTCATTCTTTCACACTTTTGACTACTCTCAGGACACTTTAAACAAAAGTCCTTGGCTGAGGCACAGATAACAAAAGCGATAATCACCTGTATCACTCCTCCACCATCTCCTCCTTTCCTATGGAGAAACTCTTCCGGCAAACCAATCATTTTCCCAAGCCAATTCATCACCACCATTTCCAGTTCGGTACAAACGGGACTAGAAGCCTGTAAAAAAGAGTTTCCAGGTCATTCCATATACACATAGTATATAATTTCGCATTCCTTACCCAAGTAAACCCTACGCAATTGATGGCATTGGTGAGCATTTCGCCCAGCATGGAAGGGTAACTATTGAGTGCCGGAAAGTAAGCGTGCATATGGGGGCTCTGCCAGTGGGTAGTCCCCGGCATAATAACGGTTTCCATGTCCTTAAATATGTCGCTCCACTGCTCCCCCTTCAAGGGGGCTGCTTCGGGGATCAGGTCGCGTATAAACCCAGGTTTTTTGTCGGGAAAAACTCTCCTATTTCTTATGTTTTCCAGATAGTCGACTATGTAGTCGATAACCTCTTTTCCTGCAAAGGTTACACAGACCTATACCGCATTTCCAAAAAGAAAAAAGCAAAAGAACCATTTTGGGGAGATTTTCTCATGAGTGAAACAATCACGAGGTTTGTACCATATACTATTTAACATCACTGGACATTTTATATTTAACATGTTAATTTTTTTAGGTCTGTTCCGTCTTATTGACAATTTTGATAATAATACAAGAAAAACGCTGTTTTTTCTGTGTAGGTTTATTTATACACCGCACCTAATCTTTGTGTTATTTCTAAAACTGTAATAGAGACTAAGAGAAACCCCTTCTTTCACTGCATATATTATTAGATATGTATTTTATAAACATACGTTTTTGTTGTCTTTGCATGATTTTATTTTTTGTGGCTTTTAACCATCAAGTCGATTTATTTTTGACTACCTTTAACTAAACTAACCCTATTTATAATATATATAAAAATTATAATTATTTATTAAAAAGTATTTCATAAAAAAAACGTTAAATCCATATTATCTCAAGCATAAAAAAAATAAAAAAATACTTTTTGCTCTGAAATTATTTATTTTGTTGCAGTTAAGAATATATTACATGTGTCAAAAAAAAATAAAACTGTAAACATACAAAACGATATTGCTGCGTAACCAAACCACTGGGAAAAAACATTAAAAAATGTTTTGGGGCACATAAGATGTAACATATTATTCATACATAAATATAGAAAAGAAATACAAATTCGACACTTTGATACAAAAAAAGCACATAATATTTTATGGTGCGTGAGCGCACCACTGGTAACACCCGGTTTCATTTTTGGTGATATTTTACAAAACATGAAGTATGTAAATGCACATTACACTTATTACAAAATTAAATTGTGTGGCTGTGGCAGATTTTATATCTCCTTCGGACTTTATTAGCATGAACAATCATGAGGTATGGTAGGTGCAAGATTACTTTGAGTCTCTGGGAAATCTTTTGTTCGTTGACAATATTATACAATTTCCATGCATCCACTACTAAAATATCAAGTGAGTTACAAAATAAAGGCCAACACCATTTTTTCCCAAATACCTGGCACCTGTGATTAGCAATTCCGTTATCGTGTAAATCTACCCGCGCCATGTATCTATTGTATTGGGCAATTACATAAGGTGGGGGTATATTTATATCTTTCCGTTCTTTTCTATTATAGCGTTTTACATGTTGGACAGGATCTACACTAGAAACATTACTTGCCACAGTTACAACTGAATTGTCGTGCCAACGGACAATATAAATTTTTGATTCAGATACATATGCTGAAAGATTGAACATTTGTTTGTTCTATTTTTCCGGATAGTAACGGTGGAAAAATAACATTTAGATCTTAAATGTACAAATAGTTTGAATGATGAAAAAAAAAATGTCAAAAAAAATTGATTTACTGGTTTATCTACAACAGAAAGTAGGCTCATGACCACGTCACCGCCAAGACCAATCAGAATGGGGTTTATTTTGAGCAGCACCATATGGAAGTGAATAAAATAGGTACCCATCAGATGAACAAAGGCACCAAAGCTAGAAGCCAAAAAGAACTGCCTTACCCCTTATAAACATTTTGCAGGAATGGCGGCCAAAGTAAGGTGCAATTTGTTGATCTATGGATAAGTTGAACGATAATATGCAAAACTGACTTTTATTGATTACATCAAAGAAGGATCTAACGTTTGAAAATTTATCATTTTTATCCAACAAATTATTGTCAGATAAGTGCAAGTTTTGTTTTATCAATTGGGATCTATTGCGGCTCATACATTTTTTTATGAAATCAATTCCTTAATCTTCATCAGTAGACCAATGTGTGTGTGAGTGTACTCAATCTGACCTTTCTTCCATTTGACAGTAGAAACAAGCCTGTCTTTTGCAGAAAGCCTATGTCTTCTTTTGAATTGCAGGCATTCATCCTCTGATGTGTCCCATTCAGGTTTAGTAGTTGATGAATTACAGCACTGTTGAAGGACAGCTGTATCATTCGGTGCATGTAACTAGAAAATTCCAACTATATCAGTTGGTTCCCCAAACTCTTGTAGATTAATATTATCGTTCATATCTTCTTCGTCAGTCAAGGTATCCACGACGAGTGGAATATCGACCGCATCAGTATGTTTTGTAAATATTTTTTCAGGTTATTTTTAGCATAAATTTACATGAATGGAATGCTACAATACATAAGAATACGTAAATCCAAATAATACTTACGACTTTCATTTTTATTGTCCTCATCCATCACGATCTCTTCCATAGCCGCCCCTAACTCCTTTTGAGTGAAATGTAACGTTCACTGCACAAGGCACAAACTAATACTAAAGAACACGTTAATTGTTCGATGTTTATTCTATATGCGCTGACTTGTCTAGACTTGTAATAACAAAGTTTTGTTTCACAGATAAAACCAGTGATGCATTCAAGCACCAGTAAATATTTTCAAAAAATAAAGCATAATCAATATAGTATTTCCAATGTACGTTTTCTGCGATGTAATCTACATGCTATAGACTTAACAAAAATGGCAATACAAATCGAAAATATTTTTTTTACTATTTTGGATTTACTTGATGTGATAAAAATTTATCTACCGCTTTTGTTAACTTTTGAAGTGATATATAAGGTATTTCTTTTACACATAAATTAGCGATTTCTATGGTTTTATGTCCTTTAGTAGTGATAATAATAAAATTTCTAAATGGATGTGCAAAAATATTTCCTGGATGAGACAAAAAAATCATAGAATAGGTGCATTAACGCACCACTGGGACAAAATGGGTTATTGATTAATAACTATTTTTCTATGGATTAAAAAAATTTAGTATTGGTATTTATAAAATTTTCGAAAGCTCTGGCTTTAGGCTAAATCCAAAGAATTTTTAACCGGTCCATTTTACCTCTGGTATTACGTAAAGGGCTAAAAATGTACACCCTCCCTTACTAGATAGGTAGTAGCTGTGTAATGAACACAAAATTCGGGATATCATCATATCCAGCAAAATGTTTATTTTTAAGCTTTATAATAAGGAAAAACGTTAAGAAGTTGACTCACCTGCTTATTTTCTGTTTACTGCAAAAAGTACTAATTGCCTAATTTTTAAATAAATTTGTTCTATATTTTAGAGTTTATTGTGTATGAAAAAACAAGGCGACAAGCAACAAATCTGGCAATTTAATTTTGATCAAATCGAAAATCTATTTGCATCCAAATCGGCATTGATACGGAATCCTATAAAATTGACGTCGGAACAAACGGAACATAAACGTCATTCTAAACGTAAGATATTGATCACTTAAACTCTCCTTATTTGAACAAATCTTAATTTCGTTTTATTGTTAACAACGAGGCCGCGCGAGTTGGACTTTTTAAATATTTTTCATTTACTTTTGCAATGCAAATGGTAATACAACTAACCTTATAAAGAATTTCAACGTTTTAAAAATCGAAGGGCGCTTACCTTGGACCCTAAAGTCTTCGCCGTCCATAGTCGCAAATCTAAAATAATTTCTTAATTAAATTAACAATTGCGCATAAAACGGCTAAAAAATAGAGCTCGTTGCGGAACACGGGGAATTTTAACGGAGAGACCAGAAAAATCGACAAAACGGCGATATTATTTAAACAAACTGCGAAAGCGTAATGACAATCGTGAAAATTTGAAACACACACCGTAACGGTTCGCAAAGGGAATCGCAGCAGGCACTGAACAAACCGAAGCCAAAACTGTACACAGATAAAGCAACAAGTAATGTGACGATCCCTTTTATAAGGTTTCCGCCTCCGGACAGAGCGAAGAATTAATATAGGGTTTTATTTTCCGACTATCGACCTACTAGGATAATCTGACGCGATAAAATTTATTGAAACTAAAACTTGGTGAAGAAAAATACGTGCAAACCTAGTTTTATTTTATTTTATTTTACAGTAACAGATTACACTACTTAAATCCTTTACTTCGCACCAGAAATATAGTGCTTTTACAACCGACTCTGTGATTAACTTTGCTTACTGTTTATCATTTCAAAACCTCTTATAGAGCACCCTGCCGAGCAGACCCTTACCTACACTAACAAGCGAGCAATTCAATAAACATGTACATAAAAAAATTAGTACAAAGTAACAATTTACTCCGTTCATTTTCATTACATTTCTACATAGTATCACCATTAATACACAAAATATTAAATATAATAATAATAAAGTAACAGCCACTTAAAAAATCGCCACTATCGCTACTGTCGTTACTGTTCTTCTTCTTTTTTTATTACTCGTTTTTCACAGTTAGTCCAGCTTTGTACTGATATTTTAGCTACCTCTTGACGAATTACGTTTATCGTACTATCACTAAATTTTGGTGCAGTGCTGTTTCTGCTTCTATGCGCTTCCAACTCAGACCAAATCATCTCAATCGGGTTAAATATATAATGACAAGGGGGTAATCTCAAGATTTCATGTCCGTTTTGTTGTGCTATCGAATCGATTTTGTAGTCTTTATTAAAAAATTTTAATAATTTCAGAAGTTGTTTTTTCAGTCCTTAAATATTTCCGCGGCCATGTCATCCACACTTGAATTTTTGACGTTTTTGGCAGACAAAAGCAAGGCATTTTCCACCCAAACATTTTTGGACCCACCATGAAGAATTATTATGCGTTTTCCATGTGAAGGCGGCACGTCTAGTACACACTTGTTACTTTTGAAAATCCATAAAATCGAATCGGGATCGCCGTTGGTACAGAAATGATCACCGTCGAAAAAAAAATTTTTTTTGTCTGTTTGTCCGTTCTCCGTTCTCGTCTTTTGGTTTTTCCTGAATAACTTTCGAACCGTTGCCTCCTTTTTAGCCCCCCACGAGGCACATAAGCCTATAAGAAATTTCCCTGATCCGACGCCGGTATCCATCTTTTTTTCGCGATTTTCGACTGTTTTTTGGACCTTGCTATGAAACACGGTAAGTCTCCGAAATTTGAAGCAATCGACTTCATATTTGGCACATCACAAAAATCATCATTTTTCATACGAGACCAAAAAAATTTTTGAACCAGAAAAAGCAGAAGATACAGCTCGATAAACTTTTATTTATAAGATTAAAACACTGTTCACTATATAAGCGTCGTAGATTAAAAGCCTAATTAGATCTTTTACATTCATTGTAATCTATCTTCTGTAATCTACCAGATTTGACGTGCGATTGTTGCCTTTTGACAGGTTGCTAGTAGTTGCGTTAAGTTGACTTAGGAAGCAATTAGTATTTCAAATGGCTTTCGTGCGTTTAATTTTTACCGCAAATAATTTGAACAAACTAAAGAATGAGCTGATTGAAGAAAAAAGAGACGCCGTGAAAGCGGCCCGTCACGAGAAACGAAAGAAGAAATTTCGCCACATCGGAGTGGATGTCCGGGTGGCTTTTAGACGCTGCTTCGGGAGGATTTGCAGGCTTCCGGAAGACAACCGGATACATAGAACGTGCTTCATGCTGCGGCGCGACGGCAGTTGCGAAAATTACACCCTCAAAAGCGTTTTCGGCTTTTTCGGCGGGATTCTGTTAACCTATTTGATGTTCATATTTTTCGTTTTTCAACTCAACGTGAAGCTCACAACCGCTACGGTACTGTGCTCCATGATGGGTTGCATTTTGACCATCGGATTAGCGTTTAGCACACGCGTGAGGTAAACTATTACTGCTTAAGTGGTCTTAGATGAGCTGATAAGATTCACCAAACAAACATTCATCAAACTTGATTCAGTATTTTAAATAATCCATGCAATACCAATATTTACTCTTGTCCATTTTAATTCCATTCAATTTAAAAATCCCATTTTGTTCATCGAAATAAATCACGGATAAATAAATAAAACATATATCTGCAATAGATAATATAATCAAAAATTATCATTTTATTACAACTGTTTAGTTTCAACTTCCTGCAATACTTGGGGGCATAATTTCCCTTCAAGATCGTTGGACTAGGAAATTGCCAGGATAGAGTTCATTGTAGAAGGGAACTTCAAAAGGGGAAAATTAAGATTCCTCAATTCGTTTTTTCCTATTGTACGTAAAACATATACTATACAGACAACATTGTCGCTAAAATGCTAAGAAAGGCATAGATCTATTGCATCGGATCTGCGCAAAGGTCTGGAAAAATGGTAAATGGCCCGAAAGATGGGCCGAATCAATCTTCATCTCTCTGCATAAAAAAGGAGCTAAAGACAATTACATTCTACCGCGGGTCCCCCCAGAACAGGCAGGCAGTACAGTGGAGACGACTATGAGCAAGATGGGGATCCAGAAACATCTCGAATATATCATAAAATATGACAAGAACAGAGCAGACATATAAATATAAGGGCAATTATAAACAGGATTCAACGTGGGAAATGGCATTACACAGGGTTACATTCTCTCCCCACTTCCCTTTAACTTCTACGGAGAATGGATCATTAGAAGGGCTGTAGAAAACTGGGATGGCGGAGTCTCTATTAGCGGGAAGAAAGGGCCTACATCTGAATAGGTTCAAATACTGTCTGCCGATTATGAATAGACCTCAGAAACCAGGGACACTCTCATCTATCTTGGGGCAAAACTGGCAAAGGAGGCTCCGAGCCACCTAATAACCTCATAACTTGCGATTTCTACGGCTATGTAATGCCTATGTATTTATTTGTAGACATTTTCATGACATATATATATATATATATATATATATATATATATATATATATATATATATATATATATATATATATATATATATATATATATATATATATATATATATATATATATATATATATATATATATATATATATATATATAATTTCAGTGCCGATATTGTTGTGAAGTTGAATAAATAAAAAAATAAATAATAAGGTTTTTGGATTCACATTTTTAAAATTCATTGTCACATTTACATGAATAGCACTGGTAAAGTTTTTATTTTAATATTATTATTATATTTGCTCCAATAATGAGAAACATTTTTTTTAATATTCAAATAAATTGAACTTCGCACAGCAGTAAAAAGAATTTTAAAAATGTTTTATGTAAAAAATGGTGGTTAATAATAACAAAAGTGATAAAATTTTCTAGTCATAAGAAAATTATGATATTTATTTCTTAACATTTTAACATGACATGTTTTCCTAAATTAATAAACACCCTAGATATATTTTTCTTAACTAAAACTGCTGCTGCTGCTGCAGTTCGATTCAACAACAACCGACGCTGGAGAAATCCAGAGGTTTTGTTTTACTAAATTCGCTGGAAATAAAGGAAAATGTTAAATTTCGGGAATAAAAATAATTATATTGCAGCAAATATTGCCGTATTCGTTCAATATGTGGTTAATTTCTACAATTCTTAAGAGAGAATGCTGGAATTTTGAAGCGCGTAATTTATTTCTCGGCGATATCGGTCTATCATCTCCATTAATGGTGCCTAATTGTATTCGCAAAGCGAACAATGTTTTAATTATAATTATATGAACTGGCGTTCGTTTTAGGTGCATCGTTCTGTTGACTCTGCCGCAGTTCTTTTCTAGAAAAGGACGGCAAGCGTTGCTCGCGTACGGATTCATTTTAACTCTGACAGGACCTGCGCAGAATACGCTCAATAATATGGGGATCTTAAGCGAATCTTTGGCCTGCGGTCAGGTATGTCACAAACCAAGAAAGGTTCTTTAAATTGTAGTTTCAGATAATAGACACCAGACTTTAGACAAACTGAAAGTAACAAACTCTAGTCGGAATAACTACTAACCTAACATCCAAAATCCAAAAGTACTGTTGTACTACTGCTACACATTTTTAACAATAGAAAATAGGACAATATAAAAATATTAACAATCACAACAGAGCAAAAACAAAGGAAATAATAATGTTGCCATTTAGTCTAGCGATAAGAAAGGGAAGCATTTAAAAACTCTGAAATAACTTACGTTATTGACGGGTTTGGATGTTGGACACTTAAAAAAAAAAATCGCGAAAAAGTTTTTATTAGCCACATAAGTGATTCTATTTTAATTGTGATTTCTTATTTCTTATATTGTTTGTTCTCACTGGTGATTAATTAATAATCTTATAATGAAATTTTTGTATTAATTAGAATATCAACAAATTTCATTTAACCAACCAACTTTCTAAAATTTTTATTTTAACATTTTTTTTATAATGAAAATTTTAAGCACTTTTAATTAAAAAATGGATTAATCATCCGTAAGAGATAAATTTACGAAATTTTCAGCATCCATGGTTAAATGTCTATACTTTAAGAATATATTTAGGACTTAAAATTATTTGTTTATTTTAGTATTATTAACTAACTTTTAAGTTAACAAATGAATATTATATAAAAATTAATGTTTTTTTTATCGGTCACATGCTTTATCCATTGAAGTTTAAGATTCCGCAAGAAAATTTCACTGCTCGTCATTTGTTTAAACAAAATGAATTTATTTATGATAGCGCGCCGAGCGCTGTGGATGCGCCGCGCTGCCGAGCGTCTCGAATTGCATTGAAGGTGTTATCAGTGATAATTTAAAATAATAATACAAAATATTATAAAACAAATTTTATTATTGTTTATGTTATTTTATTATAAGTACTATTAATAAAAGTTTATTTTTTTAACAATGTTATAAAGAATACTATCAATTTTTTTTATTATTTTTACCAAACAGCGTAAATTTAGGAAAAAATAATCAACTTTAAATTTTTTAAACTGTTATGGTAAACACTTATTTTTTCTAGCTAAATTCTTTCTTTCTAACTAAATTTGCTAGTCAACACTCCATCTTTAGTTAACAAAAGAAAAACCCCTGCATTACGATTTTCATTTGTTTTTCGCGTATCCTAGTAAATAACAAAATCATTTTAGAAGTCATTCCCGTCTATTCGTGACACAAAGCATGAGATAATTATTAAAAATAAAAGCTGAAGTGTTGTTGAGTTGTGTTTTTTAGTTAATATTTTAGTATTATAATTTTTAATTGTATTAATAATAAATAAATATAATTTATTTTGTTTAAACTAATAACGAGCCGTGAAATTTTCTTCCGAAATCTTAAACTTAAATGTGTCATCATGTGACCAATAAAAAAAAACATGATTTTTTTTACCAAGAAATCAGTTAAATTTTCATTTCTGAACTTGAAAGTTAGTTAACAATACGAAAATAAACAAACAATTTTAAATCGTTAAAATATTCTTAAAGTATAGATAAGATAGATTTGACTATAGATGCCAAAAATTTTCATTAAATGTTGTTAAAATCAAAATTTTAAAAAATTACTTGAGGAATCAATTTACTTATACTTATAATATATATATATATATATATATATATATATATATATATATATATATATATATATATATATATATATATATATGATGACACTATACTCCGGGATATCATCCGTTCGCTCGTTGAACTCCGACTGGAATCCTGCATCCAACTGGAATCCTGCAAATCCTGCATCCGACTGGAATCCTGCAGACGTTTCGCCAAAATCTCACTTGGCATCTTCAATGCTCGCGCTCCGAAAACACTTCGAACACTGATATATATATATATATATATATATATATATATATATATATATATATATATATATATATATATATATATATATATATATATATATATATATATATATATATATATATATATATATATATATATATATATATCAGCTAAATGTCATTACCATGTCCATTTCCAAAATTTATCTATAAATTGACACTTTTTTTGTTAATGTTTTAATTTAACATTGAATTAAATTAAACGGTTCCATAACTTTGTCATTGAAATTTAACGAATTTTTTAACTTTAATTTATATGACTCGAACGCCATCTACCTTGACATTTATGAAACGTCTAGTGAATCATTTGAAATGATGTCATCTGACTACCTTCTACAAACATGGAGTTGGTAAAATAGTGCAAAGAGTTTATATAATTGAAAAAATCAAATTTTATGTCAGTACCGTGGAACGAAAATTTTCAAATTTGTTTCTCGTTCTTGACGCTTTCAGACTTTTATTTTTACAGTAAAATAGATTAAGAATATCCATAAAAATTTCTTTTTTTAACTTAAGAAAAACAGTTAGAACGGAATCACCCACATATACAAAGGAATGCCATAATTTTCGCATTTTTAAGTGTTTCAAGATGAAATAAATATATGCCATGATCAAAATTGTCGATTTTACGTATTTAACTAATTGTTGTTTGCTTTAGTTGTTGAAGATTATTTTCTTAAATGTTTGTCCTGGTCTATAATAAACTGCGCAAGTTATATAAAATAACAGTCTTCTTGATGCCTTAATTTTTCTGGATCAAGGGATACGTGCAGCACCTTTCTCTCATATAGTTACTAGATCAATAGAGGCCCTGACTATGCTGAAAGTACAGGAACTCATGAAGCAGAATTAAATTTTTTTTGTGAAGGTCAACGTGCGCATGCGCGAGATTTAAAATTTCGTTTCTAACCAGTGGCAGCTCTAATGACAAACTGTGACGTAGGATCCATAAGACCTTGCGGCTTTCAACAAACATCATGGCCGCTGACAGATCGTAGATGTTTGGATGCGGCATATTTACGGCAGTATTTTCGCAAAATACTTTTAATTTAATAAGAGGTATTTCTCATGCTTGTTCTAGTAAAAATTCAACTGGTAGCTTAATTGTTTTCTTATATTTCCTGTAATTCTTGTACAGTAAAACACATTGCCCAAAAATCCTTCGTAGCTATTTAAGTGTAACTAAAAATGTAGGGATTTTTTTTTGTAAACTCATATTTAAATATTTGTGTAAGTCTAGTTTTCAGCTGATTAAATGTCAAATATATAGGCCTCACTGTTTCTCTAAGAGCCTAATCGGTCCTCATATTTGCCACACTTAATCACAGCAATCAATTTCCAGAAAAATTACCACAATGTGGCAATTCGGTCTGTTGGATGTTGACGCATGCGCAAAAGATCCACATCTTCTCTACGAAAAAATCATAGCCACCTGCGGTGCATTAATTTTTATCGTAGTTGGGCCACTATATTATCTTATAGATATATTACATTCTGCTCTAGGAACAATTGAAGCAGGCCGTGCGTCAAATAATCGAAGTGATTAAAAAACCGTTCGTCGCTATCAAAGAGGCGATCAAAAAAGTCGTCAAGACCGTTAAGGAAGTGGTGAAAAAGATTAAGGAAATCCTCATGAAGATCAAGAAAGTCATCATGTCAATACGTAAGGGCGTATCTCCACGGCCATCGTTTTCCGCTAACTGCGATCTTTGCGTTAGTGCGCGTGATCAAGGCGGCGTTCGAATTTCTCGGGAAAATTATCAACATTTGCAATAAGGAGCTGGGCACCCCTTTCGAAAGGTGTACGCGGGTGTTTGAGAGCGCCATTGCCGACTGCAATGCCAAGCTTGGACCCCTGTTTAGTTGGTTGTGTTCGATCACGTATATCGTCAAGGCGGTTTGCTACGTTGTTAAAATATTCGATTATGTTTGCATGTTGGTCGATTTCATAAGCGACTCGATTATTGGCGTGGTCATCAGAAGTTAGTATTTAAAACCAAAGTCATTATGCCCCCAAGAAGATCAGACAAAACACGAATACATAAACTTTGCTGTTTTCTTTAAATTCTGTTTATCATTACACATACACAAAACAAAGAAAATACCGAACTTGACCATCGTCTTATATTCGCACGGCACCGCCCATTCTTCTTGTCCAAAAATCTCTCAACATCTTCGATCTGTCAAAGACAAAATTTCATTTGCGATGTTGAGGAGTTTACGGCATTCCATTCATATGCGACAAAGAATACAATTAATAGACGGGGCGAAAAATATCAACCAGGCTTAAAGAACATGAAAGAGCCCTAAATAAACCCATCAGCAGCAATTTTATTCGATAAAACTAAAATTCTATAAGCAACCTATCACTATTATGGGAATCAGACATCCGAGATTATGTTTATGGCCCTCAAAACATCAAACAATATATAAGATGATTGTAACTAGCCTGTGGAATGTTTCTTTGAAAAATTAACCAAAACTATCACGTTTTGTCTGATCTCCTCTGGATATTGAATGAAACACTTTTCAACATATTATAAAATACCATGTCATCTATAATAAAAGATCTAAAAAAACGTTCCTGAAATTGTAGAAGTCAAAATGTTCGTCCGTCAAGTAAAAACTACGTTCTACGTTCGTATAAAGTTCTCGCATTCGTTCAAATTCGAGACTACCGCCTCAAAGAACCTCAAAGAAATAGCGCAAGAGATAGTTGCTGAGATTAAGGACAGGTCGAAGAGGATAGTGGCGTTTTTCAACTTCATGACGTCGGCCGCCATGTTGTTTTTCCTGTTTATGGTATTTCAGTAAGTGTTATACAAGGATACGTCACTACCAAAACATTATCCCGGTATCGTTCATCTAAAAAAGTATGAGTGTACGTCATTTTCTTACCAATACAAACTAATATAGCCTTACTTCTGTAATTTATTGGTAGTATTTGGTTAGTTCCATGAGCGGCGATGCTCTAGCGATCTAACATATTTTTAACTCTGAAACATTGTCGAAAATCTTCATGCCACAAAAGAAATTGGATTGAATGCTGCAAAATACCTTCACATATTGGGAACAGTAGTTAATGATTAAGGTGTCACACATCTTTGGTTTCGACGTTTGGGGCCCTAGAATTCAACAGCAGAATCGCCCGATCTCACGCCATTAGATTTTTACCAATGCAGAACAAGGAAGAGTTATGTCATCGGATTTTACGATGCTTTGAAGAAATAGATCCATCGCAAATAAAAAACGCAGTCCAATTTAACTGATTTTAATATGTATATAGTGGTAAACATTTCGAATAAGTAACGTAAAAATTGGATTAATTTTTCTGAGAATTTTTATTTTAAGCACCTAATATTTGGTTGGTGTAAATGGTTTTCAAAATGGTTTGTAAAGCTTTTCTTAATTCTGGCAACTTTTCTCTTGTTCGTGCGATGTATATCAGAATTCGTTTCATTCAGTTGTCTGCATGTTCTGACTATAATGTGATTTGTCGATGCATAATAGACAAACTCTTTAAAACAACATTAGAATGCTGGATTCCTTTCATTTTGAACCGATTTTATAGACAAAATTTGCGCCACAATCAATAATGAGTAAATATTTATTGAACTGTCAAACGGAAAATTAATTCTTTAACATAAGACGGATATTTCACGGCCACCTAAAAGTTTTCACGAAAACTTGCTTTTATTTCATAAACCAAATGATTTAGGTATATGAATATGATACATCATTCGAAAGGGAATTTACCTTCCTCTTTGAATATGTGATGCAGGATCTATTTAAATAAAGTACTTTTTACCATTTTTTATGTCGTAGGCAACTAATTTCGATATAGTACCTCGCTCAGCTACGTCGAAAATTTTAACTTCCTACTAGTTGCAATGTAGTAGTAACAAAAATTTAATTTAATAACGAAAATAATTAATTTCTCAAAAACCTCTAAAGATGAGTATATCAACATATTATTCAAAATCAATGGTAATGTATTAGCGTATCGGAAAATGCAATAATATACATGATGTCCGATTTCAAATTTCCATGTATAACCAAATTTTCGATAAACTGGCAACGTCGCAGCGTTAGAAATATTTTGGATAAATAGAGCATTGCCGTTTATGTAACTAACCAAATTTTCGGAACGTCTAAGGTATCGTCAAACATGCAATACCGTACCTACATATTGTAAGCAGATAATTTATGCGTGAATAGCTTGGCACTGTCTTTATTGGTTCAATTATTAAGTTTTGGTTAGTTTTGGTTAGTTTAGTTTTTAGTTACAAGAAAAATAGAAAATAGTTCGGTTAATTGTTAATTTGCTTATTGCTAATGGTAATGAATCAAATATCCGAAAAACTATTAAAAAATGGGTTGGAGAATGCTCAAGAACGTGGCAACTACACATAAACTCGTATACAAATTTCACCATTGGTGCAGAAATGATCAGTGTCTAAAAGAATTTTTTTTGTCTGTCCGTTCTCCGTTCTCGTCTTTTGGTTTTCCTGAATAACTTTCGAACCGTTGGAGCTACAAAATTGAAATTTGGCTCCTTTTTAACCGTTCACGAGGCACATAAGCTTATAAAAAATGGACCTTGCTATGAAGCACGATAAGTGTCCGAAATTTGAAGCAATCGACTTCATATTTGGCACATATATGCAGGTTTACCGCGTGACGAAACCTATTGAAAATGGGGGGGTTGGTCGGGAAGTATTTTAAAAAAATTAAAAATCGCCTGTGCAAGGGTCTACAAAAAAGACCATTTTTGAGGAGGAGATTTTTGAGAGCAATAAAATAACGCGAAGTATTTTTTTTTATTTTTGAATTTTTATTTTGTGGTTATTTTGGCATCCAGAAAAACATCTTTTCCTCCAAAGCCATTCATCCGATCAGAAAAATTTTACATCCGTAATACGTGGGAGACCCGGCGCTATAACTTTTGTTTCACGCATTTTTTTGATTATATACAAGGTGTTTTAGTTATGGACAAAAATCGAAAACACCCTGAACATTGTTCTTGTAGAGAGTAAATTATTAATCGTAAATCAAAATTCGTACAAACAGTAACTAATCCGTTCAAACAGTGTTATAGGCCGTATCAAGGGCTACAATTTTTGTATTTGCGGTTTTCATCTATCACAAATGCTGTTCGAGATATTTGAAAAAAACCAAATGAAAATGACCATTTCTCGGATACAGGAAACTAAGGAGATGGCGATACATGAAAAACTTTTAAAGATGTGATAATTTGATATGAACGGTATCGTAAACGGTGTCGAGAGAGAGTTTGAGGTTTCGTCTATAATACAGGGGACGCAAGATATTGGAAAAAATATAATTTTAAACTGCAATTACCAGTACAAATTTTGATATTTACCGAAGTATGCCGTAAATTTGAAGTTCGCGGAGATGTGCAGGACACTTTATACAGGGTGTATTCACAATCAAATTACATCGATTTTGAGAAAGTTCCATAGTGGTCGCAGAACCATGATAGAAAAACATTACGTCCCTACAAGAATCCGCAAAACGGCTTCTTTTTAAATAAAAAGCTGATTGGCGCTATTTGCGAACTTGCCCCGCTCACCGACGATTTTTCGAAAGCGATCTTGTTCTATTAGTGTCCCACGTCTTCTGACTTCTAATTTCACTTTTTCGTTTGAGACTGATATAACTTTGGTTATATTTATGTTCATTTCCATTCAGTTTTGTATTAGTATCTGATCCCAATTATCTAGATTTTCCTCCAGATCCTGGTATGAGATTTCGATATGATGATTCGTTCTAGTTGCCGGTATCCGACGTAAAGGGCTTTTGATCGCTATTCTGCCATTCTAATTAGATCGTCAATATAAGTTATGTATAGTAAAGGGTTCAAACTACCACCCTGTCTCACTCCTTCTTGTGCATAAATAACTATGGTTCTACCTTATTATATTCATTTATCACTTATTCATCATCAGAACTTCCATTCTGATGTGGTGTGTTGCAGATCGAGGTGTGGAGGTAATTTCACTCTCCTGCCAAATTTTCCATACTTATAGGTTCACACTAGCTCTCTTACCAAATAAACTCGGGTTGCATAATATACAATTACAGATTCCTAGAAGTAATATAAGTATAATAAACTTTTCTCTTCATTCTAGGGTAACATATTACCGCTTCAAGTTCCTAACCAGCGAACGATTCGACAATATCTACATAACGAAATATTTCCGACAGATCGACATGAGACGGGCGAAACTTTCCAAGGAAACCGTGTTGCCATTGAATAAAAGAGAAAGAAATCTCTACGTGCCAGTGCGCGTTTAGCGATCACCGTGGTTCAGCAATAACTTTATCGGAAAGGTTTTAGATTAACTCGCTGAGCCTTGCCAAATTGGAACGAAAGCAACTGACCAAAGCACTGACGATGGTCGCAACGGCCACGTTAAAAATGGCGACTCACATGGCCGGAGATTATTGCCTGTACTGGGTGTTGAACTTGATAAGCTACCACGGCAGATACCAATCCAAAATGCAACGTAGTTCATCGTGATTATAAAATTTGCTTGAAGTGATCGAGTTTTTTTTTTCCGTAGTGCCTAACATGCCGACGCCTCACGTTACCGGCGAAGGACTCATAGCGAAACTTCTGAAAGCGATCGTGAAAGCGTTCCAGCCGGTTGGTATAAACCTCGAGATAGATACGGTGCCGTGTCTTCCTATTCCGATCCCACCGGACTTGGATCGTTACGTCCAAATCGGTAAATACCGCTTTTAATTCGTCCAGAGGAAAACCGGCAATAAAATTTAAAACGCGAGTGACTAGAACCAGTTTTTGCTTGAAGGTGGTGGACAATGATTAAGTAGAGATTGTCGAACTTCCATAGTTTTTAATTTTAAACAACGTTTGGGGCAGATGTATCACGCAGTGGGCTCAATTCTCAACGAAATAAGCTAGTATTTTACACACACCCCTGATTTAGTAAAAGTCATAGTTACAAAATAAAAGTGTTTCAGAAATCTGTCACTAGAGGGCACTGGCCCAAGAACATTTTTTTTAATTTTTTAAATGGATATTGCAATATAGAACAGATTGCCTTAATCACCAGACCTCAAAAACTGTTACTTTTGTCTTAAGTCGATAAGTGTTAAAGTTTAGCCACAAATCGACTTTTTTATTCTGGGCCCGAATATCGCGATATGCATGTCTGTTACTGAAAAGCAAGTGGAAATGCAGGCCAGCATTATTAAGTTGCATTCGAAGCGCACATAATTTTTCAAAACAGTATGATACAAATTTTAATAAATGACATAAGATATTTTATATTTTCGAAAATAAAAAAATACTAATAATAATTGGGAATTAACAGTATACAACGCTAACGCGCAGTTCATTTCTAAACATTTTCTTATACATTTCTTATACAATGTTGTTGAACACGAAAAAATACGCCTGGCCTATTTCTAATGATTTCACAACCATTTATTATTTGTTGTCGTAGATCATTGATATCTATTATAGGTGTTTCATATACTAAAGACTTTAAGTGCCCCCAAAAAAAGAAATCCATCGGATTAAAGTTTGGGGAGCAAGTCGGCCAAGCTAGTGGTCCGCCCAGACATGTCTATCAATGTTCAAATGCCTGATTTAAATACCTTCGTACAGCCAATGTAAAGTGGGGTGGAGCATAACGACATGTTTTGTCTTCACGGCAAGGGTATGGTCTGTTCATAGATATAAGAAAGTGACCAATTGCTTTTGAATGCGATTATCCAAGGGTGGCCATTAACATACTATGCATCAAGATTATTACCTAAAGTTTCAGAATTTAAATTCGGGTAAAATTGTGGTCCGTAATAGAAAATAATTTTATACCTACCTGTGCTTAATATTCTTTGGTTGGGTATACTACTTAGTTTAAGTTTATTAGTAATCATTCTTATTTCCTGTGTAATACAGCGTGTGTTGAATCGTGTGCCAATTATGCAAAATATGTGCGAGTCTAGTGTATCTCAGGAGATGCTCCAGCCCAAATGTAGAAAACACTATTCTATTGAGACTAAGGAAGTTTAAACAATGTTTATTTGACTCTCATTGAACGTGGTGCCAGCAAGCAAGCATCTTTAGAAGAAACGGCCACATTGACGAAAATTCCAACATCAACTGTATGGAACATTGTGAATAATCCCATTTCAGCGAGGAAAAAAAGAAGCGATTCTGACATTTTCTCGAGTGCAGATGAAAGTGACCAAGATATACGGAAAGTCATTTCGTTTTTTTTGGGGAACATGAAAGACAGTTTTCGTATAATGAATAAATATTTTATTAAATTATACATTGGCCATTGGCCACCTTTTGCCATCTTTCTGGCAGTAACATAATTCCCCTCTCATAAAAGTTTTGGTCCTTGCTGGCAAAAAACTAGTTCAGGTGGTTTTTGACATCTTCATTTGAGGTAAAGGTTTTGCCATTCAAAAAATTTTTCAGGGATCGGAACAAATAGTAGTCGGAAAGCGCCAGATCTGGAGAATATGGTGGATGTTGCAGTACGTCCCATTCAAGCGGTAAAAGTTTTTGGCGAGTGACCAAACTTGTGTGAGGTCTCGCATTATCCTGGTGGAACACTACACCCTTCCTGTTCTCTTCTCTTTAAGTGAATCATTCAATTTGTCCAGTTGATGACAATAGACTTCTGAATTAATCGTTGTATTGTCCGGCAAAAGCTCAAAAAAAAACGATTCCTTTGACATCCCACCAAACGGAGAGCATCACCTTTTTTTGGTGAATGTTGGCTTTTGACACGCTTTGAGCCGGTTCATCTTTTCTGCTCCATGACCTCTTGCGTTTAACATTGTTGTATACAACCCATTTTTCGTCCCCAGTAATAATCCGCTTCAAAAATGGATCATTTTCTTGACGTTTGAGGAGCGAATCACACACGTCAACGCGACGACACAAATTTCGCTCCGTAAGGACATGGGGCACCCACACATCGAGCTTCGAGGTTAAGCCCATGCCTTTCAAATGGCCATAAACAGTCGAATTCGACAAATTTAATCTCTCACCGATCTCTCGTGTGGTTATTCGCCGATTTGCATCAACTAATGCCTTTATCGCATCTTTGTCAGCTTCGACCGGCCTTCCAGACCGTGGTGCATCTTCGACATCAAAATTGCCGGATCGAAATTTTGCAAATCAGTTCTGGCACTGGCGTACTGTTAACACGCTTTCTCCATACACATCCGTCAATTTTTTTCTCGCTTGGACAGCATTTTTACCTTTTCTGAAGTAAAAAAGTAAAATATGACGAAAATGCTGCTCCATATTTAAAAGGGCCCCAACCAAAAACTACTGCGTAGAATTAATAGAACTTTTTCACACACAAGCCTTGCAATATCAGCTCTCAAGACATATAATGGTTATGCGGCTTAAGTGTGAAGTTGGTTTCGAAAAAACGTAATTAAGTCCTCTGACGGGAAAAAACGAAATGACTTTCCGAACAACCTTATAATACGGCGTAAAATTTACCAGTTATATGAGGCACAAAGCGTGCCTACATTAGATATCTTAATTAGGAAGCTTGAAAAAGATGAAACCGGTGTTAAATGTGGCAGAACTACCTTATGGAAGTGTATTCAACACATTGGTTTTAGATTTAAAAAAATTGACAAAAGGCAAGTTTTAATCGAATCTTTTAGAATTCGGGAATGGCGACTGGAATATCTAGAAAAAATTAGAAAAAATTTGGATTTACATTAAAGATGGTTGGATTCCAAATGGACTTTCTCTCTCTGCGAAAAATATTAAAGATTCTTCTCTGGACAATGCAAGTTATGACAGTTGACAAAAACCCCTTCCTCATGTGACACAAAAGCAACAATCTAAAACTACATGTATAATAACGACATTTATTTTCACGTATATTATACAAAAAATCAATTAATTGAGGTTCTGATAATTATGCAAAAATCTAGAGCATACAGTTTTAAGGCTTCCACCCTACCACTGTATATTTAATCCCATTGAACATGTTTGGCACCCACTGTTGTGTTAACTCCAATGTCCTCAAACCTATAGAAACCGAAGTTTTTAACATCCCTCCACAAAGTTGGGCAAAAATTTTAAGTAATTTAAGTAAATAAAAATAATATGTAATTTTATTTTAAATTTAAACATAAATACGTACATAAATAAATAATTATTGTTTATTATGTTTCCTAACAAAACCTCAAATAATTAAATTCTAAGTACGGACGTGTTCGGCCATATTTCATTCTTACAGTTTGCCCGGGTCTTTCCTTAATTCGTATCAGTTAGTCACTTTCTTATATCTATGAACAGACAAAAATGATAGTTCCTCTTGGAGAAATTGCAAATATATTTCTCCATTAAGCGATCGGTTAAAGAAATGAGGTCCTTTAAGATTATCTCCTATAACCCCTACTCATTAATTTAAAGAAAACCGGCGCTGACGTTTTCCTTCAATTTTTGCATATGGGTTTTCAATGTTCCACTGATGAATTGCGAATAATTTTGTTTTTTTTTTTTAATTTCATAAAATTGCATAAAATTTGCTCATCACCCTCATATTGTCTTTGAACAATTTGAATATGAAAGGGCCGAAGACCACTTTCGTGCAAACTTCCCAAACTGTAGAGCAAGCAATTCCGAGCAGCATGTTTTCTCGTACTCATTGACGGGTCAACATTTTGAAGTATTCTTTCTTCTCTTGGAGCGGTTGTTTTATCAAGTTCTCTGTGTTTGTTGATGAATAACTTAGTAAATGGAAAGTTTCTATCGGGATAAGCCTCAATATAAAGCCGTCGAGCTTAATCTGCATTTTCATTTGCTCTTCCGTAGCAAATATGCATATCGCGATATTCAGTAAATGAATATTCCTGATGGGCCATGACAATGGCAGTTGGATAACAAGCTCTTTTAATAGAAACTAATTTTTAGCGGATTGTGACATTGACTTTTTCACATTGTATTAAGTCCGATTTGTGGCTAAACGATAACACTTATCGACATAAAACAAGAGTAACAATTTTTGAGGATTAGTGAGTCTGCTTAAGGCAATCTGTTCTATTTTGCAATATCAGTTTAAATAAATAAAATACACGTAACCTCATAAAAGTTCCTGAACTCAATTTCCGAACACCCTGTAGCACGCCAACATCGGTGCAGTCTATTAAGGGTTGCCAAATTGTAAGTATTTTCACGTTTGGATTGCTGAAGCTTGGACTTTTTCCGATGCGGTTCCCTGTGGACAACAGAAGCTTCAAAGCATTTGATGTGGTGTTGCGTGGTCCCTTCATTTTCAGCGATCTCCATCGACCATAGGAAACACCACGCCTCGTTCTTATATGCAAAGGTACTGATAGAACCATTATTTCTGCTTCCTAGGACATCTAGAAACGATAGACAATCGTTCTTTTCTTTCTCAATAGTAAGTGTAATGGATGGTGGCAGATAATTAAGATGATTGAGAAAGAAATCTAGCTGTCTATCGGTTCCATTCCAGATGATGAAGAATCGTCAACATACCGAAGCCAGAGATCCTTGATTTAAAAATTTCTGCATCCATAGCCTGAGTTTCAAACCATCGACTGACCATCATCTTGAGACTAAAACTTATCTTTGAATTAAAAGTAAGTGTTAGGCAGCAGTAGCGAAATTCTGTCTGGAAGTGTTGTATCATTCCTCAATCTGGCCAAGACAATGTCTAACGATACCTCCAAGGGCACGTTGATGTATAAACCAATCACGTCAAAGGTAACAAACTCGTCTGAAGGACATAATATTACATTGTGGCTGGAAAATTTGAAGGATAAATCTACTTCAGTTGCTAGTTGCGAAATCCGTCGAATTGGTGACATCTTTAGCAATCCTAACAAAAAATAAAGACAATAGAAGTTCGACAATGTCTTAGTATTTCGAAAACCAGTTCATCCCTTGCAGGAAAAAGAGATTCGTGCCAAAATCGGGGTTGTTTGTTGTTGTTGTTTGTCGTGTATGCTTTCATGTTATCAGCAACTTTAAGGTAAGACTGTGACTTTTTAGCCATCGTCTTGGTGATATGTTGGTTCTTAACGTTTCTGGAACCGTACGGGTTGAGATTCCGAAACTATATCATGTCTTACTACCATCCGACCAGAGCGAAACAAAGAACCATATGGCTCTATAATCACATATTGAGGTCGAGAACTTCGTTTTTGAAATTCGCCAGGCGACTATTGAGGCGTAAGTTTTTCGGAGCAAAGGACGAGAGGATCACTTGCAAGGAGTATTTGCGTGCAAATATGAGGTAATAAATATCGGTCCTAAACCGACAGAATACTGTAATACTATTTATAAATCTTCTGGATTCGTCCTGAATCTGTTGAAAACCCTCAACACCTTCCATTTAAAACCAAAATTATGGAATCCCTCCAATTTTATATTCTATACACCATAACATTTTAAATGAGTCTAAAAGCAAGCCCACTGGTCTTTCCTTACATCCACATATCAAAAGTTTTTTAAAAAATATAACGGTAAAACCAGATTTGCTTCTTGACCAAAAATCTCTCCGTCAACATCCGTCAAAGACAAAATTTAGTTTAAGACGTTTACAAGCATTCACGACAAAGAATTGGCTAAACTTGACTAAAAGAATATGAAAGATCCTTAAACTCATCACCAGTAGCCGAAAAGATTGATGAAACCGGTCATCAAATCTTATTCGATAATTCATGGAAATCTCTGGAAAGAAGTCAACACCCAACGTCAGCAAGTTCGGTTCATCAACAACCAAAGCAGAAGGAATCCAGAAGATTCATAAATACTTTTTACAAAACTTCTGGATTCCTTCTCTTTGAGTCGAATTTGCTAACGTTTCGCCAATCATCCTGTTGACTTCTTCAGAGCTTTACTCGCTTGGCTCGCATTGTACTCTGTACCTGTACCTGTACATTGTTTGAGGGAGGCGGAGCTAAATGAGGAGCAGAAACATCGTCTCGGATGACTGATTCCCATATTGGTGGCAGAAAAAGACCTGAGTCGCGGTGAAGATTGTTATGTTGCTTCAAGATTTCTATAGCCTCTCGTATTTTGGAAGAAGAATAAAATTTTATGTGCGGTTTCGTGATTGTGTTTGTCTTAGTCTTAAGGCTCTTTCATGTTCTTTGAATCTAGTTGATATTTTTCGTCTGGACTCTACAATGTAATCTTGGCCGCATATGCATCGAATACTGTAAACTGCTGGAATCTCAAATGGAATTTTCTCTTTGAAGAATCGAGGTTGTTGAGAGATTTTTGGACAAGTTTTGACGTTATATTTCTTGGCAAGTGGCAAGTGTGGAATCGCTTTCGGTCTCATTGCTATCGGAAAGTTGTGGTGAAGCCTATTTTATGCTGGCACCTTTAATATCTTTAATATGGAAATTATTAGAGACAAAAGCAGGGGTAAGGTGTTTTAATTCTGGGTTCAGTGAATCCGACTGAGATAGTTTTACGACTCTGTAAACAAGAGAATTGATCGCCGATGCCTTTTGGGCCTGAAGGTGATGTTCCAATGCATTAAGGTTATTTCTGATCTGAATGGGAGGTTGCTATTAGTTTCTAATTCAATAGTAAAACGTATATTAGCGTGTATAGAGTTTAAATGTCTAAGAAAATCTATCAATAACAAATAACAAAAGTATCATCGACGTAGCGTTTCCATAATTTTGCTTTTAGATTGAAGGTGTCGAGAACTTTCTTCGTAGAGGCTTCCATAAATACATTCGCGATGACTGATGAAAGTGGAGAACCCATAGCAGTTTCCGACGTTTTTGGTATTTTAGGTTGAGGAAAAAAATATTTTCCTGAGAGCTGTTTACCCGATTGTAAAATTTCTGGTACCAGAAAACGTGGAACGTGTTACTAAATGTCCTTCCAAGTTGCCTTTTGCGTGATTGAATTAGCGATAACTAGGAAAGAGTGACAAACGGCTCAATTTCGTTTGGCCACCTTTAAAATATTTCAATATAATTTAATATGTTGTGTTCTAATATTTACTGTTTTGTTTGGTTAACAAAAACTATAATTTCGTTTTCAAAATAGTCGAAAATATTAAAATTAAATATTAAAAATAGTATATCAAATCTAAATTAATCTATTAAATGATTCTTAGGTTTCTTGTTTTTCACTTAAGTTATTTTAAATTGTCCTTATCTTTTTTAAAGTTTCAGGATCTATGAAATTATTGTAAAGGTTTCCATTTGAAATTTTTACAACATATTATTCACGGCCTACTAATTCATAGACAAAAAATTTCCTTTATTTCCGCCTTTTTTCATCACAGATACCGACAAACCTATATGGCTAAAAAGTCGACACGGCGACGACCATAGCCCACTATCATTGCCATATAAAACAAAAAAGTTGTATTAATTAAAGAGAAAACAGAGAACTGTAGAAATAATCTGAGGACGCCACTTTAAAAAATGCCTTAATAATGTTTTTATCCAAACCCAAAATGTTAATAAATAAGTTATGGGCAATTTTCGAAAGGGTCTATATCCTCGGTTGGTAGTGAATATATGCGGTTTTAACTACATAAATATTTCGAACTCGAAATCGAACCTTAGAAAAAAAACAATATAAGGCCTTTTAGCCATATTTTTCCATGTTTTACTTGAATAGGTAACTTAATTAAGTTTTTTTCAGAGCAGAAATGGTTGTACTTTTCGGCACGATACAATAATTATAAATCATTTTCCCCTCAAAACTAACCTAGAAAATCACGACAAAACGCTCAGCTGTCAACACAGGAACGTACGTACGTACGTGACGTCACCAACATCTGAAATATCAACATTACCTTTTTACCTGTTCAATAATTTCTAGAATTTAAAGAGAAAAAAAAAATGAAAAAAAAACATTGAGAAGTTACAGAGCGCAGGAAGAATCTAACCAATGTGCACTGCTAGAATTCTTAAAAAAATTGTGGTACTTACAGTACTTTAGCCTCGACTTTAGCTAATGGTTTTTTTATTTACAGAGGTAGGTTTAGGTTTTTCATTCTGTTATATAATTAAGTGGGTACTTAACGCAATTGTAAACATTAATTAAAACCATGGTGTGATGTTATGTGTCAGGATAAGTGTAGAAATCAGCAAGCAGATACGTCTGGGCGCTGCACTCTTACCTTTGCTTGTAATTTTTCTTGTCGAAATTACCTGAATAAAGTATATTATTATTAGTATTATATGCAAGGATCCTATTTGAATCATCCTAGGTGCTGGATATGTAGAGTCTGCTTGGGAGACGACCTTCAAACTGCTTGCTTAGTATGCGGCGAAGTATTCAGAGATTCGGATCCCCAGAAACCTATTAGATGCCATACTCCAGGCTGTCCAGGGGTGTTTTGTGTAGAGTGCTTCGCGGAACTGCAGAACGTTTGCCCCATATGTTTGGCCCCGATCGAATACGGTGACGTCGAAGACGAGGAAAAGTACTTACCCGATCTTCCAATCGGAATTTCTTCCAACGTTACGGTTTCTTCCAGAGATTCGTCCGACGAGGAGGAGCCAAAAGGCAAGGCAGAAATCGTAGAGGCGAAAGAAGAAGGCGTCTCTGATTCTTCGACGGATTACTCGTACTCTTATCAGTATGACGAACCGCAAACTGCCGAACTACCCCCTCCATTGACTTACGGCAAGGACGTAGAAAAACAGCATATTCCGGATTACGCTAGCATGGATAGTTTTCGTGAGGACGCGGAAGACGAAGCCACCACTCTAGTAGAAGTCGATATCGATAATAAACTCAGAATCGATCAAGGACAGTCGGCGTTCATAAAATTGTCTATAGCGTCGCAAGTGATGGACGATTCTTCGGAGGAAGACGTGCCTCTGCTGCAAAGTGTCGATTGTCAATGTTCGGATTCGGAGGATATCAAGCACGTTGAATTTGTGGGATTAGATGAGAAGAACGCGTCTAGGAGATATCGACAGCACGTTAAATTAATTCCTGCTAGTTCTGGGTCGGAGTGCGTATGCTCCGAATTGGAGATGATTGAGCATTTGGAAGAGACGTCATTCGTTACTCTGCCCAAGAGCACGATGTCGACGAGTACTCGCACGGATTGTTTATTTTGCCAGCGACCAAATTTGAAACGAAAACCTATCAACCATGTCGTACCACAGTTGGATTTGTCGTTTGTAAATGAAGATTTCCCGCGCAACCAGAACAGGCTTAATGATAAGTTCCGTTACGTCACGTACGAGGAAGTATCCGAATCACCAACAGTGGGATCTTCTTCGGCGTTATCAAATCCACCGAGTAGAAGGAATCAACATCTAAGGAGACGGCGTCAGGATAGCCGCCAGAGATGCCAGCCACCGTCAGATTCACCCCGTGGCTTCGAGTCTAGTAGAACCCGAAACAGAAATGTGAAAGAGTATTACGAAGCGACCAGGAACTATCCCAGTGGAACTGGACGTATCGGACCGATGAGAACAAACTTTGTAAATTTGTTTAAAAAATTATTGCCCAAGGTAAGACATTGAATTATCGACAAATTTACAATACGATGTGTCTCAGATTCGCTTCTCTATGCCGGGATCTCCGTTCCTATTATCCTACGGCAAAGGTTAAATGGGGAAAGTTTTAGAGGAAACTCAGTGGCAATTGGTTTGGCAAATGTTAAGAAGGTTAAATTGCAAACTGCAAAATGTAGCATTGTTCAGATACTTCTTTGAGGCGAGGAAGATAACGTGTATGACATGCCTCAATTGAATTTTTCTCCTCCAATCACTGTATATGTCGAATAGGAGTCGTGACAGTATTACATCCTTGTCTTATGCCAGTAGAAAGACACCTCCCGGACTGCTATCTGAATACAGGTTGTTGGGATATCAGATGTTTAGACACACCCATTCGGTCCAGTATTGACCAGAGAAGATCCCATCTTATACTAAGGAAAGCTTTTTGGTAGTCCACGAAGCACTGGGTTTGTTGAATTTAAGTCCCTTTTCTATGCTTTGTCTATTTAGAATGTGTTCTTCAACCTGTTCAGGTGGAATTTACCAATGTAAGAAAGCGTTTAATCTTGGGTCAGTGATCGTTAAGAGGATTTTGCTAGGATGTGAAAGTAAGGCTATAAGTCTGCAGTTTCCTCATTTTGTATGCAGTTGAATGACTAGTGATGTGGTCCAATCTTTGAGCTAGCTCCTGTTGACCAGACCCTCTGGCATTATGTCACTATTGGCTATCACAATGTTCCGTGGCACCAAATTCTCTACATCCTCGATAAAAATGTTAAGGTGAACTTTGTAATGCAAAATATTGTGGAAATTTTTAATAAGCATGATTCTCTTCACGAGGCTGATATAACAAAGCCATTAGCCCATAGTAAACTTCTAACCTAAAAATAATTAAGAGAGATAAAGCTCTATCAAGGCGGAAACCAATGTCCCCTTTATGAAGAAGGACATGATTGAGGCTACCTTATGCTTCCACACACTGTACACGCCGTAGAACATATCCTTGTCTATATTCGGACCGGTAGAAAACTGGACACTGGAACACTCCACTCCATTCTACTATGGCACAGACCTCTGTGCCTCCGGGAATCTATTCCAGTATATTCCAGGCAGAGATCTATGCGATATTGATGTGTGTTCACGAGAACCTCAACAGAGGATACTCGGATAAGCACATCTCGGACAGCAGCGACAATGAAGCCTATGTGAAGGTATGACCCCGCTCATATGAGGTATTGAAATGGGCCGACAGATTAGCTCAGGATAAGGCAACACCCTATCTTGGACTCGATCCTTCCATTGGAATAGCAGATAGTGTGCTGAAGGGCGAAGGAATCAGAAAACTAAAACTCATCTGCTTACCAGCACGATACCCTGCAGTGCACTGAGCGTGAAAACAGTTTATTAATAATATATATTGCAATTGTATCATATTGCAAATATTGCCGTTGGTCAAATCTCCTTTGGTTAGTCAATAGGCAACAATAGGCTGGTTTGACAGACGTTTTCTTTATTGATAATCGCGTCAGTACGTCAAATTGACAAAGTGGTCTCGTTTTTCGTTTACAAATTTCATTTTGTGTCGTTTGAAATTCCAGCGTCGAAACATTGACCGCGAGCTTCCGTTCCATCTTCAGGACACAGGGGAAACGGTTCACGTCCAGTCGTACAACTACTACAACGAAAATTGGGACACGTTCGAATTAGATTCACCTACCTATAGAGTCTGCAATCGGTTATCCAGCGAAGATTCGGAAGAAGAGCCACTGCTGCCATTCTCCTCCGATTCCAGACTCAGGGGTGGTCGGTCATCCCACTCAAACAGCAAATTCTCCTACAGAAGTTACAGTAAGAAACCATCAACAGATCTTCTAGGTAATTTTTTTCTACATGGTGATATTTGATTTTAGACATAGCAACTGCCAAAGCTTTTCCCACTCAAACCCCGCCACCGGTAAACCGTAGATATCCGAAGGACGTGGAAGATTTCACACCTACCAGAGCCCCAGGTTATCCGATGACTCAGTCGACATTGACTTTGACCGAAAATATCACAGCCGCATCATCAGACAGCGCGTTGAGCGAATCTACTTGTTTCGCCTTATTCGGAGGACCTCGTCCTGGCGGACTAGTATCGCTGGCGCCGCCGCCAGAAGTACATTACAAACCTGACACGGCTGTCGATCGTGTTGACGACATTGAAGAACCGGAACCATCCCGCAGCCTAATGGAAAGTACACCTAAAGAAATAGAAAGCTCCGAAAGGACACCGTCCGTTGTCCACAGCGCGTTGGAGCAAGCACTGATGGCCGCATTAGAATCGGTGCCGAAACGTAGGATCTCGACGGAAAACAACGGACAATTTAGACCGAGACACAGTTTGCAGCCTTTGGAGGTTCCGGCAGTGGAGAAAAGACCGCAGACTACGAACCTGAATCAGTTGCTGTACAAGGACGAGAAAACCGAGATCTCGCTGGTTCAAAACCTGGACCCTGACAAAACATCGTGTCAGAGGTCGTCGCTGCTAAGACCTGCCACAGCTAAGCGCGAGTCGCCGACTATTAAACTGCAGGTGTCGCTTCAGAACACGCTCATAAGCGAAGAGCAACCGTTAGAACAATTAGACAAGGACGCCGCGTTGGATATCTTGCCGGCTCAGTCGCCCAAAAGCATGGACAAACTGGTAACCACACGGGACACGTTTCCCCTGCACAAAAATTGCTGGGTTCATGACGGTAGGCTGGGCAAGATCATCCTGGCTAGCGATAAAATCCAGCAAACTTCCGACAACGACTTCTACCGTTCGTCCAATAATACCGTTAGGTTCGGACCCAAGCCTTTCACCCCGGAAAGTAAGTCGATCGTTTCCACCCCAAGGTATTCCACGTCGTCATCTTTGAAATCAAAACCGCCACCTGATGAAGGTTTGTCGTCGGATATGCCGGAAAGAGAAGCCGAGATTACCGACCCTAGTTGTTGCAAATGCGTGCATTACAAGGCAATGGAGGCTCATAAACCCCAACGAGATAGAAACCAAGTAGACCATATACACGATTGCAAACATGCCTGTTGCAAATGCCCAAAACATGTGGAAATGTATCACGAGCCGGTTGATTACGTCACCAGCGTTCCTCGAACTTCTTCCGATTACACGTTACCCGATATCCCGGGACACGTCAAATATCCAGAATTTTTACCCCCTCCGCCGCCAGTTCCTCCACCACACCCCAGGATGTATTCACCTAGACGAAAAGAGGTGCGTCAATGCTACGACAAATGCGGGTGTTGCTACAAACACGGTATAGCGGAACCTGATTCGGACTATACCCACGAAGACTATGAGGAAATCCGTAGGCCTAGCATGACGGACCTACCGTATCAGAATAACGACGAGTATTTGGACTTGGTAGAGGAACTCCAGGAGACGCTACACTCGCGCAATCGGAACAGAGTGAAGAAGGCAATGGAGGAGTTTGAAAACAGGAGCAGGCATAACAGGCCCCTGGAAAGGCCTATAATCGATTATGAGGAAAGCAGCGAGAGCGAAGAACCGATCATAAGGAAAATCACAGAGCTGAGAGGTGATAAGGGGAAGTGCTGCGCGGGAGATCAATGTCGGTGCAAGGAAAGAGGTATTCGCAAAACGAGGAAGAGGAGCACCAGTAGGGAACGCAAAATGAGTGTTAGGGGGCCGGAAAAGCCGTCCCATTGGACAATGAACCCGACTTCAGGCGAATGGTTCCGATCAAGTAGGTGTCCGATGCCACTCGGGATGTCCCGGGCTCCAAGGGCTTATGAAGCTTCGAACCAGTGCAATTGTCAATGTGAGCGATATCCCAAGTAAAATTTGTTTAGTTTCCTCGTTGATTGTTTTCTTTATTCATGTGGAAATAAATATTCTGGTTAGTCATTTTTGTAGAATTTGATAGCAGTAGACCTAAAAGCGTTCAGGTAGATTTATCTATACAGTCGACACTTCATATAGGGAAATTGAAGAGAGTTGTAGGTACTTGAAAGATATTTAATTATTTTATATACATATTTTAACATCTACTAAGGAACATTTTATATACATATTTAAGAACTACATTTAATGTAAATAATCGGTCATTTTCTTTCGAATTTTTTTAGTATGAAAATACGCATCTCGTACTTTTGTATTTTCACCATTTCTTCGAGAGGGGCATCTTATATGATGATATATAAAAAAAAATCTCTAGCAACTTAACTGAATATAGGGCTTGTTGTGGTCCCAGATTAACTTCATCTTCTTGTTCCTCTTGATGCTCTTCCTCACCCTTTCTTGTTTGTTCCTTATCTCCTTATCCTTCATCATCAAATCTTGCAACTCCTCACTTGTAAACGTAATTGTTTTTTGAAACTGCTTTATCCACTCGCTTAGTGTTCGCATTCTGTCTCGGTAATAGATCCCGCATGGCGATAGGAACGTTGAATTGTTTCTGCTGTCATCTCTTTCCAAGCTCTACTAATAAAGTTAACTGCAACTAGCATAATGATGGTAATTTTGTCTTCGGACTCGAACATTTCCATTAAAATGTTTTTCCTGTATCGACTCTTAAGACTTTTTATTACGCCCTGCTCCATCGGATGTAATACACTTGTTGTTTTGCATGGAAGAAATGCCAATTCAATATTCCGTAGATTTGGAATATGGGGATGTGCAGGGCAGTTATCTAAGAGAAGTAATATTTTCCTCCGCTTTAATTCTGCATCACATTTCCGTATCTGCTTTTCAAAAATTTGCGATGTCATCTTGGGTTAGTTGATTTTACAATCACGATTAGCTTTCTTTTTTCTCTCCCAGTCATATTGGCAGCTACTAACACTGTTATACGTTCTTTGGGAAGTTTTCCACCCACACACTTTTCGCTTCGAAATTTAACAGTTTTATCTAGCGTCATTTTGAAAAAACTAGTAGTTTCGTCAGCATTAAAAATGTCGTCAGCAGGGTACTTTTCTGTTAGTTTTGGCCACGTCTTCTCCAGCCAATCGTTAGGGACGTTAATGACTTCCGAAACCTTGAAATCGATAATGCCAAGCTGTTCAGCAAACTTTTCTGCTGTTAGTTTTACGATAGGTCCAGAGAGTGGTGCATTTTTAAGACGTTGCTGTTGGAACCACTGCAACATTGTTCGATCCAAATCTTCAAATTTTGGCTTTCTTAGTTTTTTACTACCCGCCGCTTCAGCCTGAATGATTTTTTCTTTGCACTTCCAAATCGTGGATACAGTCGACGGTGTAAGTCCGTACCCACCTCCCACATCACTTTTCTTTTCTCCCCGTTCAGTCTCCCGAATTAAAGCAAAGCAAGCAAAGCAAAGAGACCCTGTCATGGTTTTACAGTATTTAAACTAGCTCGAATTATTATTATTTTTATTATTATATACTTTAGCTGTTAAATATTTTAGTCGTAGTGGCAAAAAGTTGACACTGGAGGGGTGCTCCAACCAATAATTTAAATTTATGGGGTCCCGAGGCATAAAAGGCAAAGCAAGGCAAGTGATTCGTTCTTTGCTAACTTTTCGCCATTGAGCAAATTTTTATCCTGAATGTGCTAAGGTTTTTGTTTGGAAGAACACTCCGTAAAAGGTTTTTTCTTTCATCATACCAGCAAACTTTCCCATAAACGGCAAGACTGCATCCCGGTCGCTTGAAAGGGATTCTCCACGAACTGTTAACTGGCCATCCTAAACTTGCTTTTTTTATTAATTCTCTAAAATCCTATGATTCTACAAATCTTCTGGATTTCTTTTGCGTTGGTTGTTGATCAATCGAGCTTTCGCCAATCATTTGAAACATCTCTATTCTACTCTGCACCTGCTGAAATATAGTTTGAGGGAGGCGGAGCTAAAGAAGGGGCATGAACATTGTTTCCGATGACTGATTCCCATATTGGTGAAAGGTAATGAACTGAGTTACTGTTATAGATTCTTGGATTTTTCTATTTCTCTAATATTTTATTTGCTGCAATGCTATAAATTCTTTGCATAAAAAACGGAATACGTTGAGAGATTGTATGTTATATTTCTTAAGTACTTTTGATTTGTTTTGAATGTAAGGAAGGACCACAGTGGCTCATTTTCTCTGGAAGGTTATGATGATATTTTGTCGGCGGAGTTTAAACGGCCGTGAAATCAAACCCGAAGTTCTGATTAAGAACTTCAATGAAAAGAAATCACGATTCACAGAATCCAATTAACAGAAATGGATAAACGGGAAGAGAATCAAAAAGTACTAAGTGCAACTTGCGGTGTTGTACTTCGCGGCGGTGTTTCTCTACGCGATGTAGATCCCCACTCTGACGAATTCTCCGGCGGGGCGCGAATAAAGGCGGTTGCCATGGTTACGGACGAACAGTTGGCTCGCGCAAAACAGCAAAACTTTTCTCTAACATATTTTATAATGGCAAGCTTGGCGTTTTAATTTTCGATTCAGCAACTTGTGCTGAGATAGTTTTAGGGTTCTATGATAGATAGTGATGTGATAATGCATCAGGGTATCGGCGTGTGTGCTTAAGTTTTTGCAAACTGAAATACCCAATGTTAATAAAAGTGGGAAATTCATAAGTCAACAAAGATTTTTCATATTTTGGGAGTTATTTAAACTAGTAGAAAAGCAATGGTTTTTTGTTTCCATCAGGCAACATTTTTGAATTAATTTTTGAGATGTCATATTTATTAATTTTAATGTAAAAATTGGTGAACAGGACAAACCTGGGGCGCCACATGTTGTTTGTACCAGGCATTCCCTATTTTCTGAAATATCGATGATATGGAAAGAGCCAACAAATCGTCGTGATGACTATTTCTGCATGTGCAATGTTCGTAAATAAATAATAAAAATTTGAAAAACATTGTTTATTCGATCCTCAAATCAGATGTCCCAATACCTGTGAATCCAGCCAATTTAGAAGAAGATACTACCAGTTTTTCTGAACCTAAACCAACCATAGTTATTTTCACAATGAAAACTTAACTTAGTTTACCTAAGAACAAGACGTTAAGATCTCATATTTTAGTAAGCGCGAGACAGAATTTATAGGTGATTTTGAACAAAGTGCTTCACTTGTTTGTTGAATCGATATTCTTAATGTAATAAAAAAACTTGGTATAGAGTATAATTCTGAGGACTGCAGGCTTTTTATTGACTCATCCAAGAGAAGCCTTAAAACTGTTCTTTTGCGCAACGGAAGTCTTTTTGTTTCTGTATCTGTTGCTGATTCTGCGCAAATGTAAGAACGCTACGAAAATCTGGAACTAATGCTTGAGAAAATGAAATAGAAGGACTATAGTTCGATGATTTATGGTAACTTAAAAATTGTGGAGCTTTTACTAGCTCAGCAGCCAAGATATTTGAAGTACCTCTATTTTTTGGTGATTAAAACAATAGAAACAGACAGCAACATTGGGTTAAACAAACCACTGGCCTAAAAGGGTTAATTTAACTCCCAAATGAAAAATATTCTTCACGATAGTCTTATTGATTCACGAAAAATTGTCATACCATGTTAAAACTTTAAATAAAGATGGACCATATTTTATATACCCATGTGGAATTTTCTCAGCTTCAGAAATAACGCGATCAATGGAAGATGAATACTTTGTGTGTGAAATTTTGCATGCATTTTACTGATGTTATTAAAGTTTTTATGGGAAACAACAAATATCCAAACTAAAAAGACATTCTAGAAAACATGTTAGAGAAATTTTGGGAAATGGGACCCAATATGAGTCTCTAACACTGCACTTTTGAACGTCTGAACTACTATGCCGACAAACTTGGGGCCGTGGGTGAGGAGCAAGTTTTTCGGTCAACAGTGCTTTGAAAAATAAATGGACTTAACTATTGTTTGAGACTTTTTTTTCTTAATTTGGACCTTTTTATTCGGTTTTTGTTCTTGAACTAATAATAATAATGTTATGTATTCATTCGTTTAATGTTGACAAATAAAAACTGACACTATAGAAGAAAATGTCAAATTTAAATTTAGCACGCCCACAACAAAATCAAATGTCAGATGGAAATCAACTATTGTTGGACTGTGTTATTGTTAGTTCCTAATTCAATGGTAAAACTTATGTTGGGATTTGTAGAGTTTGTTAACTGGGACTCAGGCCTTTGCCCAGACAGAAGCTCTGAAGAAACCAACAGGATTGATGTTTAAATCATGTTTAAAATATCATAGTTGATGTTTGAAATGTATAGTGGTCTACAAAATTAACCGTGGCCACGACATAAAATAATAATAGTGACATTTCATTATTGTAAAAAAGTGCTTGCTTTCCATCAAGAAGATAAGGTGATATCGTGTAGTGCAATGGGTTCCAAACTGTAAAATCTAGTTTGTTAAGTATATGTGTGCAGATAATAACCAAAATTGAAAAGTGTTGAGATGTCGGCGCAGCTCGTTAGGTGCTTTGCTTCTATTTTTTGAACTACAACCAGAGGTTAAAATTTGCTGATTTTACGCAATCAAAAGTGCATTATCAAAATCGTATTTTAATGTTTGCAATTACGTAATCAATTTTCATAATCTTCTTAATAAACGCTAAAACCCAAGTCATACAATTGCTACTAAATTATTAGTATTAGAACAAAAACCGATTACATTTCTTTAAAAAAAAAACTGCACCTGCATTACTCTCATTACTAACCAGGACTAATCCGTAGAATTCTTCTCATTATGACTAACGATCCAATCACCCAAGAATGTCTAATTACTTTAACTACCGATTAAGGAGTCTTTTCTTCCGAAAGTGAGTAAACAATCATGCAAAATTGGCCACGTTTACCTTTTACCAGGCTGCTTTTGTACGATCAAGTGCCGATCTGTTTC